CCTCCGCCCTCCGTTGTTGTTGGAGGGCGACTGCCTCCAACTGCCCAGTAGCGTCCTTCACGAGCCTCCTCCACTGAGGCCGATCTTGACACCGCTGGTACCAGTCATCGGCAAGTCCACTCAGCTCCACGTCCTCCTGTACCACATCACTCCATCTCTTCTCCAGCCCGTGCCGCGCCCGTCTAGCCCCCTCGATCCGGCCGAACAAAAGCTGTTTAGGCATGCGGTGGCTGGGCATGCGGGCTACATGACCCAGCCAACGCAGCCTTGCCTGCCGGAGGAGCTCACTGATGGGACTTTGCCCAGATCTTTCAAGGATTTGTGAGCTCCTCACACAATCCAGCCTGGTTAAACCCAGGATGGATCGTAGGCAGGCCAGCCTAAATGTTTCCAACCGGCGAAGATGCTCCACCAGGGGGGTCCACGTCTCGCAAGCGTAGAGAAGGGAGGGAATGACCGTGGCCGAGAAGACCTGAAGCTTCGTGCGGAGCGACAGACCAGGTAGCTTCCACCCAGCGTTACGCAACCGATGAAAAGATATTGCCGCTCGACTGATTCGGAGTGAGACCTCTGCTGATAGACTGGAGCCGGTCATAAGCACACTGCCCAGGTATGGGAAACTCTCCACTCTCTCCACAACTGCCCCATCACCAATTGGGAGTTGTGGGGGTGGAGTGTCCGATGGTACAAAATACCCAGGCAGGTGCTTGGTTTTGGTGGGGCTGATGGTAAGGCCCCACCTCTTAGTGGCACGCTCTAGTCTCAGCAGCAGCGCCTCCAACTCCTCTTCTGAATGAGCAGCTATTACCAAATCATCGGCATACATAACGTGGTTGACCAATAGGGAGCCATCCCTTGATCGCACCCGGGCGTCGATCAGCCTCCCATTATATCTGTACCAAACGGAAATTCCCCCGGTACAGCTATTGAAGGCTTCACGAACTACGCGGTCAAAATAGATGTTAAATAATGTGGGAGCCAGAGGACATCCCTGTCGCACCCCAAGGTGTACAGGGAAAGGCTCCGACTCCCGGCCACGTAGTTTTACCCGGGCCCGCTCACCATCAGTCTCACACACACATAGTCTCACACACACACACAGGCTCACACACACACAGGCTCACACACACAGGCTCACACACACAGGCTCACACACACAGGCTCACACACACACAGTCTCACACACACCCGCTCAGTCTCACACACACCCGCTCAGTCTCACACACACCCTCTCAGTCTCACACACACCCTCTCAGTCTCACACACACCCTCTCAGTCTCACACACACACAGTCTCACACACACACAGGCTCACACACACAGGCTCACACACAGTCTCACACACACCCAGTCGCACACACACCCTCTCAGTCTCACACGGTCTCACGCACTCTAACTCCCCTGCCAGCGACGTGTTCATTGACTAATTCATTACTCGGTGATGGCGTCAGATATCGCGTCTGGTTTTCAATTAAGCCTTTTGTGCTCCGCTATTGACCCGCGGGTGAGCCGCGTGCAGCTCTGGAATCGATAACCACAGAAGAAGCAGCACCACCAGCACCAACACCACCACCAGTACCAACACCACCACCAGCACCAACACCAGCACCAACACCACCACCAACACCAACAACACCAACACCAACAACACCACCACCAGCACCAACACCACCACCGACACCACCGACACCACCACCAACACCACCACCAACACCACCGCTGGGCATGCATGGTGGGATGATAACCCTGCACAGCAACACGAGGCGTCCACCCCGGTTGTCCACCCTGGTTGTCCACCATCATTGTCCACCCCGGTCATCCCAACCCGGTCGAGCCCCCTGGTCATGCACCCGCGTAGTCCACCACGATTGTCCAACCCGGTCACCCACTCTTGTTGTCCACCCGGGTTGTCCACCGAGGCTGATGTGAGGCCACGGGCTCGCCACGTTGGTGTTCACGTCTCCCGCGGTGGGATAAAGAGGGGGCACCCCCAGAGAGACCGCCCTTGGGCGGCCCCACACGGCACGCGTTCAAACCGGTTAGAACCGGTTCGACACGCGGATTGTCGCAGCCCGATGTTACCGTTTATCATTGAGATTGTCGGGTTTGGTGAGTGGGTTGGAGGGACGGTTGGTGGGTTGGATTGGTGGGTGGGTGAGGCTCCCCCATGGTCAAATAATAACAATAATAGAACGTCTCCGGGCATCTCACCGCAGTGCGGTCGCCTTGCGGCCCACACTGAGCTACTCTCTCTCTCGTCATACTTGTGACTTATCAAAGCTCATTTCATCTGAATCGTCGTGCCACTGCTGCTGCTACTACTGCTGCTGCTGCTACTGCTGTGCTACTGCTGCTGCTACTGCTGTGCTCCTGCTGCTGTTTAACGCTCTCAGTTTCAAGCATCACTCTGAGAGGACTTCTGACATTTCGCATCAGGGACCTCCCCCCCCTGCCCCCCCCAATGGGGGTAGGGGGGGGGCGATAAGGACGCGGCCGCTGCTGGTTGTAGATAGAGACGGGGGGGGGGGGGTGATGAATGGGAGTCGAGGCGGGGGAGGCGGCGTGGAGATAAGAGGCCGAGACGCGGGGAGACGGGGACATCTCCCCGCGTGTGTGCGCACGTCACCACCATCATTGTTCATCTACACGTGCTTCTATATAGAATCATAATTCATCATTATTAATATCCATGTGATTTAATATATATATTGTGTACACACACGTGGACATATTCCTGTATGTATGTGTATTACTATCATTGTTAATATACATGTGTGTGTTTAATATTGGGGGGGGGGGACACCCCCCCCCCCATATTAAAATATGCTCAAAATGTCCCCCCCCCCAATATATTGCTGTAAAATAGATGTCTGTTTATATGATTGTAGTTATGGTTGTACTTTATTAATCCCTAAACTCTGCTATTACATACAATGACACAAGAAGAGGCAAAAAAAACAGGGCAATATAAATACAATACACTATGTGACATTATTGTAAAACATTAAAACAAAGTCCATCCCATGTGTTAGTGAATCTTTTTTTATATTTTAGGCAGGAAATGGCAGAAAATTTGTTTTCAAATTTAGATTTTCTTCTTCTTGGTTCTGTCGGTAAAGTCACGTAGAAGGGAAGTAATAAAATAATAAAAAGCAAACATAAAATAATTCTCATGACGTTTTTACCGAAAGAACCAAGAAGATGATTCCCTGCTGTCACGAAAGCTTTAAATCGAAATGTAGATTTTCTTTTCATTATTAATATACAACATGTACTTTTATAAATATTGTCATCATTATTAATATACAACATGTAGTGTTATAGTGTCATCATTATTAATATACAACATGTAGTGTTATATATATATATCACATACACGTTATTATATATATATATGAATACACACACACGGGGCCATGTACTCGTGTCTGTCTGTATTAGTATAATCATTAACATACACGTGATCTTATATACAATAATCGTTATTGACATAAATGTGATCTTGTATAAAAATCATCGTCATTAACATAAACGTGATCTTGTATAAAATCATCGTTATTAACATACATGAGTTTATATAAAATCATCATCATTAATATACATATGGTTATAAATATCTATGGATATACACACACACGGGGACATATACCCGTGTGTGTGTATATTAGTATCATTAGTATTAATATGTGTGGTTTTATATGGATATACATACACACGGGGACATATACCCGTGTGTGTGTGTGTATATTAGTATCATTAGTATTAATATATGTGTGGTTTTATATGGATATACATACACACAGTATCGTTATTAATCTATATGGGGATATATATCGATCCACTGGTGGCAATCTCATGGATATATCCACATATATATAGTATCGAACCATTAGTGGCAATATCGCTCTGTATATGAATGTAGATCCATATATATGGACACAAAAATATATTTATATACAAATATATTCATCCATATTTTTGGATACATATATTGTTGCACCACTGATATCAACATCACTGTGTGTACGGGTAGATATAGACGTGTGGTGCATATCGATCGATCCATGTACATGGAGATCTACAGGGCGGCCCAAAAGTCAGGACACATAAGGTTATTATACAGATGTTATTATTATTATACAAATGTTATTATTATTATACAGATGTTATTATTATTATACAGATGTTATTATTATTATACAGATGTTATTATTATTATACAGATGTTATTATTATACAGATATTATTATACAGATGTTATTATTTATAGATCATCACTCTAGAGTCTAGACCATCATCACCACCATCATCACCACCACCGTCACCACTCTAAACCATCATCGCCATCACCACCATCATCACCACTCGATACATCAAGATCATCACTCTAAACCATCATTACCATCATCACCACCACCATCATCACCACCATCATCATCATCACCACTCGATACATCAAGATCATCACTCTAAACCCTAATCACCATCATCACCATCACCACCATCACCACCACCATCACCACCATCACCACCATCACCACCACTCGATACATCAAGATCACCACTCTAAACCCTCATCACTATCATCATCATCACCACCACCACCATCACCACCATCATCACCACTCGATACATCAAGATCATCACTCTAAAGTCTAAACCATCTTCACCACCACCACCACCATCATACATTCGAGTAGCGAGGCAGCTGGGACACGTGGTGTGTGCGTGTTGGGGGAATCCACTCGGCCTCAACCGAGTCGCTGGCGTAGCGGCGCTGCGTAGTGAACATCGCCACTGGGGAGACAAAGGCGGTCGGGCGTGGTGCTGGCCACCCACCCCCTCGTGTGGTGTTGCTTGCGTGCTTGTGGCAGATGTTTTTCGTGTTGTTTACGTGGCTGCTGTTTATGTGGCTGTTGTTTATGTGGTTGTTTATGTTGTTTACGTTGTTGTTGACGTGGTTGTTGTTGTTGACGTGGTTGTTTTTGTTGTTGTTGTCAGCACTTTAAGAAGCAGACAGAGAAGCTGCTGGCCAAGGGAACGGGGCTGCTGGAGAACGCCCTCGACAGAGCGTTCAGCATCCTCAACGAGGTGGGGGCACGGGGGGTCGGGGGGGACGGGGGGAGGGGCACGCAGAGAGATGGAGACACGGGGGGGGGGGCATGGGGAGACACGGGGATACGAGGAGACGTGGGGACACAGGACATCAGGTTGACACGGGGACACGGCGAGAAGGGGACACGGGGAGAGATGGAGACACGGAGACACGGGGGAACACGAGAACGGGGAGACACAGAGGGACACGGGGGGACATTGTTGGACACGGGGGGACACGGGGGGACATGGGGGGACACGTGGTTCTGGCGGTCGCCACCGAGCCTCGGGGTCGCGATCTCTCTCAGGGCCACGGCACCGCGTGATGAGGTCGCGAGTGGAGCCGTGGGAAGGGATTGAGGCACACAGACAAAGGTCCCCCGTGTATCCTTAGCAAGCTGTCGGGGCAAGTGCTGTTAGCAAGCAGCAGCAGCACCGATGAAGGCCGGCACGGCACACGAGGGGGTGGGTGGCCAACACCACGCCCGGCCCCGTTTGTATCCCTGGCGGCGATGATGTTGTTGACGCATCGTATCAGGCACTGGTCGCAGAACCTTGACATATAGAGGACCGCAGAGCTTGGGGACATTTGTGGTTGTGCAGGCTCCTCATCACCGCGTGCCTGCCGCTGCTGTGTGTGTGTCTGTATGCGTGTTTGTGTCGTCTGAATATGTGTGTGTCTGTATGTATGTGTGTGTGTCTGTATGTGTGTGTCTGTATGTGTGTGTGTGTCTGTATGTGTGTGTGCCTGTATGTGTGTTTGTTTGTGTGTCTGTATGTGTGTTTGTGTGCCTGCATGTGTGTGTGTGTCTGTATGTGTGTGTGCCGCGATGTGTGTGTGTGTTGGGGTGTGGTAGTGTAGTGGTTAGCGCGCTGCGCTACGAACCCGCGATCTGGGTTCAATTACCACTCACTCACGGCCAACACCAGTGTGACGATTATCTGAACCGGTCCTTCGGTCGACTCAGTACCCGGTGCGTTGTGTAAACATCGCCATTGGGGAGACAAAGGCGGTCGAGCGTGGTGCTGGCCACCCACCCCCTCGTGTGCCATTCTGGCCTTCGTAGGTGCTCGCTAACAGCACTTGTCCCTACAGTCTGTTAAGGCTATACGGGGGATCTTTGTCTGTATGTATGTGTCTGTGTGTGTGTCTGTATGTACGTGTCTGTGTGTCTGTGTGTCTGTATGTGTGTCTGTATGTATGTATGTGTTTGTGTGTGTCTGTATGTATGTATGTGTTTGTGTGTGCGTCTGTATGTATGTGTGTGTGTCTGTATGTACGTGTCTGTGTGTCTGTATGAGTGTCTGTATGTACGTGTCTTTATCTGAGTAGTTTAACCGGACGGGCCAAGGCAGCCAGTGTAGCCAGGCCATCATGCTCATCACGGACGGCGCCACTGACACCTACGACAACGTGTTCAACACCTACAACCGGCCCCACCGCAGGGTGAGTGCACGGGGGGAGGGCACGGGGGGAGGGCACGGGGGGAGGGCACGGGAGGTTGGGGGGGACATGAGGACACGAGACATGGGACACAGGTACAGAGAGACATGGGGACATTAGGAATATGGGACATGGGGACACGGGCATAGAGACACAGAAAATGAGACACGGAATATGCAAACTTCCCCAATCACTCACCGCTGCACGGTACTCATTTTGACGACCACCAGAACTAGCAGTGAAAGAGCCTTCTCTCTCGAGGCGGGGTTCTCACTGCAGCCTTGCACCCCCTTGCTTGTCAAGCGTCACAACAATGTACAATGCTAATACATACATAGGGGTTTGATGAAACAAAGCAGTTGCACTTAACGTGCCCGTGCTTAATTTGTGTTTTCGATTATTTACCTTCTAAGAACAATCCGGCCGCGTCTCGCACCCCCAGAGAGGGAATCTCGCACCCCCAGTGGGTGACGTGCTCCCCAGGTGAAGAGCCACTGCTCCAGAGCCTAATGATGACTCCAGTGATGGTGGCACTGCCCAGATGGTTATTGGCAAGAACTGGTTTCGGCATTCATGGTCTCATCAGCAGTGCCACCAGGCTCTGCTGGTAGAACTGCCCAGATGGTTATTGGCAAGGGCGCTCTCTGGTCGACATGGGTCCTGGTTCGACACAAACCTCTGTGTTGAATCACTCCGCGCTTTGCGTTTGAGACCTTGGTCAGGGATTGAACTCGCGTCCCTCTGGGACTCGGAGCGGCTTCTGCTAATTAATTATCCGAAGATTCGCCCCGTAATGAGGTTGTCATTAGCCCCCCTCCCCCTCAACCCCCCCCCCCCCACACACCCAGCACCCACGTGGCCCTCTCTCAATTACCGCGCAAATCAATTAGCGCTTGAACCTAGTGGGATCGCTAACGAGATCATGAGTGATGGTGATGGGTGAGTGATTGTGGTGGTGATGGCTGAGGATGGGATTTATGGTGATGATGGTAATGATGGTGATAATGGTAATGATGGTAATGATGGTGATGATGATGGTGGTAATGATGATGATGGTAATGATGACGATGATGGTAATGATGGTAATGATGATGATGGTAATGATGGTAATGATGGTGAGGATGGTGATGATGATGGTGGTAATGATGATGATGGTGGTAATGATGATGATGGTAATGATGGTGATGATGGTAATGATGGTAATGATGGTGAGGATGGTGATGATGAGGTTGATAATGATGATGCTGAAGATAGTGATGATGATGAGGATGATGTTGATGAGGATTCTGATGATAATGAAGTGGTGATGATGGTGATGAGGATGGTGAGGATGACAGTGCTGGTGATGATGACATGGTGATGATGATGATGGTGATGATGATGATGGGACCCTGACCCAGCGGTCGAACCTAGTGACACGAGCGGCAGACGCGGCAGGGGCACGTCCGCCGCGGAGACGGAGCAATGGAATTGGGATCTCACCCCGGGGTGGCGACGTGGTTGCTTTGTGATGCGTCGTATTCACCTGGAAGGGAACCGGCCTCGGAGGAGATCGCTGATGATGGTGACCCATGTCCGGATCTCTCCAGAATCCAGGACTCTCCACACTGATCGAGCTTGCAGGTTCAAACCAAAACTAATTTACAAATCAATGAACTGTTTTTAGTTTGTTTGTATTGACGAGTTAATCAAGGTCCCCACCGAGCTGTGCAGCTTTCCTTATTTGATTCACAAGCGACCTGGATATCACCAACGATAGCCCAACAAAGTAGCGCCACCGTCACCATCGTCACGTTGACAATCATAGCCGCAGCCCAACTACTCTGGAAACGCGTGATGTTGAAGGTAAAGCGGAGGACTCGGACAAAAATCCACGCGACCACGGGGAGAGTGAGACAAGCAAAACCCCAATACACAGCAGCAGCAGCAGGCGTCAGGGTCGGGATCAAACCCACGACCTCCTGCATAGCAGGCGGGGAAGTGAACCTCTCGGCACGACGGTTCATGGTGGCCGCCGTCACCGTTACTGGTCGTGAGCAGGAATCGAACTCGGATCGCCGGAGTTTTTGCAGTGCAGCGTGCTAACCGCTGCGCCACCACTCCCGGAAAATATAAAGATTCCCCGTTTAGCCTCGAAAGACTGTAGGGGCAAGTGCTCAGTGTTGATAGCAATTCACAGCCCTGCCTGGGGAAAGCTGCTGGGGTAACGTCGATTGCATTTGGCTATCTGGGTAGGGAATTAATGAATGACCAACGAGATATATGAATGATTGAATAATAAATGTGTTTAATGGGCGAATTATTTACTGAATGAATGGCATGACTGATTAAATACAGAAGAATTGAATGAAGGAATGAATGGACGATTGACAATAGATGAACGAATGCATGAATTAATCACTAAAGTTATTCGGAATAACGAAAAGGCTCGACTTCATGAATGAGTGAGAATGAAATGAATCGTCATCAACAGCAGCCATGTTCAATCCACCGCTAGATGAAGAACTGCCCACGCCATGTCTCGTTCATCAGGTGGGGGTTGGGGGGGTTAGCGGGCACTCACAAAGACCCCCCCCCCCCCCCCCGTGTAGCCTTGCCAGACTATCAAGGCCGGAACGGCAAACGATGGGGTTGGGTGGCCAGCACCACGCCCGTCTTTGTCTCCCCAGTGGCGATGTTTCCACACCACTGCATCAGGCACTCATTTGAGGCGGAGTCGACCTAGGGGAGGCCCAGAATCGGTTCAGATAATCGTCACCGGTGTTGGCCGTGAGCGGGAACCGATCTCGAGCCGCCGGGTTCGTAGCGCAGCGCGTTAACCACTGCGCCACCGCTCCCCATCAAGGCCACAACATCCAGGACATGCGGCGTTGTTGTCCATTTGACACGTGCGAGGCCTTCGCGACCAATAGTATTCATAATAAAGGTTTTTGGGTGAGATCGCGTAAGTTGAAATGTGTCGTGACCCTCCATATTGTAAATGTTGTGGATTTACTCTCCGACACACCGGTGGGCTGAAGTAGTCACTAATTGGCGCTTTGTTTAGGTGACAAAGCCCTTACTAATTGGCTGTGTCGGGTGGTAGAGGGTTACGACACATTTATACTTACGCGATCTCACCCGAAAACCTTTATTATTAAGTTGTTGTTGTTGTTGACACGGAGCGAGTTGGTGTTGACCGTGAGCGGGAATCGAACTCAGGTGGCTAGGTTCGTATTGCAGCAGCGCTAACCACTACGCCACCACTTCCCACACACCCACTCACTCTCGCACACACACACACGCCACCCATTCACACACCCTCGCACACACACCTGCACATACAGGTGCGCCTCTTCACCTACCTGATCGGGCGGGAAGTGGCGTTTGCGGACAGCGTGAAGTGGATGGCGTGCAGCAACAAAGGTGGGGCCCCCCTGCCCCCCCGTGCCTCCCCCTCTCTCCTCCTCCCCCCTCCCTTCTCATCCCGCCTCCTCCCCCTGCCTCCTCCCCCCTCCCTCCTCCTCCCCCCTCCCTCCTCCCTCCTCCTCACCCTGCCTCCTCCCTCCTCCTCCCCCCTCCCTCCTCCTCCCCCCTCCCTCCTCCCATTCAGTTCTCAAAGCTTCACCAGGAGTCAAGGTCGCATCATTTATGGTTTAAGCGCATGGCTCCAAAGGGGGCTTTGCGTGACTTCAAGCGATGAGGAGGGACGTTATTGAGGGTATCCCGTGACTGGGAAGGCGACTGAGGAGTCCGGGATAGCCGAGATAGAGATCTGAACAGAGACATACAGATAGAGATCAGAGCAGAGAGAGTCAGATAGAGACCAGAGTAGAGACAGAGAGAGATCAGAGCAGAGACAGATAGAGATCAGAGCAGAGACAGACAGATAGAGATCACAGCAGAGACAGACAGAGATCAGAGCAGGGACAGACAGATAGAGATCAGAGCAGAGACAGACAGACAGAGATCAGAGCAGAGACAGACAGAGAGAGATCAGAGCAGAGACAGTCAGATAGAGATCAGAGCAGAGACAGTCAGATAGAGATCAGAGCAGAGACAGATAGAGATCAGAGCAGAGACAGACAGACAGAGATCAGAGCAGAGACAGACAGACAGAGATCAGAGACAGAGAGAGATCAGAATAAAGACAGACAGAGAGACTTCACTACTGCTCCCCAGACACTCACCCAAAGACAAAGATCCCCCATATATCCTTAGCAGACTGTTGGGGCAAGTGCTGTTAGCGAGCATCCATAAACAGCGGCACGGCACACGAGGGGGTGGGTGGCCAATACCACGCCTGGCTTGCCTCTGTCTCCCGAGTGGCGATGTTCACACACCACACCAGGTACTAATTTGAGGCTCAGTCGACTTAGGGGAGGCCCAGCACCGGGTTCAAATAATCGTCACTGGTGTTGGTCGTAAGCAGCAATCGAACTCTGGTCGCCGGGTTCATAGCGCACCACGCTAACCGCTCCACTACCGCACCCCACTAGACACTCACTAGCACTCACACACGCATATTCTCATTCACACAGTCAACCACGCACTCACTCACCCACTCCAGAGAACAGGGGGAACAGACGAGTGGGGAATCGAACCTCGCTACCACGCCGGTGGCTCCGGACGCCACGCCGCTTTTCCTTCGGCCGCTTTCCCTTGGGCCGCTCCCGCCTCCAACTTCCGCTCGGTCGCGGCGGCGACTCGCCCGCGACGACGACCTTCTCTGGACTCCTGAACCTCTCTCCCTCTCGACCTCTTGACACCTGCACCTGTTGACCTCTTGACCGCTTGACCTTTCGACTTCTCTACACCTGGACCTCTTGACCTCTTGACCTTTCGACTTCTCTACACCTGGACCTCTTGACCTCTCGATACCTGGACCTCTTGACCTCTCGATACCTGGGCCTCTTGACCTCTCGATACCTGAACCTCTTGACATCTGGGCCATCTCGATGCCTTTGACCTCTCGACCTCTGTGCGGTGCCCACGCAGGCTACTACTCGCGCATCTCGACGCTGGCCAACGTGCCCGAGAACGTGATGCACTACCTGCCGGTGCTGAGCCGTCCCATGGCCATCAGCCGCGGCCACACGGTCATCTGGACCGAGGCCTACACTGACTACACGGTGAGCCCGGCACGGCACAGCACCGCTTTTTTTCCCATTGGGACGAGCTGAGCCGTGCTGGAGCCAGGTCGACCGGCTCAGAGGATTCACAAAGGGGGTCGCCGCGGTGGCCATGAGAAGTTAACTACCTCGCCTGGTATACAGGAGGTCGTGGGTTCAATCCCGACCCTGATGCCTGCTGCTGTGTATTTGGGATTTGCGTGTCTCTCTGGCTCTCTCACCGTGGTCGCCTGGATTTTTTTTCCGTTTTCCCTCCACAATTAGAATCAACGTCACGCGTTTCGATCGTTTAGATAATTTGGCTGCTCTAAATGTCCACGTGACGACCATAAGCCGCCACTCCGTTGAGCTGCCATTGGCGACGGCCAGGTGGCTTCTGCGAGAAGAGCTACTACACATCTCGGTGGGGCCCTCACCTGCTGATATGAGAAGAGCTACTACACATCTCGGTGGGGTTCTCACCTGCTGACATGAGAAGAGCTACTACACATCTCGGTGGGGCCCTCACCTGCTGACATGAGAAGAGCTACTACACATCTCGGTGGGGTTCTCACCTGCTGACATGAGAAGAGCTACTACACATCTCGGTGGGGCCCTCACCTGCTGACATGAGAAGAGCTACTACACATCTCGGTGGGGTTCTCACCTGCTGACATGAGAAGAGCTACTACACATCTCGGTGGCACAATCGTTTACACAGTTGCCACAGTGATGTCACCCGCGTGTCGTCGCTGGGACGTGTGTGTGTGTCTGTTCGACCGTCTCTGTGTGTGTGTGTCCCTGTGTCTGTCTGTATATGCCAACACCAGTGGCGATTTTCAGAACCGGTCTTGGGCCTTACCTAGGTCGACTCAGCCTAAAATTAGTAGCTGGTGCGGTGTGTAAACATCGACCCTAGAGAGACAAAGGCGGCCGAGCGTGGTGCTTGCCACCCACCCCCCTGTGTGTCGTGCGAGCCTTCACAGGTGCTAGCTAACAGCACTTTCCTCAACAGTCTGTTAAGGCTATACGGGGAATCTTTATCTGTTATGTATGTATGTGGCTCTGCGTCTCTGTACGTGTCTGTGTGTGTCCATGTGTGTCTGTGTGTTGGTGTCTGTATGTCTGTAGCGGGGAGCGGGAGAGTAGCGGTCGGCGCGCTGCGCTACAAACCGGTCGTAAACGTCGCCACTGGGGAGACAAAGGCGGCCGGGCATGGTGCTGGCCACCCACCCCCTCTTGTGCCGTGCCGGCCTTCATAGGCGCTACTCATTAACAGCACTTTCCCCAACAGTCTGTTAAGGCTATGCGGGGGACCTTTGTCTTTGTGTGTGTGTCTGTGTTGCAGCTGCCACAAGCACAGAAGGTAAGAACACTTTCACACGGAGCCCTAAATCACATCTACACTCCCATCATCATCACCACCACCACCACCATTATCACCATCGTCTCATCACGACCAACGCCACTGTGGTGGCTAGGAGATGTGAACTCCCTCGCCTGGTATACAGGAGGCCGTGGGTTCCATCCAGACCCTGACGATACCTGCTGTATATGTGGAGTTTGCGTGTGTCTCTATCTCATCATCATCACGGTGGCTAGGAGACGTGAACTTCCTCGCCTGGTGTACAGGAGGTCGCGGGTTCCATCGCGACCTTGCCGCCTGTTGTACATTTGCAGTTTGTGCATCTCTCGCTCTCTCTCCCCGGGGTCGCGTGGATTTGTCTCCGGGTCCTACTCCGGTTCCCCCCTCCACGTCTAGAATCGACGCCACCGTGCGTTGGGAGTATTTGGCTGCTGCGTTGGGAGTATTTGGCTGCTGCGTTGGGAGTATTTGGCTGCTGCGTTGGGAGTATTTGGCTGCTGCGTTGGGAGTATTTGGCTGCTGCGTTGGGAGTATTTGGCTGCTGCGTTGGGAGTATTTGGCTGCTGCGTTGGGAGTATTTGGCTGCTGCGTTGGGAGTATTTGGCTGCTGCGTTGGGAGTATTTGGCTGCTGCGTTGGGAGTATTTGGCTGCTGCGTTGGGAGTATTTGGCTGCTGCGTTGGGAGTATTTGGCTGCTGCGTTGGGAGTATTTGCCTGCTGCTTTGGGAGTATTTGCCTGCTGCGTTGCACCTCCACGTGACGACGGCGATGATACGCCGCCACGTCGTAGCCAGGTCGCTTCAGAGGGGCTTTACCCCTGGGCTCAGATACGTTGACCCCGGTCTAGTCGTCAAGTAAAGTTTGAGTGGCAGAGGTCACGTAGGGGTCACAGAAGAGCTATACGGGAGGGACGGAGTGGAGGGGCGAGGGGAGGGGCGAGGGGAGGGGCGAGGAAGGGAAGAGGAAGGGAAGAGGAAGGGAATGGGCGCTGCAGAAGAGGCGGTGACGCTTTGAGAGAGGAACGGAAGGACGTGAAGGAGGTGGAGTGATCGACGTGCATAGTCGTGGCATTATCACAGAGTCGTCATGCTGCGAGTAATGCGACCAACGGTTGCCATGAATTAGCATAATCAATTAGCGTCGTTAACAGCATTCATTAGCGTCGTTAACATCATTCATTAGCGTCGTTAACAGCATTAATTAGCGTCGTTAACATCATTAATAAGCGTCGTTAACATCATTCATTAGCGTCGTTAACATCATTAATTAGCGTCGCTAACATCATTAATTAGCGTCGATAACTAAACTAATTTAATGACTCCTCGAACTTGAAACGGATTCGTGTGGAAATCTGCACGAATGGAGATCGGCTGCGTGGGCAGGGCATTAATGAACGACTAAATGAAGGGATTATTTAAAGGTGAGTGGGTAATTGATGTTATGGATGAGTGGATGAATGATTTGCTGAAGGAATGAATGTCAAGCCGATTGAATTTCTGACCAAATGGATTGCAGACTGAATGATGGGATGAATGACGAATTAAATGAATTGACGATGTGCAATCAATGAACTCATGAATGTCTGAATGAATCACAGAGGAATGTTTTCGAATCCATAAAATCAAATGACTTAATTACTGAAAATTAATTTAAATTAAATTACTTAATCAATTACTGAAAATTAATTAAAAACAGACTGAATGAAATTATAATTACAGATGTATTGGCTGAATTAATGAATTGACGCTTGCTGACGATACCTGGCCAAAAAATATTCCAGAACTGTATGGACGAGTGAATGAACACGCAACTGAATGAATGCGTGAGTTTAATTAACTGCTGACAAAATTATTGGCCAAATGAACGAGTGAGTGAATGAACGAGTGAGTGAATGAACGAGTGAAGGAATGAACGAGTGAAGGAATGAACGAGTGAAGGAGTGAACGTCTCTCGCCCCCGCCCCCCCGGCCACCAGCTGCTCACGCTGGCATCTCAGGATCACTTCCTCAAGACGTCCGTTGCCATGCCCGTCTTCAGCGGCAAGTCCGACATGGTGAGAAAACCACCACCATCGCCACAACTACCACAGCCACCACGATCACCACCACCATCACAACCACCACCATCACCACAACCACCACGACCACCGCCACTACCACCACCACTACCACCACCACTACCACCACCAGTGGTGTGCTGCTGTGTAGAAGTCACGTGGTGTGCTGCTCTGTAGAAGTCACGTGGTGTGCTGCTCTGTGTAGAAGTCACGTGGTGTGCTGCTCGGCGTGGTGGGACTCGACGTGCCGTTGAAGGACATCCTCCGTGTGGTCCCTCGCTACAAGGTACCAGCAGCCTCCTTCTTGCTGATGATGCCGATGATGCTGATAATTATTTTGCTGATTATTCTGATGATTCTGATGATAATTTATGCTACTTCTGGTACTTATGATTTTGTTTTTGCTGATTCTGCTCCTGCTGGTGATCATGAAATTGCTGGTGTTAATGTTGCTGCTGATGACGATGATGTTGATCTTGATGATATCGATAATTGGTGCTGATGATGATGTTGCTGCTGATTATGCTGATGGTGTTGCTGCTGCTGATACTATTACTGCTGCTGATGATGCTGCTGCTAATGGTGATGCTGCTGCTGATGCTGCTGTTGATGGTGATGGTGCTGCTGTTGCTGCTGATGATGCTCCTGCTGATGATGATGCTGCTGCTGATGATGCTGCTGCTAATGATGCTGATGCTGCTGCTTCCATTGCAGCTGGGGGAGCATGGCTACGCGTTTGCCATCACCAACAACGGCTACATCTTGAGCCACCCCGACCAGAGACCCCTGGTGAGTGCCATCTCTTATTATTGTTGTTGTCACCAAACTGTTTGAACAAGTTAAGGCTCCACTGAGCTACGCAGCTCTCTCTCTTTCACAAGCCACTTGGCCATCACAAATGAAAAGCTCAACGAAGTGGCTCACCACCAGGATTATCATCGCGTGGATTTTTTCTCCGGTTCCTCCGGTGTTTCCCCCTCCACATTTGGAATCAACGTCACGCATTTAGGAGTATTAAGCGACTGCTATAACTTTACGCGCGACGGCGATGATGATGATGATGAGCCGCCAACTTCATTGTGCCATTATTTGTGATGGCCAGGGTCACTTATGAAAATGAAGAGCGACGTAGCTCACAAGTGAGCCCTAACCTGGGCAAAATAGAAATGAAGTTGAGTTAAAAACGCCATCTCCTGGCCACCAACCTACAACGCCTGGCAAGACCCCTGGTTGACCGGCGGCCATCACACACCGGGCCGCTGAGCAGGCTGGCCACTGGCCTGCTGAGGCCCACGCTCCCCCGTCCGTGTGAGAGTGCAGTACAGAGAGGGAGGGAAATTCAAGGCCAAGCCGCATAGCGTCGACCTGCTGGAGGTGGAGTGGGGCGAGCAGGACGACGTGGTGAGTCTCGCACAGGCGGAGGCCAGCAGGTGCGCACAGGGGCAGCCCCCCCCCCCATAGGGTCACTCAGAGGGCCTCACACAGAGACCCATAGGGTCACTCAGAGGTCCATAGACTCACACAGAGACCCATAGGGTCACTCAGAGGGCCATAGACTCACACAGCGACCCATAGGGTCACTCAGAGGGCCATAGACTCACACAGAGACTCATATGATCACTCAGAGGGCCATAGATTGACACAGAGACCCATATGATCACTCAGAGGGCCATAGATTCACACAGAGACCCATATGATCACTCAGAGGGCCATAGATTCACACAGAGACTCATAGGCTCACTCAGAAGGCCATAGACTCACACAGAGACCCATATGATCACTCAGAGGGCCATAGACTCACACAGAGACCCATATGATCACTCAGAGGGCCATAGATTCACACAGAGACCCATATGATCACTCAGTTCCATAGACTCACACAGAGACCCATAGTATCACTCAGAGGTCCATATGATCACCCAGAGACCCATAGACTCAGAGACCCATAGATTCACTCAGTTCCATAGACTCACACGGAGACCCATAGACTCACACAGAGAACCATAGACTCACACAGAGACCCATCAACTCACACAGAGACCCATATACTCACACAGAGACCCATAGACTCACACAGAGACCCATAGACTCACACAGAGACCCATAGACTCACAACGAACCCCCCTCGTAGGCGTCGCTCCGTGCTTCGCTGCAGAGGTGCTGCTCGCTAACGGCACTTGCCCCCACAGCCTGGGCGCGCTGCACGGGGAAGCTTTGTCTCTACGCACGCGCGTCTCCCTGTTGCCACAGTTGCGGGCGGCGATGGTGAACAGACAGACAGGTTCCTACTCCTCGAACATACGGATGAACGTCCCGATCTCAGAGGTGAGCTCCTCTCCTGTCCGGAGCCAACTCCCTCCACGGAACACTCAGCAATCCGCCACAATCACCGCGACAGCGGCAACGACCACGACAATGGCCAGCATCTTCCGTCCCTCACTTAGAACAACCCCCATCGCTTCTGTCCAATCCCAGCAGCAGCATCATCATCCTGCTGCTCCCTCGCCCCCCTTCTGTGACCAGCCCTACCACACACCCTACACTACTCCCTGCCCCTATCACTATCCCAATCACTAACCCTATCACTAACCCAACCCCTATCACCACCCCTGCCCCTATCACCACCCCTATCACTATCCCAATCACTACCCCTACCCCTGTCACTACCTCAACCCCTATCATTACCCCAACACCTAATACAACCCCAACCCCTATCACTACCCCTATCACTACCCCTATCCCTACCCCTACCGCTATCACCACCCCTATCACATTCCTACACTATCACCATCTCTACCGCTACCACCACCCCTACCACCACTCCTACCACCACCCCTACCACTACCCCTATCACCACCCCTATCACCACCCCTACCAACCACCCCTATCACTACCCCTATCACCACCCCTATCACCACCCCTATCACCACCCCTATCACCACCCCTATCACCACCCCTACCAACCACCCCTATCACTACCCCTACCACCACCCCTATCACTACCCTATCACTACCCCTATCACCACCCCTATCACCACCCCTATCACCACCCCTATCACTACCCCTATCACTACCCCTATCACCACCCCTATCACCACCCCTATCACCACCCCTACCACCACCCCTATCACTACCCCTATATCAACCCCTCTTTAACCTCCTGTCACCATAGCTACACCACCACCATTCACGACGATAATGAGCCAAGGATGTCTGTGTGTCCCGCGTGTGACGTCACTCCACATCGGCCAGCCCGCCTCATTAACACTCATGAACAGGTGACGTCGCTCGACATTGGCCAGCCCGCCTCATTAACACTCATGAACAGGTGACGTCACTCCACATCGGCCAGCCCGCCTCATTAACACTCATGAACAGGTGACATCACTCCACATCGGCCAGCCCGCCTCATTAACACTCATGAACAGGTGACGTCACTCGACATCGGCCAGCCCGCCTCATTAACACTCATGAACAGGTGACATCACTCCACATCGGCCAGCCCGCCTCATTAACACTCATGAACAGGTGACGTCACTCCACATGGACCCCCCCCCTCATTAGTAACCATGAGTGGGTGACGTCATTCCACATGTAGCACCCCCCCTCATTAACACTCATGAACAGGTGACGTCACTCCACATGGACCCCCCCCCTCATTAATAACCATGAGCGGGTGACGTCACTCCACATATAGCACCCCCTCATCAATAATCATGAACAGGTGATGTCACTCCACATGTAGCACCCCCCTCATTAATAATCATGAACAGGTGATGTCACTCCACATGTAGCACCCCCCTCATTAATAATCATGAACAGGTGATGTCACTCCACATGTAGCACCCCCCTCATTAATAATCATGAGCGGGTGACGTCACTCCACATCGAACAATTGCTCTAAAGCACCTTCGAAAAAACAAGGCACTATATACAGTATATATATTTACTGGGAATTATCAGTTTAAGTTCTGAGTTACGTTCCTGGCAAACAAGACTTGAAACTGATACAAGGTTGACCGATCAGCTGTTTTTCCCCATACGAATGAACGACAACACGGGAGATGCGTTCCAGCACTCCAATAGTCTACACGTGCAGTCTTAACCAATCAGGGAGACTAATCATCTAGGAACTCCTCCACGTGCGAGCGAGTTAGGTTCCAGGGGTCCCTTCGTACGTCGATTTGTTCGTGATTTCAAACTTTACTCCTGTCGATTACAAAATGTTGTACGGCGTGTACACTAAACACACGGAATAGCGTTAAAAGTGGTATCTCCTCTACATGTAGGTGCAACTGGTTCTTCATGTTCTGTAGATGTAGATGCCACTGGTTCTTCGTGTTCTGTAGAAGTAGATGCCACTGGTTCTTCACGTTCTGTAGATGTAGATGCCACTGGTTCTTCATGTTCTGTAGATGTAGATGCCACTGGTTCTTCACGTTCTGTAGAAGTAGATGCCACTGGTTCTTCACGTTCTGTAGATGTAGATGCCACTGGTTCTTCATGTTCTGTAGATGTAGATGCCACTGGTTCTTTACGTTCTGCAGTTGTAGATGCCACTGGTTCTTCATGTTCTGTAGAAGTAGATGCCACTGGTTCTTCACGTTCTGTAGATGTAGATGCCACTGGTTCTTCACGTTCTGTAGAAGTAGATGCCACTGGTTCTTCACGTTCTGTAGATGTAGATGCCACTGGTTCTTCACGTTCTGTAGATGTAGATGCCACTGGTTCTTCACGTTCTGTAGATGTAGATGCCACTGGTTCTTCACGTTCTGTAGAAGTAGATGCCACTGGTTCTTCACATTCTGTAGATGTAAATGCCACTGGTTCTTCACGTTCTGTAGATGTAGATGCCACTGGTTCTTCACGTTCTGCAGATGTAGATGCCACTGGTTCTTCACGTTCTGTAGATGTAGATGCCACTGGTTCTTCACGTTCTGTAGATGTAGATGCCACTGGTTCTTCACGTTCTGTAGATGTAGATGCCACTGGTTCTTCACGTTCTGCAGATGTAGATGCCACTGGTTCTTCACGTTCTGTAGATGTAGATGCCACTGGTTCTTCACGTTCTGTAGATGTAGATGCCACTGGTTCTTCACGTTCTGTAGATGTAGATGCCACTGGTTCTTCACGTTCTGTAGAAGTAGATGCCACTGATTCTTCACGTTCTGTAGATGTAGATGCCACTGGTTCTTCACGTTCTGTAGAAGTAGATGCCACTGGTTCTTCACGTTCTGTAGATGTAGATGCCACTGGTTCTTCACGTTCTGTAGATGCAGATGCCACTGGTTCTTCACGTTCTGTAGATGTAGATGCCACTGGTTCTTCACGTTCTGTAGATGTAGATGCCACTGGTTCTTCACGTTCTGTAGATGTAGATGCCACTGGTTCTTCACGTTCTGTAGATGTAGATGCCACTGGTTCTTCACGTTCTGTAGATGCAGATGCCACTGGTTCTTCACGTTCTGTAGATGTAGATGCCACTGGTTCTTCACGTTCTGTAGATGTAGATGCCACTGGTTCTTCACGTTCTGCAGATGTAGATGCCACTGGTTCTTCACGTTCTGTAGATGTAGATGCCACTGGTTCTTCACGTTCTGTAGATGTAGATGCCACTGGTTCTTCACGTTCTGTAGATGTAGATGCCACTGGTTCTTCACGTTCTGTAGATGCAGATGCCACTGGTTCTTCACGTTCTGTAGATGTAGATGCCACTGGTTCTTCACGTTCTGTAGATGTAGATGCCACTGGTTCTTCACGTTCTGTAGATGTAGATGCCACTGGTTCTTCACGTTCTGTAGATGTAGATGCCACTGGTTCTTCACGTTCTGTAGATGCAGATGCCACTGGTTCTTCACGTTCTGTAGATGTAGATGCCACTGGTTCTTCACGTTCTGTAGATGCAGATGCCACTGGTTCTTCACGTTCTGTAGATGTAGATGCCACTGGTTCTTCACGTTCTGTAGATGTTGATGCCACCACCGCCATCTGTTGTACGGTGGTTGAACTTGCGATTCTCGGTCCGAACAGGCAACTGGACACAAGGACCAGGTTTGTTCGTATCTCTGGAAGTTCGTAAGTCGATTGTTTGTAAATAGAGGAGTCCCCGTGCTAAATAATAAAGTAAGTACAATATATATTTACACACAAATGCAAGTAATGTATTACATAAAACAATGATATAAGGTACGTAATAGACACTTATATTGCCATAGGTGTGTAACTATTAACATTGGTGAGTCAGTTTAACAGTCAGTTTAACACTGTATAGTTCATAAGAGGTTTCTTGGGTGAGATTGTGTAACTCTGCAACACACAAGCGGTGTGCTGCTGTACTAGGAACGAATTGGCCATGTTTTGTTTACGCGACACAAACCTCACTCATTGGCTGCGTTGGCTCGTGGTGGCGGGTTTAACGAAGGGGGTGGCGTGGAGGTGGATGAGGGTGGTGGGAGGGGGTAGCGTGGAGGTGGAGGATTAAGGGGGGAGGAGGTGGATGATGGAGGGGGTGGTGTGGAGGTGGATGATGGAGGGGGTGGTGTGGAGGTGGATGATGGAGGGGGGTGGTGTGGAGGTGGATGATGGAGGGGGGTGGTGTGGAGGTGGAGGTGGATGATGGAGGGGGGGGTGTGGAGGTGGATGAGGTGGATGATGGAGGGGGTGGTGTGGAGGTGGACGCTACGCTCTGCAGTGTGGGCATGGAATGAGAGGGTCAATGGGTTGCCACGCAACGATGTCTCCGATTTGCCAACGGCGTTTGGACGATGGAACGTGAACCGATGCGGCTTAAACCGATTGTCGCCACTTGAATTTGTTTAAGATTAGAATATAAGAAGGAGGAGGATGATGATGATAATTACTACAGTCCCATCCGCTCGAATGTTTCGCTGAACAGCTCCGAGCGAGCCGGTTAACATCTCGCTTCCTTTGCTCGGAGATGTTAGCTCTCTCGCTCGGTGTGCAGGAGCTCGTGGGTTCAATCCTGACCCTGATGCCTGCTGTACATTTGGAGTTTACGTTGTCACTTTCTCCCTATGGTTGCGTAGATTTTTCTCCGGGTCCTCCGGTTTTCCCCTCCGCATTTAGAATAAACATCACCACGCATTTAGTGTATTTGGCTGCTATAAATGTCCACGTGATGACGATGATGATGATCAGCCACTTCACAGAGCTCCCATTTGCGATAGGCCAGGTGGCTTCTGAAAACAGAGCTGTGCCGAGCTCAGTGGGACTTACCTGGTAAAATGAAGATGTTCCTAGTTTTTAGTTTAGTTTCTCGCCATGGCAGGGCGGGTCAGGAGCAGCCGCGCCGTGGCCCGGAGTGGACGGTGCGCGCACGGTGCGCTGTGCGTAGTAAACATCGCCACTGGGAAGATAAAGGCGGCCGGGAGTGGTGATGGCCACCCACCCCCCTCGTGTGCCGAGGCGGCTTTCATAGGTGCTGTTACCGCTAGCGAGCAGCACTTGCCCCAGCAGTCTGTCAAAGCTATCCGAGGGATCTTTGTCTTTGTTGTTGCTTCATGGTTCCCACGCTGGGCGGCGCTGCTCTGCACAAGTTCTCCTCCTGGACTCTGGTTGTTGTTGTTGTTGTTGTTGCTGTTGTTGCTGTTGTTGTTGCTGTTGTTGTTTGTTACCCGTGTGTCCCTTCCTATTGTTGTTTATTATCCATTTGTCCGTTCCTCCTCCAACACAGGAAAGGATTTTGCCGCTGACCAAGGAATTCTACTACACGGATATCAAGAACACGCCCTTCAGGTGAGTACCACCACCACCATCGCCACCACCACCACCACCACCGTCGTCACCATTACCACCACTGGCATCGTCATCGTTACCGTCATCATCTTGATCGTCACCGTCATCATCGTCACTGTCATCATCGTTATCATCGTCATCGTCATCATCACCGTCATCATCATCACCGTCATCATCATCACCGTCATCATCACCACCATCATCACCACCACCGTCATCATCATCATCACCAGCCGCGGTCACACCACCGCCGGCTGTCGCCCTCCTCCCCGCTCTGCCGCCACCGCCGTGGCCGCCGCCTCCTCCTCTTGTCCTCCTCCTCCCATGGCGATCTGCCCGGCAGGGCGGCCCCGCCACGCCGCCTCTCGTCGCCGCTCCGTCTCCGCTGCGCACGACCCTCGCGGCCGCCTTCCGTCGCTTTTTCTTCGCCACTCCGCGATCAGTGGCCCTCGCTCCCTTCTCTTTGTCATCGTCATCATCGCCGTGGTCTATCCACTGCTGGTTGGAGATCAGTGTGGTGATGACGTCACGACCCCACGTGTGTTCTCTGCTCCGTGTGCTCCTCGTTCTCTGCCCGTCTCTCTTCGCATGGCACGGCAATCACGGACGTCCCACGGCCTCCGTCTCTGTCCCCACATCTCCACTCGTCCCCGTTGTGTCTCACTCAGCCTTGGAATCGTCCTGGGTGGCTCCTATGGGAAGTTCATCTTCAGCGCCAACGTCTCCCTGGCCGAAGGTGGACGGGGGACTGGGACACTGGGACATCGGGCACTGGGACACTGGGACACGGGGACACGGGACACTGGGACACGGGGACACGGGACACTGGGACACTGGGACATGGGGACACGGGACACTGAGACACGGGGGTGAGTGGCTGCGTGAGTGAGTTACTGACTGGGTGAGCGAATGATTGGGTGAGTGAGTAAGTGACTGCGTGAGTGAGTGAGTGAGTGACTGCGTGAGTGACTGGGTGAATGAGTGACTGCGTGAGTGAGTGACTGGGCGAGTGAGTGAGTGAGTGAGTGAGCGAGCGAGTGAGTGACTGCAGGAGTGACTACATGAGTGAGTGACTGAGTTAGTGAGTGACTGCGTGAGTGAGGGATTGAGCGAGCGAATTACTGCATGAGTGAATGCGTGAGTGCGTAAGTGAGTGCGTGAGTAAGTGAGTGACTGCATTCACGAGTGACTGCGTGAGCGAGTGACTGGATGAGCGAGTGGCTACGTGTGTGAGTGACTGGGTGAGCGAGTGACTGGGTGAGCGAGTGACTGGGTGAGCGAGTGACTGCGTGATCGAGTGAGTGAGTGCGTGTGTGACTGCATGCACGAGTGACTGCGTGATCGAGTGATTGGATGAGCGAGTGGCTACGTGTGTGAGTGACTAGATGAGCGAGTGACTGGGCGAGCGAGTGACTGCGTGAGCGAGGGACTGCATGCATGAGTGACTGCGTGATCAAGTGACTGGATGAGCGAGTGGCTACGTGTGTGAGTGACTAGATGAGCGAGTGACTGGGCAAGCGAGTGACTGCGTGATCAAGTGACTGGATGAGCGAGTGACTGCGTGATCAAGTGACTGGATGAGCGAGTGGCTACGTGTGTGAGTGACTGGATGAGCGAGTGACTGCGTGATCGAGTGACTGGATGAGCGAGTGGCTACGTGTGTGAATGACTGGATGAGCGAGTGACTGCGTGATCGAGTGACTGGATGAGCGAGTGGCTACGTGTGTGAGTGACTGGATGAGCGAGTGACTTCGTGATCGAGTGACTGGATGAGCGAGTGGCTACGTGTGTGAGTGACTGGGTGAGCGAGTGACTGCGTGATCGAGTGACTGGATGAGCGAGTGGCTACGTGTGTGAATGACTGGATGAGCGAGTGACTGCGTGATCGAGTGACTGGATGAGCGAGTGGCTACGTGTGTGAGTGACTGGATGAGCGAGTGACTGCGTGATCGAGTGACTGGATGAGCGAGTGGCTACGTGTGTGAGTGACTGGATGAGCGAGTGACTGCGTGATCGAGTGACTGTGTGATCGAGGGACTGGATGAGCGAGTGACTGGGCGAGCGAGTGATTGGATGAGCGAGTGGCTATGTGAATGAGTGACTGGGCGAGCGAGTGAGCAGTTCACCAGCCGCCCGGACCTCGGCTCTACTCCGAGGTCTCTCTCCCTCTCGCTCCGGTGGCAGCGGCGAGACTGCCGGAGCCGCGAGCCCGCCAGGCGTTCGTTCCGAGCGTCTGCCGTTGAGTGCGAGACTCGACCCCCTCGATCCCCCTCGACCCCCTCACTCTCTGTGTCTCTCTTTCTCCTTCACCCCCGGCTGGACGTGCCGGTGCCTCGCAGCGCTGGAGGACCTGGCCCACCCTGACGTGATGCTCTCCAACGAGTGGTGAGTCCCCTGCACGCTTGAGTCTCAAGCAACCCGTTGGCCGGCGGCGGTCCTTGCCGGCTGTTCGCGGCGGGGAGGGTGGAGCGATGTTGCGTGTGTGTGGGTGGGTGTTAAGGCTACACAGGGGATATTTGTCTTTGTGCAAGGACTTACTGCCACACGGAAGAGGATCCACACCTGCACAAGGTGTCCCAGCTGGAGTCGGTGCAGAGATACCTGTCCGGGGAGAAGCTCGGACTCCGATGTGAGTACTCGCATCATCATCATCATCATCGGCCGTGGTCTACCCACTGCTGCTGGATCAAAATCAGGAGTGTATTCCCCACTGAGAGCTTTTTTACGAGGGGCGACTCGGCTGGCAGACGACATAAAGCATTCTTTGATTACAGAAACAAAATTCAAACTCCGCTCAAAAACAACAGCAACAGCCGCCATTCACCACTAAGTGACGGCAATGTCTCCACGCCTCTCGTGCCAGGCCAGGTGCACTTTGAGGCCACGTGAAGTGTCGAAGCCTCGCTGGCAGGAGGTCATGGAACAGATCCAGGTGGCATGGGTTGACTGACTGAGATGACTCAGATGTACCACCTGTGCCCCCTGCTGAGCCACCTCACTGTGTTTTTTCTGCCCGGCGCTCCGCCCGTTGTTGTGAGCGTCGCTCCTCTGCCCTGTGTTGTTGCTAGAGGGCGACTGCCTCCAGCTGGCCAGTAGCAGTGTCCTCCACAAGCCTCCTCCACACACTCACCCATGTACACCCACTCACTCATCATCGTCTTTCCATGCTTCTCTGTGCAACTTCTCCGTCCACGTTTCCGTGTTACCGTTTGCGTTTAGTCGTCATCTTCATCATTATCGTCGTCGTCCCTGTAATTGTATTTGTCTCCGCCTAGCGGCCGGCCGGGAGCCTACCTCCTCGCCTGATGCATGCCCCTCCTCCCCCCCACTGGGCAGGCAACAACGAGCTGATCCGCCAGGTGATGTTCGACGCGGTGGTGTCGGCCCCGCTGGAGGCCTACTGGACCAACCTCATGCTCAACAAGTCCCAGTGAGCGCCACTCGCACACCCGCCGGGATGAACGCCGGCCCCAACAGAGCCACCAACTCTAACCGTAGCCCTAACCCAACCCTATCCCGAGCCTCAACCCCAACACAGCCCGAACGTTTTCCCTAACCCAACCCTAACCCCAACCCAACCCTAAACATAACCTTAACAGGACCCTAATCCAAACCTAATCTTAACCTAACCCTAACCCAGTACTAATCCAATCTTAACCCCAATCCAACTCTAACCATAACCTTAACGCCAGCCCTAACCCAAACCTAACTCTAACCCAACTCTAACCCCAACCTAGCCCTAACCAAACCTAAACCCTAACCCCAACCCAGCCCAGCCCTAACACTATACCTAAACCAACCCTAAACATAACCTTAATGCCAGCTCTAACTAAACCCAACTCTAACCTAACCTTAGCCCAATCCAAACCCAAACCTAATCTTAACCCAACCCAACCCTTCCCTCATTCAGCCCCTAACCCAACTTCAACCATAACTCGACCCTAACCCAACCCTACCCCATCCCTAACCCCAACCCCAACCCTAACCCAAACCTACCCCATCCCTAACCCCAACCCTAACCCAACCCTACCCCATCCCTAACCCAACCCTACCCCAACCCTAACCCAACCCTAACCCATCCCTAACCCATCCCTAACCCCAACCCCAACCCCAACCCTAACCCCAACCCTAACCCAACCCTAACCCAACCCTAACCCATCCCTAACCCCAACCCCAACCCTAACCCATCCCTAACCCCAACCCTAACCCATCCCTAACCTCAACCCCAACCCTAACCCATCCCTAACCCCTAACCCAACCCTAACCCATCCCTAACCTCAACCCCAACCCTAACCTAACCCCAACCCTAACCCATCCCTAACCCCAACCCTAACCCATCCCTAACCTCAAACCCAACCCTAACCCATCCCTAACCCAACCCTAACCCATCCCTAACCCCAACCCCAACCCTAACCTAACCCCAACCCTAACCCAACCCTAACTCATCCCTAACCCCTACCCCAAACCTAACCCAACCCTAACCCATCCCTCACCCCAACCCTAACCTCACCCCAACCCCAACCCATCCCTAACCCCAACCCCAACCCTAACCCAACCCTAACCTATCCCTAACCCATCCCTAACCCCAACCCCAACCCTAACCCAACCCTAACCCAACCCTCACCCCAACCCCAAGCCTAACCCATCCCTAACCCTAACCCCAACCCTAACCCATCCCTAACCCCAACCCTAACCCAACCCTAACCCCAACCCCAACCCTAACCCAACCCCAACCCCAACCCTAACCCAACCCTAACCCATCCCTAACCCCAACCCCAACCCTAACCCAACCCTAACCCATCCCTAACCCCAACCCCAACCGTAACCCATCCTTAACCCATCCCTAACCTCAACCCTAACCCAACCCTAACCCAACCCTAACCCAACCCTAACCCTAACCTTAACCCTAATCCATCCTAGATTTGAAGCTTTCGTGACTGCAAGGATTCATATTCTTAGGTTTTTTCGGTAAAGTCACGTAGGTAAAACATCAAAATTAATAAAAAATAAATAAAATAAAACAAAAATCTCGACGTTTCGGAGGCAACACAAGTCTCCGTCATCAGGTGGGACCGTCACAGCCGGATTAGCTGCATCAAGTGAGGCAATGATTCAAGATGTAATCCCTTAAAAAGCAAGTTGAGGGGGAGGAGAGGGGGGGGGGAGCTCATCAGAATGTGGTAGCCAATGAATGGAACGTATCGGTAGGGAGGGGGGGCGGGGCTCAAAGACGGCACGGAGTGCCAACGTACAACGCATCGGGACAGGGAAGGGGGGGCGGGGCCAAAAGAATGCACGACGGCATGGACGCGGTTGCTGCTGTACAACGCATCGGGAGGGGGAGAAGGGGCGGGGCCAAAGAATGCACGACGGCCGTCGTGCATTCTTTGGCCCCGCCCCCCTCCCTCCCGATATGTTCCATTCATTGGCTACCACATTCTGATTAGCTCCCCCCCCCCTCTCCTCCCCCTCAACTTGCTTTTTAAGGGATTACATCTTGAATCATTGCCTCACTTGATGCAGCTAATCCGGCTGTGACGGTCCCACCTGATGACGGAGACTTGTGTTGCCTCTCCGAAACGTCGTGATTTTTGTTTTATTTTATTTATTTTTATTAATTTTGATGTTTTACCTACGTGACTTTACCGAAAAAACCTAAGAATACCTAACCCATCCCTAACCCCAACCCTAACCCCAACCCATCCCTAACCCATCCCTCACCCATCCCTCACCCATCCCTCACCCATCCTTAACCCAACCCTAACCCATCCCTCACCCATCCCTCACCCATCCTTAACCCATCCCTCACCCATCCCTAACCCATCCCTCACCCATCCCTCACCCATCCTTAACCCAACCCTAACCCATCCCTCACCCATCCCTCACCCATCCTTAACCCAACCCTAACCCATCCCTCACCCATCCCTCACCCATCCTTAACCCAACCCTAATCCATCCCTAACCCAACCCTAACCCATCCCTCACCCATCCCTCACCCATCCTTAACCCAACCCTAATCCATCCCTAACCCAACCCTAACCCATCTCTCACCCATCCCTCACCCATCCTTAACCCAACCCTAACCCATCCCTCACCCATCCCTCACCCATCCTTAACCCAACCCTAACCCATCCCTCACCCATCCTTAACCCAACCCTAACCCATCCCTCACCCATCCTTAACCCAACCCTAAGCCATCCCTAACCCAACCCTAACCCATCCCTCACCCATCCCTCACCCATCCTTAACCCAACCCTAATCCATCCCTCACCCATCCCTCACCCATCCCTCACCCATCCCTCAACCGAACCTCGCCGCCGTGTGCGTGGTGGCTTCTGCCTTTGGATGCTGCCGCGCGCAGGAACCTGGAGCTGGGCGTCGAGCAGGCCTTCCTTGGGACTCGGTCGGGGCTCCTGAGGAAAGCCGAGTTCCTGGGATCGGAGAAGATCACCGACAGGTTGAGGCCAAACCCGCGCCGGCCGCACCCTGCGATGAACCCCCTGGCGTGCGCGCGCGGCGCCGGCGTGGGGACCTCGTGGCGCGCGTTTGTCCCTTTCTTCTGCTGACACGGCCTAACCTGGAACTTCTAAACGACCCTTTGTCATCTCAAGTCCGGTAGCCAGCTGAGCTACGTCGCCTCTTTCTCACTACGAGAGCCGCTGGCTGTCGCAAACGAGCGCAGCCCAACAGAGTGGCGGCTCGCTCTAAATGTGGGTTCTAAATGTGGGTTCTAAATGTGGGTTCTAAATGTGGGAGGGGAAAAACCGGAGGGACCTGGAGAAAAATCCACGCGGCCACAGGGAGAGAGAGACAGACAGCAGGCATGAGGGTCGGGATCGAACCCATGACCTCCTGCATACCAGGTGAAGTAGTTAACATCTTGGCACCCGAGCCTAGCCTGTGTCGCGGTGCGGTTGACTGTGCGGGTGTCGTGGTGTGGCTGGCTGTGCTAGTGTCGTGGTGGGGCTGGCCTGTGCGGGCGTGGTGGTGTGGCTTGCTGTGCGGGCGTGGTGGTGTGGCTGGATGTGCAGTTGTCGTGGTGGGGCTGGCTGTGCGGGCATGGTGGTGTGGCTGGCTGTGCGGACGTGGTGGTGTGGCTGGACTGTGCGGACGTGGTGGTGTTGTCTCTGCTCAAGAGATTTCCTGACGGATGACCAGAAGGACACCCTCTTCACGGTGGAGCGGTTCCCCCTGTGGTTCCGGCGTGCCAGCGCCCTGCCGCCTGGCAACTTCATCTACTCGGTGCCCTTCAAGGCCGGTGGGAGCGCCACCACCACCGCTGCCACCACCACCACCAATACCACCGCCAGCAGCACCACCACAGCCACCACCACCCCATCACAGCCACCACCGCCACCACCACTGCCACCACCGCCGCCACTGTCACCATCTCCACCACCACAACCACCTCCACAACCACCGCCGCCACCACCACGACCACCACAATCACCACCGCCACCACCACCGCCACCACCACCGCCACCACTGACATCACCGCGACCACCACCACAGCCACTGCCGCCACCGCCAGCAGCACCAACACAGCCACCACCACCGTCACAGCCACAACCGCCAACACCACAACCACCATCCACACCACCACAACCACCACCGCCACTACCACTGCAACCGCTACCAACACCACAACAACTACCACCACCACCAGCCATGTAAGAACCATCTGCTCTCTGCAGTAACCCCCCTCCCCCTTCCCCCCAGGCACCACCAACAGGAGCACGGCGGTGACTGCCAGCACAGCGATCACCGTGTCGGCAAACCGGCGCACGGCCACAGCCGCCGGTGATACCAGCACTGCACCAGCACCACCTTACAAACACCACCACGCCATCTCCACCGCGCCATGACCACACCACCACACAATCACAAACAGTGGCGGTGGAGGCAAGCCAGTTGATGAGGGAGTGGAGGCAGGAGATGTTGTAGCTGGCCCTGCTGGTGATGTAGAGAAGCCAGTGGAGGAGAGAGTGGAGGCAGAAGATGTTGTAGCTGACCCTGCTGGTGATGGTGGGAAGCGAGTGGAGGTGGGAGTGGAGGCAGGAGATCTTGTAGCTGGCCCTGCTGGTGATGGAGGGAAGCCAGTGGAGGAGGGAGTGGAGGCAGGAGATCTTGTAGCTGACCCTGCTGGTGATGGTGGGAAGCCAGTGGAGGAGGGAGTGGAGGCAGGAGATCTTGTAGCTGACCCTGCTGGTGATGGTGGGAAGCCAGTGGAGGAGGGAGTGGAGGCAGGAGATCTTGTAGCTGACCCTGCTGGTGATGGTGGGAAGCCAGTGGAGGAGGGAGTGGAGGCAGGAGATGATGTAGCTGACCCTGCTGGTGATGGTGGGAAGCCAGTGGAGGAGGGAGTGGAGGCAGGGGATGATGTAGCTGACCCTGCTGGTGATGGTGGGAAGCGAGTGGAGGTGGGAGTGGAGGCAGGAGATGATGTAGCTGACCCTGCTGGTGATGGTGGGAAGCCAGTGGAGGAGGGAGTGGAGGCAGGAGATGATGTAGCTGACCCTGCTGGTGATGGTGGGAAGCCAGTGGAGGAGGGAGTGGAGGCAGGGGATGATGTAGCTGACCCTGCTGGTGATGGTGGGAAGCGAGTGGAGGTGGGAGTGGAGGCAGGAGATGATGTAGCTGACCCTGCTGGTGATGGTGGGAAGCCAGTGGAGGAGGGAGTGGAGGGAGGTAAATCTCTCTGAGGGATGAGAGGCGCTGCGATCGAATGTTCGTGGAAGCCGGTGGGGGTTTCCCCGTGTCGCTCGATGAGGAGTGAACGATGGACGAAGTGGCGGTGGTGCGGGCGTGACTCCCCCCCCCTCCTCGACTCAGCCACGGGCGAGGCTGTTAGCGAGTCCCGCAGTGATGCGTGGACGTAGATAACGGGCGGCCCTCGATGGATGAGACGCCATGGCGAGCGACCCGGAGATGCTTGCGTTGCCCTTGTCATGTTCGTCTCTTGGCGTTCTGACGCCAGTGAGATGAGGCCAACGCGTATATTACCAGAGCGCGTTTTGCCACCGTTCTGTGTGGTTAATGCAGACTTGATGATGGCTTATAATAGGCATATATTTGGCATTTGAGCATAATAAACACCTATCGTTCTTATTCTTGGTTTTTTCGGTAAAGTAACCTGATGACGATTGCTTGTGTTGCAGTCGAAACGTCGTGAGAATTTTATTGTTTTATATTTTAATTATTTTAATATTTCCCTTCTACGTGCCTTTACCGAAAGAACCAAGCATATGAATCCCTGCAGTCACGAAAGCTTTAAATGAGAACCTATCGCTATATTGACTAGAAGTGTAAAGCCTATTTTAGGCGGAGCATCGATGGGTGGTCCCATTGTGAGACCGTGTGGCTGAGGCGGCGGTGGCAGCTTGAGGGAGGAGCCTTCACCCAGCAGTGGATTGAGCATGGACGATGACGCTAATGTATGATAGAAGCGAGTAGTCTTCTCGGGGGAGGGGAGTTGGGGGTTGGGGGGCTTGACCCAGCAGTGGATTGAGCATGGACGATGACACTAATGTATGATAGAAGCGAGTAGTCTTCTCGGGGGAGGGGAGTTGGGGGTTGGGGGGCTTGACCAAGCAGTGGATTGAGCACGGCAGCTGCTGCTGCTGACGACGGCGGCGATGGTGCCGGTGTTGGCGATGGACGTCGGTAACTTCGAGTGCGTGGTGTCAATGTGGGTTTTTGTTTGATTGTTGTTGTTTGATTGTTGTTGTTGTTTGATTGTTATGTTGTTGACGTCGTGTCAGTGGTTGGGATACAGATGAAGCTCGACTATTTCCAGCAGAAATTCTGGACGGCGACAAAACAGGTTGGTGCCTGCGACAATGACAAAGAGATCTCCCCTCCCGGTGTCGGCCTCACATTGCTTGTGTAAGCGTTAGGCCTGGCGGTCAACCCTACGTCTCTGTGTGTGTCTGTGTGTGTGGGGGGGGGTCTGTGTGTCTGTGTGTCTCTGTGTGTCTCTGTGTGTGTGTATGTCTGTGTGTGTCAGTGTGTGTGTGTATCTGTGTGTGTGTGTGTGTCTGTGTGTGTGTCTGTGTGTGTGTCTGTGTGTGTCAGTGTATGTGTGTGTCTGTGTGTGTGTCATTGTGTGTGTGTCATTGTGTGTGTGTCTGTGTGTGCGTGTCTGTGTGTGTCTGTGTGTGTGTGTCTGTGTGTGGGGGGGTAACCCGCCAGAAGTCCTCACGACTTCACGGCCGCAGAGCCCGTCGACAGCCGACTCGCTCGGCCACGCCAGCACGACGATTTGATTGGAGGGCATCGGAGCATTCAAATGTGATGTAGTAATAACTGAAACCTTTTTACAAGGAATCATGTTACTGCATTAACCACAATGCTTGTGTTTTTTGTTTGCATTTTGACCACAAGTATTGTGGTTAATGCACACGTGATTCCTTGTAAAAAAGGTTTCAGTTTTGTTGCCAGAAAAAAGGGGAAAGCCCTATTATTATATTTTTGTACTGGCAAGGGAGGTCTAATGATGCATTCACATCAGATTGGCGCAAAGTGAAGAGGCGGGAAGATTGATAGTCGTTGGGGGATTGGAGGAGAGAGCAGCACCAGCTAGAAAGGGAGTCGAGAGGATATATGAGGGGCCCGAGAGAGAGCTCGGGGCGCACTCTGCCGTGATGCCTCGACACGTGTTGTCGCTACGACACGTGCGGTCGCTACGACACGTGTTGTCGCTACGACACGTGCGGTCGCTACGACACGTGCGGTCGCTACGACACGTGTTGTCGCTACGACACGTGTTGTCGCTACGACACGTGCTGTCGCTACGACACGTGCGGTCGCTACGTGTTTGCACATTAATTGCGAATAAACCGTCAAGTCAAGCTCTACTTACCCCATAACAGAGGTTTTTTTGGGTTAGATCGAGTGAATATATAAATGTGTCGTTCAACCCGCCACCACCCGACACAGCCAACTAGTAAGGGTTGTCACGTAAACAGAACGTGCCAATTCGTCACTAGTACAGCACTAGTGTATAGTGTAGTGTATAGTGTAGTATACTAGTGTAGTATCTTGAAGGAGACGGAGACTTCTTTAGAGGCCACACGCTTTTATTTCAATAACAGCTAGACATTCTGACGCACGGGGGAATAGCCTAACCACACAACCTAGGGAGGTACAGCCTCCGATCTATTCTGACTACTCTCCTTCTCTGCCCTACGGCTCCTTAGCCTAGGGAAGCTTAACACCCCACCCTTAGCCCACTCAGTCCCGGCTCGGCGGCATCCTCGGGGCTTGGGGTCCAGGATCTCCGGCGGCTCCTTCCTTCAGCTTCAGATGAGATGGACTGGCTCCCGCTCTCCGGGAGCCGTCTTATATATCCCTTCTCTGAGGGGCGGGGCTGTCTCGGGGCCCCGGCCCTCGCCAGCCCCCTCCCCTCAGAGCGGTTCCAACCGCCTCTTTGCCCGACCGGTCCGGACCAGTCCAGATCGGTATGTACCCCTCTCCTAGGTTGTGTAACCTGTGTCAACCTTGACCACCACACTAGTACAGCACTAACCGGTGTGTTGGAGAGCCAAGCCACAACATTTATAATCTGAGTACGACGTTTCATCACGTTTATATATTTACGTGATCTAACCTAAAAAAACGCTGTATTATGGATGATTTTGGTTGTGAAAGCCTCCGTGTTAAACTATACTCACCCCATCCGAAGTGCTTTTCACCTTATTCTTTGGTTCTGCCACCTGTGTAGTGGGTTCAAGGAGAGTGGAGACGACTTGTAGAGGCAACGCGTTTATTTACAATGACAGTAACAGTCTTAACACAAAGGGGGTAACGGCCCCTTTACCCGCTACCTGGGGAGGTACGACCCCGGGTCCCGACCACTGGCCCACACGGTCCCGGCCCTTAGAAGGGCAGCGGGTCTGGGGGTTCCCAGGGTCCTAGGCTAGCTGGTCTTCTGGCTTAAGTCTTCGGACTGGCCCCGGACTCGTCCAGAGGTCCGACTTTAGTACACCTCCCCAGGTGTGTCAGCCCCTGGCCACGCCTCCCTTCCAGCGAGTTCCAGGGAGGGTCTCGGGGGATCCTAGAACACCCCGCAGCCCCCCCCCCTCCCGCTTTGGGGCTGGGGAATGTAGCGACCCTCATGGTGGTCCAAGTTACTGCCCTTGATGAGCCCTGTCTGCTACTGCAGGTAAGTTCACGTAGCCCATTTACAGCGCTACATCTGGAAGGGGCAAGTGCCGCTGGCCACCAGCACCCCGGTTAAGGCCGGGACGGCTCGCAAAGGAGGTGGTGCGGCCGTGGGAAAACCCCGCACCCGGGGGGCCGTTGCCTCCCCAATGCTAACGGGTACACACACACCGGCAGCAGTGGGACGGATGTCGGAGGCTGAGGTCGACCGAGGGGGCGACTGGCCCTGGGCTGGTTCAGAAAGAGTCGCCACCGACGGGAGTCGAACTCGGGAGGGGGGGATGGGGGTTCTCTGGCAGGGCCCCAACCGTTGCACCGCCACTCGCCGGGCATCGGACGCAGATGCACGGTCTGCGCCTCAAGACGAGCGGCTTGGCTTTCAAACGGAACTTGGAGTCGGATTGCCCTCCACCACCCGACGCAGCCAACACTAATTAAATTGTCACGCTGTGCACTAGCACCAGTCTGCTGCGGGTAGTGAAGGGGCGACGATTGCTGCTGCTGCTGTGTGTATAATCCCAATTGAGAAATTAGCCGTGGAACTTTTCCGAACTTTGGCCTACTCCTCTTGCGAGCGAAGTCGCGGGGGTGGGGAGATCTTGGGCTTGCGCCACGCAGCCGAGTAGCCGGCGCGTGGCAGCGCGGCCGCTGGGGCACAGGCGCCGCAGTGGTGACCAGGGCCAGGGTTGCGATTTCCGCATGGAAAATGCGGAAGGAGGGTTCAAATTTTCCCGCATTTTTGCTAAAGTCAACCGCAAACGGTGGAAAGACTACTCCTATGACCGCGCGCTTTTAACAACACGTTAATGCGTTCTATTGGAAAGGATACATGCAAGGCCCAGCATCACGTAGGGCTTTGAGTTACTGATTGGAATGAATATATGATTTCCGCATTTCCGCACAAGAACCACATACTTTATTCAAATGCGGAGCCGTGATTACGAGCACATGTACATGATGTATCCTTTCCAATAGAACGCATTAACGTGTTGTTAAAAGCGCGCGGTCATAGGAGTAGTCTTTCCACCGTTTGCGGTTGACTTTAGCAAAAATGCGGGAAAATTTGAACCCTCCTTCCGCATTTTCCATGCGGAAATCGCAACCCTGACCAGGGCGGCCTGCTCGAGCCAAGTCACCACGGCATCAAACCACCCCCAGCGCTTTTATTTTATTTCTGATTTATTTCTCCAACCCGCTATGATTGATTTGACCTCCCACCCAATATGATTGATTTGACCTCCAACCTGCTATTATTGATTTGACCTCCCACCCAATATGATTGATTTGACCTCCAACCTGCTATGATTAATTTGACCTCCCACCCAATATGATTGATTTGACCTCCAACCCGCTATTATTGATTTGACCTCCAACCCGCTATGATTGATTTGACCTCCCACCCGCTATGATTGATTTGACCTCCAACCCGCTATGATTGATTTGACCTCCCACCCAATATGATTGATTTGACCTCCCACCCAATATGATTTATTTGACCTCCAACCCGCTATTATTGATTTGACCTCCCACCCGCTATGATTGATTTGACCTCCAACCCGCTATGATTGATTTGACCTCCCACCCAATATGATTGATTTGACCTCCAACCCGCTATTATTGATTTGACCTCCAACCCGCTATGATTGATTTGACCTCCCACCCAATATGATTGATTTGACCTCCCACCCAATATGATTGATTTGACCTCCAACCCGCTATTATTGATTTGACCTCCCACCCAATATGATTGATTTGACCTCCAACCCGCTATTATTGATTTGACCTCCCACCTGCTATTATTGATTTGATTTCCCACCTGCTATTATTGATTTGATTTCTGATTTGATTTCTCACCCACTATTATTGATTAGATTACCCACCCACAATTATTGGTTTTGCGCTCTCCATCTCGCGACGTGTCTTACGATTGTGTTTGCTGTCAACTCATGATTGCCACTCCCCCCCCCCCCTGCTGCTCGCATGCCTCACCCCCCCACACCACCCCCCACACCACCCACCACACCACCCCCCACACCACCCCCCCACCTTCCGCTGTGTGGCCGTCGATTGCTCCTCCTCCTCCACTGCTCTGCATGCGCCCAGCGTGACGACACCGATGTGAGTAGCGCCATCGCCTGCCGCCATCATCGTCATCGCCATCATCGTTGTCATCCTCATCATTGTCGTCATCGCCATCATCGTTGTCATCCTCATCATTGTCATCATCATCATCGCCATCATCGTTGTCATCATTATCATCATCATCGTCATCGCCATCATCGTTGTCATCCTCATCATTGTCATCATCATCGTCATCGCCATCATCGTTGTCATCCTCATCATTGTCATCATCATCATCGCCATCATCGTTGTCATCCTCATCATTGTCATCATCGCCATCATCGTTGTCATCCTCATCATTGTCATCATCGTCGTCATCGTTGTCATCCTCATCATTGTCGTCATCGTCAATGTCATCATCGTCATTGTTGTCATCGTCATCATCCTCGTCATTGTCGCCATCGCTGTCATAGTCATCATCATTGTCGTCATCGTCATCATTGTCGTCATAGTCATCATCGTCATCATCGTTGTAATCGTCATCATTCATCATCATGGTCATCATGGTCAACATCGTCATCATCGTTGTAATAGTCGTCATCATCATCATCGTCGTCATCATCATCATGGTCATCATCGTCATCATCGTCATCATCGTTGTCGTCATCATCGTCATCATCGTCCTCATCATCGATGATAGCCCCCCCAGCCCCCACCACCCAACTGAAAACCACCCCCACCGCATCGCGCACCAGGGAGCCACTGCTCCATGGATGAACTATGGTTGTGATTAGTTAATTGATCAGCTCTTCGATTGAACTATTTAATAAGTGATTGGCTAGTTCATTGATTCATACTTTATTCTATTAAAATGTTGTATCGGCTTGTTAATTGGTTCATTATTTCATTGATTGATTTGCTAGTTACTGGATTGGCACTTAATTGATTAAATTATTGAACACTTGATTGGCTAGTTCATTTGAGTTACTGAATGTATTGAATTGTTGATTGGCTAGTTAATTGATTTATGCTTTAATTGATTGAATTGGTGATTTGGTCAATAATTGATGATAGCTATAATTGATCACGCGATTGATTGTCTAGTTAATTGATTCGACCTTTGCTTGATTGAATGATGAATCAGGCTGAATCGCTTCGTTTAATCCCTCCTCCCCTCTCTCCTCCTCCCACTCCCCCCCCCCCACCTCCCCGTTATCGTCCTCACAGTGCACCACGGTCGACGGGAAGTGCCCCATCAGCATGGACGATGAGGTGAGGCTCACGAGGCCACGAGAGTGAGAGAGAGAGAGAGTGCGGCCAAACCCGTGGGCCGCCACCTCGCTCAGCCCCCCACTTAGACCCCACTCAGCCCCCCGCTCAGCCCCCCGCTTAGCCCCCCACGCCCCGCCCCCGCGGCCCCTCGCTGAACGGGGGGCTGAGTGGGCGGTTGAGTGCAGTGCTGAGCGAAGTGGAGGGCAGAGCGGGGGGCAGAGCGGGGGGCTGAGTGGGGGGCATGGCGAATGGTGAGTCCAGACTCGAGGTTGTTTGTGTGTGTAGGTCGTGTGAATATGAACGCGTCACTAAAGCCGCCACCGCCTTGCGACCCGACACAGCCAATCAGTACGGCGGTTTGTCATGTCAATGAAAACGTGGCCGATTCGTTACCAGTTCGGCTCTAACTGCACGTGTGTCGGAGAGGAGTGAACCCACTGCACGGCATTTACAATTCAAGTGACCGTGACGTTTCTCCGGTAATTACAACAACAGCCAGCACCGTCAGGCGACAGCCAGAGAGTTGTGGAGAAATCCTTCCGGTAAAATGTACAGCCCCTTGCGATTGCCGAACGGGGCAGGGGGGGGGGCAGAGAGGGAGCAACGCTCTATCCCGTGTAGACAGAACAGGGTACCGACTGCCTTCTCCCTGGGAGAGTCAGGGGTACGGCTCCGGGTAGGAGGGAGTAAGATGGAACCGATGGAGATTAGTCCACACACTCTGCTGTACCGCCCTCTCCTGGTGGAGCCAGGGGAACGGCTCTCCCTCGACCACCCCCCCCCCCCCCCCACACACGGGGAGGGAGTTTCACAACAACGTCTGTACGTAATCCACCAACCCTCACCACTGTGTCCACAGAGCTGGACCAGAGGCTCTCCCCCGCAGCGCCACAGCCGCCCCAGGGGGTCACCCCCGGGAGGGGCGGAGCTCCCCCAGCTGTCAATCAAACGAACGAGATTCAGTCGATGGCACTGCCATTGACTGGGGGCTCCAGACTGTGGATACAGACCGATGTGTCTATGATGGCAGCGGTGTTGATGATGGTGGTGGTATTGATGATGTTGGTGGTATTGATGATGGTAGCGGTATTCATGATGGTGGTGGTATTGATGATGGTAGCGGTGTTGATGATGGTGGTGGTGTTGGTAATGTTGGTGGTGTTGATGATGGTAGCGGTGTTGATGATGGTAGCGGTATAGATGATGGTAGTGGTGTTGAGGATGGTAGTGGTTTTGATGATGGTAGCGGTATTGATGATGGTGGTGGTGTTGATGATGGTGGTGGTGTTGATGATGGTGGTGGTGTTGATGATGGTGGTGGTGTTGATGATGGTGGTGGTGTTGATGATGGTGGTGGTGTTGATGATGGTGGTGGTGTTGATGATGGTGGTGGTGTTAATGATGGTGGCGGTGTTAATGATGGTGGCGGTATTGATGATGTTGGTGGTATTGATGATGTTGGTGGTGTTGATGATGTTGGTGATATTGATGATGTTGGTGGTGTTGATGATGGTGGTGGTGTTGATGATGGTGGTGGTATTGATGATGGTGGTGGTATTGATGATGGTGGTGGTATTGATGATGTTGGTGGTATTGATGATGTTGGTGGTATTGATGATGTTGGTGTTGATGATGATGGTGGTGGTGTTGATGATGGTGGTGGTGTTGATGATGGTGGTGGTGTTGATGATGGTGGTGGTGTTGATGATGGTGGTGGTATTGATGATGGTGGTGGTATTGATGATGGTGGTGGTATTGATGATGTTGGTGGTATTGATGATGTTGGTGGTGGTGATGATGGTGGTGGTATTGATGATGTTGGTGGTGTTGATGATGTTGGTGGTGTTGATAATGGTGGTGTTGACGATGATGGGTGTGTTGACGATGGTTGTGTCTATGATGCTGGTGATGATGACAATGATGGTCTTGACGACGTATACGATGATGACGATGGCGGTGCTGCGTGCCGTTTCCCACCAGAATCTCCGATGCTACCTCATCGACAACAACGGCTACATCATGGTCTCCAAGTCGTACGAGGAGGTGAGACCCTCGCTGCTGCTCCGCTCCACCCCTTCCCCTCCGACCCGTCGGTGTCGGGAGTCGAGCCGTGATGCACCCCTCCAGCAGCAGCAGCAGCGGCAGCGGCAGCAGTGAACACGCCGCCGCAGGCGAGAGCAGCAGCGGCAGCAGCAGCAGCGGTGGGGGCGGTGCCACCAACGCTGTTGCCCAAGCTCTGCGGTCCTTTACATACGGAGGCACGTGCCGCGTGGGTGCCTGTCACCGTGGTGCAAGGAGAGCGGTGGCGTAGCGGTTAGCGCGCTCCGCTACTAACCCGCCGCCCGGAGTTCGATTCCTCCAATGAGCAACGGGTGCGGCGCGTCGGAAACATCGCCACTGGGGGAGACAAAGGCGGCCCTGCGTGGTGCTGGCCACCCCCACGGTGCTGCAACTCGCTATGTGGCACTTGCCCCGTCGGTATGTGTGGCCTACACGGGGGATCTTTGTCTTTGTTTGTTGTTGCCCCCCACCCCCCCCCCCCCCCTGTGAGTTAGACGGGACGATTCCTCGGGGAGGTCGACGGCACCGTGATGAAGAAGCTGGTGACCATGGGGATATTCCAGCGGTAGGAACGACGATCACATCACCATCATCATCATCACCACCACCATCATCGGCAGCATCGTCATCATCATCAGCAGCGTCATCATCATCGGCAGCATCGTCATCATCAGCAGTTATCAGCAGCGTCATCATCATCAGCAGCAGTGTCATCATCATCAACAGCGTCATCATCATCAGCAGTCATCAGCAGCATCATCATCATCGGCAGCATCGTCATCATCAGCAGCAGCGTCATCATCATCATCAGCAGCAGCGTCATCATCGGCAGTCATCAGCAGCGTCATCATCAGCAGCGTCATCATCATCATCAGCACCGTCATCATCATCAACAGCAGCAGCGTCATCATTATCAGCAGCGTCATCGTCAACAGCAGCAGAATCACCATCATCAGCATCATCATCAGCAGTATCATCATTATTAGTAGCATCATCAGCAACGTCAACATCAGCAGTGTCATCATCAGCATCATCATCAGCAGTCATCATCAGCAGCGTCAACATCAACAGTGTCATCATCATCAGCAGCAGCATCAGCGTCATCAGCAGCAGCATCAACAGCGGCAGACGGACATCCGGACGAAGGGATGCACAGAAGGACAGACACACAAGAGACAGACACACAAGAGACAGACACACAGAGACAGACACACAGAGACAGACACACAGAGACAGACACACAGAGACAGACACACAGAGGGACGGGGCGTGCGTGTGTCCGCAGGGTGATGCTCTACGACTTCCAGGCCATGTGCCGCCTCGTGCCGGACTCGCACTCGAGCAGAGCGGGACTCGGCGTGCCCACGGTGAGCGTCCACAACCACCACCACCAGCAGCACCACAACCACCACCAGCACCAGCACTACCACCACCAGCACTACCACAACCACCACCACCACCAGCAGCACTACCACCACTAGCACAACCACCACCAGCACTACCATCATCACCACCACCAACACCACCACCAGCACAACCACCACCAGCACTACCATAACCACCAGCACCACCACCAACCCCACCACCACCAGCACTACCACCACCAGCACTACCAACACCAGCACTACCACCACCAGCACTACCACAACCACCAGCAACCACCATTACCACAACCACTACAACCACCAGCACTACTACCGCAACCACCAGCACTTTCCAAACCAGCATAACCACCAGCACTAGTACCACCAGCACAACCACCACCAGCACAAGCACAACCAGCACAAGCACAACCACCAGCCCTACCACCACCAGCACAAGCACAACCACCAGCCCTACCACCACCAGCACAACCACCAGCACAACCACCACCAGCACAAGCACAACCACCAGCCCTACCACCACCAGCACAAGCACAACCACCAGCACAACCACCAACACCAGCAGCACCACCCTTTGGGTCTCTTGCTCCCCACCTCATGTGTGTATATGTGTGAGGGTGTGAGTGTGTATGCGTGAGTGTGTGTATGCGTGAGTGTGTGTCTGCGTGAGGGTGTGTGTATGCGTGAGGGTGTGTGTGAGTGTGTGTATGTGTGAGTGTGTATGTGTGAGTGTGTGAGTGTGTGTATGCGTGAGGGTATGTGTGTGTATGAGTGAGTGTGTGTATGCGTGAGTGTGTGTGTGCGTGAGGTGTGTATGTGTGAGTGTAAATGTGAGTGTGTGAGTGTGAACCTCCTACCTCCTCGCGGTGCCGGACGGGCAACACTGTCGTGGGCAGTGCTGTGGGGGGAGGGCCAATGCCCATTGGCCTCTCCCCTCATGGCGTCTGTGACCACCACAGTGGCTAAACGGGGGCTCTGGACGGGTGTGAGGGGCTGGTAACCCCTCCACCTTCAATTAACCACCACTAAACCACGAATTAAACATAAACCTGTAACAAATAAGCTTGTGCCGGAGGCCCCGGGGGGTCAGGCTTTTATGACGTCTCCTGGCCAAACCCCATTTGGCGGAGCCAGGAGATTGAATTTTCACCCTCGGGGCTCCTCCAGAAACAACAAAAAACCATTGCGGATGGCCACGTGGAATGTTCGAACGCTCACTGCGGAGGAGAGGCTGCCACTCCTCTGTCGGGAGCTGGACCGGTACCGCCTGGATCTCTGTGGCATTCAGGAGGTCCGGTGGACCGGTTCTGGCTCCTGCCACCATGAGGGGTGGACAGTCCTCTACTCGGGGCAGGAGACTGCCAAACAACAGGGTGTGGCTCTTCTTCTGAACAAAAGAATGAAGGGGGCGTGGGAGCGTGGCGGTGAGGTGTGGGAAGCTGTAAGCCCCAGGATACTTTGGGCTCGCCTTCCCATCAACCAGAGGCGAGGAGTGGTGGTCGTGGTTACTTATGCCCCCACCGAAGACGAACATCCGTGGAGGGATGCAGGCAAAGCCGATGAGTCAGACTCTTTCTATGACCTCCTGTCACAGGTGCTGGCTAAAGTGGCCACTCGGGACAGAGTCATCTTGTTGGGTGACTTCAATGCCCGAGTTGGTCATGATGCTGATACCTGGTCTGGAGTGATTGGAAGGCATGGGCCAGATCAGCTCAATAATAACGGTAGGAGGCTGCTAGATTTTTGTGCAGCCCATGGGCTTGTAATTACCAACACGCTCTTCCGGCATCGGCGCATCCACACAACATCATGGATACATGCCGGGTCCAAGCAAGAACATCTGCTGGACTACATAGTGACGGACCAGCGGATGCGAACCCATGTCCTTGACACCAGGACCTACCGTGGAGCTGATCTCTCCTCTGACCATCGACTAGTCATCTGTAAGATGCGCCTGCCTTTCTTCCACTCCGGTGGTGGGTGTACACCCAGGATCCCATTCCAACCAAAAGTGGCCTGGTCTCAGTTAGCTGATGAAAGTTGCAAGCGAGAATTTCATCATCGCTTGCAGCTGGGGTTGGCATCGTCCCCCACTCCACCTGATGTCGAGGGGAAATGGGCGAGGTTTAAGACTGTGACTCATGCAGCTGCAATGGCTGCTTTGGGTACGCGGTCCAGACCTCCCCAGAAACCCTGGCTGACAGAGGAGGTGTTCAGGTTAATTGAGAAAAAGCGTCAGGCCCACTCTCATCGCCTACAGCATCCCACGTCAGAGAATGAGGAGGTTTACCGCAGCCTTCGCTCAGAAGTTCGGAGAGCCGTAAGGCGCTGTAAGGATGGGTGGTGGTCGCGAGTTGCTGAGGAGATGGAGTCTGCCTCAGTGGCCCGTGATCACAAATCACTATTTAACTCCATCAAAAAAGTAACCTGCAGCGCCACACCTATTACCATCATTAGAGGAAAAAACGGTGATCCAATCTCCGACCCCCAGGAACAGGTTTGCAGATTTGCTGAGCATTTCTGTGAGGTCCTGGGGGAGGGAAATTCTCTCAGCCAGGAAAACATCATGGCACAAAGTGGTGATAACCCTGCTGAGGCTGCGGTGCCTCAAATATTGGAAGAGGTCACCCCCTGTGAGTGGCTGGCTGAGGTGCCAGCTGTTGAGGAAGTACTGAGGGCGATCCGGAGTCTGAGACCAGGGAAGGCATCGGGCAGAGATGATCTCCCAAGCGAAATGCTGAGGGAGGGTGGCGTTTGTGCACAGACTGCCCTATATGACATCATAACAACAGTCTGGACCACTGGACGGGTTCCGCAGGACTGGAAGGATGCCCTGGTGGTTCCCCTCTTTAAGAAGGGGGACCGTACCGACTGTAACAACTACAGGGGCATCTCACTCCTCAGTGTGCCGGGTAAGGTCCTGGCAAGGATTATTCAACATCGCCTTGCTAGGCACGCTGAGGAGAGGCTTGCGGAGCCCCAATGCGGTTTCAGGAAAGGGCGGTCCTGCACAGATGCCATATTTTCTGTCCGTCTGCTACAGCAGAGGTGTAGGGAATTCCAAAAAGACCTACATCTCTGCTTTATTGACCTGGTCAAGGCCTATGATACCATCAGTAGGCCTGGGCTCTGGGTTGTTCTTCGTGCTTTCGGAGTCCCTGACCCTCTGCTCACGATCATTAAGGACCTTCATGATGGTGAGCGGGCCCGGGTAAAACTACGTGGCCGGGAGTCGGAGCCTTTCCCTGTACACCTTGGGGTGCGACAGGGATGTCCTCTGGCTCCCACATTATTTAACATCTATTTTGACCGCGTAGTTCGTGAAGCCTTCAATAGCTGTACCGGGGGAATTTCCATTTGGTACAGATATAATGGGAGGCTGATCGACGCCCGGGTGCGATCAAGGGATGGCTCCCTATTGGTCAACCACGTTATGTATGCCGATGATTTGGTAATAGCTGCTCACTCAGAGGAGGAGTTGGAGACGCTGCTGCTGAGACTGGAGCGTGCCACTAAGAGGTGGGGCCTTACCATCAGCCCCACCAAAACTAAGCACCTGCCTGGGTATTTTGTACCATCGGACACTCCACCCCCACAACTCCCAATTGGTGATGGGGCAGTTGTGGAGAGAGTGGAGAGTTTCCCATACCTGGGCAGTGTGCTTATGACCGGCTCCAGTCTATCAGCAGAGGTCTCACTCCGAATCAGTCGAGCGGCAATATCTTTTCATCGGTTGCGTAACGCTGTGTGGAAGCTACCTGGTCTGTCGCTCCGCACGAAGCTTCAGGTCTTCTCGGCCACGGTCATTCCCTCCCTTCTCTACGCTTGCGAGACGTGGACCCCCCTGGTGGAGCATCTTCGCCGGTTGGAAACATTTAGGCTGGCCTGCCTACGATCCATCCTGGGTTTAACCAGGCTGGATTGTGTGAGGAGCTCACAAATCCTTGAAAGATCTGGGCAAAGTCCCATCAGTGAGCTCCTCCGGCAGGCAAGGCTGCGTTGGCTGGGTCATGTAGCCCGCATGCCCAGCCACCGCATGCCTAAACAGCTTTTGTTCGGCCGGATCGAGGGGGCTAGACGGGCGCGGCACGGGCTGGAGAAGAGATGGAGTGATGTGGTACAGGAGGACGTGGAGCTGAGTGGACTTGCCGATGACTGGTACCAGCGGTGTCAAGATCGGCCTCAGTGGAGGAGGCTCGTGAAGGACGCTACTGGGCAGTTGGAGGCAGTCGCCCTCCAACAACAACGGAGGGCGGAGGAGCGACGCTCACAACAACGAGCGGAGCGCCGGGTGGCTAAAGCACAGCAAGTTGGCACAGTAGGGGGCACAGGTGGTGCATCAGCCAGTCATCTCGGTCATCTCGGTCAGTCGACCCGTGGCACCTGGGTCTGCCCCATGACCTCCTGCCAGCGGGCTTTCGACACTTCACGTGGCCTCAAGGTGCACTTGGCCTGGCACAAGCATCGTGGTGACGTCACCGCCACTTAGTGGCGAATGGCGGTTGTTGTTGTTGTTGTTGTATGAGTGAGTGTGTGTATGAGTGAGTGTGTGTGTGTGTGAGTGTGTGAGTGTGTGTATGTGTGAGTGTGTGTGTGTATCATGGGGAGCGGTAGTGTAGCAGTTAGTGCCCAACACCAGTGACGATTATCTGAAGCGGTCCTAGGCCTCCCTTAGATCGACTCAGCCTCAAATAGAGTACCTGGTGCTATGTGTAAACATCGCTACTGGAGAGACAAAGGCGGCCAGCCGCGGTCCTGGCCACCGACCTCCTCGTGTGCCGTGCCGGCCTTCATCGGCGCTTCTCGCTCGCAGCACTTGCCCCAGCAGTCTGTCCAGGCTACACGTGGGGATCTTTGTCTTTGTGTCTGTGCGAGTCTGCAGCCCTATCAGTCTCTCTCGGCGTTGGTCAAGTGGCTCATCACAGAGCTCACCATGTGAGTGTCATCATCATTACCATCATCATCATCATGATAATCATCATCATAATCATTGCTGCCATCATTACCATCACCATCATCATGATAATCATCATCACCATGATCACAATCATCGTTATCATCACCATGATCACCATCGTCATCACCACCATCTCAACACCATCTCAACACCACCCATAGACTCAACACCACCTGTAGACTCTACACTGCCCATAGACTCCACACTGTCATAGACTCACCACTCCTCATAGACTCAACACTGCCCATAGACTCAACACTCCCCATAGACTCAACACTGAAGCATAGACTCAGCACTGCCCATAGACTCAACACTGCCCATAGACTCAGCACTACCCATAGACTCAACACTCCCCATTAACTCAGCACTGCCCATAGACTCAACACTACCCATAGACTCAACACTGCCCATAGACTCAACACTACCCATAGACTCAGCACTGCCAATAGACTCAGCACTGCCAATAGACTCAACACTGCCCATAGACTCAACACTGCCCATAGACTAAATACTGCACATAGACTCAACACTACCCATAGACTCAACATTGCCCATAGACGCAGCACTGCCCATAGACTCAGCACTGCCAATAGACTCAACACTGCCCATAGACTCAACATTGCCCATAGACTCAACATTGCCCATAGACTCAGCACTGCCCATTGACTCAGCACTGCCAATAGACTCAACACTACCCATAGACTCAGCACTACCCATAGACTCAACACTGCCCATAGACTCAACACTACCCATAGACTCAACACTGCCCATAGACTCAACACTGCCCATAGACTCAACACTGCCCATAGACTCGGCACTACCCATAGACTCAGCACTACCCATAGACTCAACACTGCCCATAGACTCAACACTGCCCATAGACTCAGCACTACCCATAGACTCAACACTGCCCATAGACTCAGCACTACCCATAGACTCAACACTGCCAATAGACTCAACACTGCCCATAGACTCAGCACTACCAATAGACTCAACACTACCCATAGACTCAGCACTACCCATAGACTCAACACTGCCCATAGACTCAACACTACCCATAGACTCAGCACTACCCATAGACTCAGCACTACCCATAGACTCAACACTACCCATAGACTCAACACTGCCCATAGACTCAGCACTACCCATAGACTCAACACTGCCCATAGACTCAGCACTACCCATAGACTCAACACTGCCAATAGACTCAACACTGCCCATAGACTCAACACTGCCAATAGACTCAACACTACCCATAGACTCAGCACTACCCATAGACTCAACACTGCCCATAGACTCAACACTACACATAGACTCAACACTGCCCATAGACTCAACACTACCCATAGACTCAGCACTACCCATAGACTCAGCACTACACATAGACTAAACACTGCCCATAGACTCAAGGTTGTTAACATCTCCTAGCCACCGTGGCGCCCGCACTCATTTTTAGGCACTTGCACAACGCCCCTGGCCATCTAAATCACTGCACTTGTGTTGCACATGTCGAAGCTATGTTACATAAAGTGCTCTCATCACCACCATCATCACCACCACCACCATTACCACCATCATCTCCACTATCATCATCACCTTCACCACCACCATCAACACCCCCACCACCACCATCACCACCACCATCACCACCACCACCTTCACCACCACCACCACCGCCGCTGTGGTTGACCGAGTGGCGGTGTTCCGCTCCCCGCAGGCTGCTGCTGGAGTTCACCCTGTCAGGCCCGTGGAGTCCCGAGCACGCCGCCACAGGTGCGTCACGCGGAATCCGATGAGCTACGAAGCTCTTTGTTCGCAGTTGGGCCTCGGCGCTGTCGTCCAAGAGAACTTATACACGGGGTGGCCCAAAAGTCAGGACACGTCGGGTTGTTGTTATTCTTATACGGGGGGGTGTCTGTGTGCTCGACTCAATCTCAAATCGAGTATCTGGTGCGGTGTGTCAACATCGCCACTGGGGAGACAAAGGCGGCCGGGCTTGGTGCTGGCCACCCACCCCTTCGTGTACCATGCCGGCCTTAATAGGTGTTCGCTAACAACCTTGCGCCAACAGTCTGTTACAGGTTATACGGGAGATCGTTGTCTATGTGTGCTGAGCCTGTCCCGCTGCGTCAGCCCTGCCCATTTCTGTGTCGGCTGCACTTGTAACCTCCCGGCGTGCGTCTCTGCTGTGTCCCATTGATCCCATTTCACTCCTCTTCCGCCTCCACCCATCCCTCCTCCATCCAGCCGCAAAGTTCTCCAACTCCCGTGAGTAACGGACACGTCTCACAAGTCTGCGTGCGCATCTCTGCACACACACACGCACACAAATACACAACAACATTAACCGCCCTTCACCACTAAGTGACGTCACCACAGCGCTTGTGCCAGGCCAGGTGCACTTTGAGGCCACGCGAAGTGTTGAAGGCTCACTGCTGGCAGGAGGTCACGGGACAGACCCAGGTGTCATGGGTTGACTGATTGAAATGACTGAAAGATGCACCAACTGTAACCCCTATTGTGTCAACTTGCTGTGCTTTAGCCACCCGGCGCTCCACTCGTTGTTGTGAGGGTCGCTCCTCCACCCTCTGTTGTTGTTGGAGGGCAGCTGCCTCAAACTGCCCAGTAGCGTCATCACGAGCCTCCTCCATAGAGGCTGATCTTGACACCGCTGGTACCAGTCTTCGGCAAGTCCACTCAGCTCCAAATCCTCCTGTATTGCATCAGTCCATCTCTTCTGTAGCCCTATCGTGCCTGTTTAGCGCCCTATATCCAAACAGAAGCTGCTTTGGGTATAGGGTGGCTGGGCATGCGGGCTACATGTTCAAGCCAACGCAGTCTTGCCCTCCAGGGGAGCTCACTGATGGGAATGTGTCCCGATTTTTCAAGGATCTGTGAGCTCCTCACACAATCCAGCCTGGTTAAAACCAGGCTGGATCGTAGGCAGGCCAGTCTAAATATTTCTACCCGCACAGATGTTTCATTATAAAGGTCCATGTTTGACAAGCGTAGAGAAGGGAGGGCATGACTGTGGCCGAGAAGACCCGGAGCTTCGTGTGGAGCGACAGACCAGGTAGCTTCCACACAGCGTTACACAGCCAATGAAAAGATAATGCCGCTCGGCTGATTCTGAGTGAGACTTCCGCTGTCAAACTGGAGTTGGTCCTAAGCACACTGCCCAGGTACGGGAAACTCTTCACTCTCCCCACAACTGCTTCATCACCACACAGACAAAGATCCCCCGTATAGCCTTAAATACTGTTTGGGCAAGTGCTGTTAGCGAGAAACTATGAAGAACGGTACGGCACACGATGGGGTGGGTGGCCAACGCAACGCACATCCGCCTTTGTCTCCCCAGTGGCAATGCTTACCGCACCAGGTACCAATTTTAGGCCGAGTCGAACTAAGGGAGGTCCCGAACCGTTTCAGATAATCCATCACTGGTGTTGGCCATGAGCAGGAATCAAACTTGAGTCGCCGGGTTCGTAGCACAACGCGTCAACCGCTACACCACCTGCTCCCCACACAGACAAGCACACACACGGCAACACGCAGACATCTCTGCTGTAGCCTGAAGAGACACGCAGACACACACACAGACACACACACAGACACACACAGACAGACACACACACAGACACACACACAGACACACACACAGACACACAGACACACAGATACACACACAGACACACACACAGACACACACACAGACACACAAAGACACACACACAGACACACACACACACAGACACAACAACAACAACAACAACCGCCATTCGCCACTAAGTGGCGGTGACGTCACCACGATGCTTGTGCCAGGCCAAGTGCACCTTGAGGCCACGTGAAGTGTCGAAAGCCCGCTGGCAGGAGGTCACGGGGCAGACCCAGGTGCCACGGGTCGACTGACCGAGATGACCGAGATGACTGGCTGATGCACCACCTGTGCCCCCTACTGTGCCAACTTGCTGTGCTTTAGCCACCCGGCGCTCCGCTCGTTGTTGTGAGCGTCGCTCCTCCGCCCTCCGTTGTTGTTGGAGGGCGACTGCCTCCAACTGCCCAGTAGCTTCCTTCACGAGCCTCCTCCACAGAGGCCGATCTTGACACCGCTGGTACCAGTCATCGGCAAGTCCACTCAGCTCCACGTCCTCCTGTACCACATCACTCCATCTCTTCTCCAGCCCGTGCCGCGCCCGTCTAGCCCCCTCGATCCGGCCGAACAAAAGCTGTTTAGGCATGCGGTGGCTGGGCATGCGGGCTACATGACCCAGCCAACGCAGCCTTGCCTGCCGGAGGAGCTCACTGATGGGACTTTGCCCAGATCTTTCAAGGATTTGTGAGCTCCTCACACAATCCAGCCTGGTTAAACCCAGGATGGATCGTAGGCAGGCCAGCCTAAATGTTTCTAACCGGCGAAGATGCTCCACCAGGGGGGTCCACGTCTCGCAAGCGTAGAGAAGGGAGGGAATGACCGTGGCCGAGAAGACCTGAAGCTTCGTGCGGAGCGACAGACCAGGTAGCTTCCACACAGCGTTACGCAACCGATGAAAAGATATTGCCGCTCGACTGATTCGGAGTGAGACCTCTGCTGATAGACTGGAGCCGGTCATAAGCACACTGCCCAGGTATGGGAAACTCTCCACTCTCTCCACAACTGCCCCATCACCAATTGGGAGTTGTGGGGGTGGAGTGTCCGATGGTACAAAATACCCAGGCAGGTGCTTAGTTTTGGTGGGGCTGATGGTAAGGCCCCACCTCTTAGTGGCACGCTCCAGTCTCAGCAGCAGCGCCTCCAACTCCTCTTCTGAATGAGCAGCTATTACCAAATCATCGGCATACATAACGTGGTTGACCAATAGGGAGCCATCCCTTGATCGCACCCGGGCGTCGATCAGCCTCCCATTATATCTGTACCAAATGGAAATTCCCCCGGTACAGCTATTGAAGGCTTCACGAACTACGCGGTCAAAATAGATGTTAAATAATGTGGGAGCCAGAGGACATCCCTGTCGCACCCCAAGGTGTACAGGGAAAGGCTCAGACTCCCGGCCACGTAGTTTTACCCGGGCCCGCTCACCATCATGAAGGTCCTTAATGATCGTGAGCAGAGGGTCAGGGACTCCGAAAGCACGAAGAACAACCCAGAGCCCAGTCCTACTGATGGTATCATAGGCCTTGACCAGGTCAATAAAGCAGAGATGTAGGTCGTTTTGGAATTCCCTACACCTCTGCTGTAGCAGACGGACAGAAAATATGGCATCTGTGCAGGACCGCCCTTTCCTGAAACCGCATTGGGGCTCCGCAAGCCTCTCCTCAGCGTGCCTAGCAAGGCGATGTTGAATAATCCTTGCCAGGACCTTACCCGGCACACTGAGGAGTGAGATGCCCCTGTAGTTGTTACAGTCGGTACGGTCCCCCTTCTTAAAGAGGGGAACCACCAGGGCATCCTTCCAGTCCTGCGGAACCCGTCCAGTGGTCCAGACTGTTGTTATGATGTCATATAGGGCAGTCTGTGCACAAACGCCACCCTCCCTCAGCATTTCGCTTGGGAGATCATCTCTGCCCGATGCCTTTCCTGGTCTCAGACTCCGGATCGCCCTCAGTACTTCCTCAACAGCTGGCACCTCAGCCAGCCACTCACAGGGGGTGACCTCTTCCAATATTTGAGGCACCGCCGCCTCAGCAGGGTTATCACCACTTTGTGCCATGATGTTTTCCTGGCTGAGAGAATTTCCCTCCCCCAGGACCTCACAGAAATGCTCAGCAAATCTGCAAACCTGTTCCTGGGGGTCGGAGATTGGATCACCGTTTTTTCCTCTAATGATGGTAATAGGTGTGGCGCTGCAGGTTACTTTTTTGATGGAGTTAAATAGTGATTTGTGATCACGGGCCACTGAGGCAGACTCCATCTCCTCAGCAACCCGCGACCACCACCCATCCTTACAGCGCCTTACGGCTCTCCGAACTTCCGAGCGAAGGCTGCGGTAAACCTCCTCATTCTCTGACGTGGGATGCTGTAGGCGATGAGAGTGGGCCTGACGCTTTTTCTCAATTAACCTGAACACCTCCTCTGTCAGCCAGGGTTTCTGGGGAGGTCTGGACTGCGTACCCAAAGCAGCCATTGCAGCTGCATGAGTCACAGTCTTAAACCTCGCCCATTTCCCCTCGACATCAGGTGGAGTGGGGGACGATGCCAACCCCAGCTGCAAGCGATGATGAAATTCTCGCTTGCAACTTTCATCAGCTAACTGAGACCAGGCCACTTTTGGTTGGAATGGGATCCTGGGTGTACACCCACCACCGGAGTGGAAGAAAGGCAGGCGTATCTTACAGATGACTAGTCGATGGTCAGAGGACAGATCAGCTCCACGGTAGGTCCTGGTGTCAAGGACATGGGTTCGCATCCCCTGGTCCGTCACTATGTAGTCCAGCAGATGTTCTTGCTTGGACCCGGCATGTATCCATGATGTTGTGTGGATGCGCCGATGCCGGAAGAGCGTGTTGGTAATTACAAGCCCATGGGCTGCACAAAAATCTAGCAGCCTCCTACCGTTATTATTGAGCTGATCTGGCCCATGCCTTCCAATCACTCCAGACCAGGTACCAGCATCATGACCAACTCGGGCATTGAAGTCACCCAACAAGATGACTCTGTCCCGAGTGGCCACTTTAGCCAGCACCTGTGACAGGAGGTCATAGAAAGAGTCTGACTCATCGGCTTTGCCTGCATCCCTCCACGGATGTTCGTCTTCGGTGGGGGCATAAGTAACCACGACCACCACTCATCGCCTCTGGTTGATGGGAAGGCGAGCCCAAAGTATCCTGGGGCTTACAGCTTCCCACACCTCACCGCCACACTCCCACGCCCCCTTCATTCTTTTGTTCAGAAGAAGAGCCACACCCTGTTGTTTGGCAGTCTCCTGCCCCGAGTAGAGGACTGTCCACCCCTCATGGTGGCAGGAGCCAGAACCGGTCCACCGGACCTCCTGAATGCCACAGAGATCCAGGCGGTACCGGTCCAGCTCCCGACAGAGGAGTGGCAGCCTCTCCTCCGCAGTGAGCGTTCGAACATTCCACGTGGCCATCCGCAATGGTTTTTTGTTGTTTCTGGAGGAGCCCCGAGGGTGAAAATTCAATCTCCTGGCTCCGCCAAATGGGGTTTGGCCAGGAGACGTCATAAAAGCCTGACCCCCCGGGGCCTCCGGCACAAGCTTATTTGTTACAGGTTTATGTTTAATTCGTGGTTTAGTGGTGGTTAATTGAAGGTGGAGGGGTTACCAGCCCCTCACACCCGTCCAGAGCCCCCGTTTAGCCACTGTGGTGGTCACAGACGCCATGAGGGGAGAGGCCAATGGGCATTGGCCCTCCCCCCACAGCACTGCCCACGACAGTGTTGCCCGTCCGGCACCGCGAGGAGGTAGGAGGTTGTTTTGCCGGACACAGACACACACACAGACACACACACAGACACACACACAGACACACAAAGACACACACACAGACACACACAGACACACACACAGACACACACGCAGACACACACACACAGACACACACAGACACACACACAGACACACACACACACAGACACACACAGACACACACACACACACACCACTACTCGCTACCAGAGCTCACCGCTCACCCAACCAACTGCCCATCCCACCCATCGCATTCCGTATCCCGCCTCCCTCACCCAAACCATTTGTCTTCCTTTCTTTGTTTAAACCACAGTGGGCGCTGAGCTCACAACGCCAAGCAGCCAGCAACAAGCAGCACTACTGTTAAGGCTGGAATGGGCGATCAGTGTGTACCACGCCGCTGTGTCCTCACGATCGCGGGAGGTGCTATGTCTGGATGTAAACGAACACGACATGATGGTGCAGTGGGGCAGGAGGGCAACATGTGCCCTCGAGTCACTGAGCAGCACCGAGTGGTACCGAGTGGCACACGGAGCGAATGGCACTGAGTGTCACGTGGTGGTGGTGTTAGTGGTGGTGGTTGCGGTAACGGCAATAATCACGGTCGTAATGATTGCCATCTTAATTTTGAGTGTTTTCTTTTTCATTCTGTCACAATACTGGATCAACGCTGGATTATTGCTCGATCAATACTGGATCAATGCTGGATTATTATTGCATCAATACTTGATCGACGTTGAATCGACACTGGATCGACGCTGGATCAATACTGGATGGACGATGTATCAATACTGGATCAATACGTAATCGACGCGCGATGGACGACTGATCGCCGGGGCACTGGGACGGGCGCTCAGCCCAGAAGGTGCGCCGGCAGGACCTGCTGCAGCCGTGCCACAAGCAGTACCCGGCGTTCAGCGCAGCGCCCACGCTCAAGGAGAACAGCGGCGCCATCGACTGCGGCGACTGTGAGAGGTGGGGAGGCCCGCCCGCCTGCTTGTCCGCTCAGTCGCCTGCCCCTTCAATCATTTGCTCGCGCACCTGCCTGCTTGCCCGTTCACTCATTCGTTGAATCACTCGGCTACCCGCTCGCCCGCCCACTCGCTCGCTCGCCCACCCACTCGCTCGCTCGCTCGGCCGTCCGCTTACTCGCCCATTCACTAATTTGCTCACTCGCTCGCTCGCTCGGCCACCCGCTCACCCATTCACTCACTCGCTCACTCACTCGCTTGCTCGGCCATCCGCTTACTCGCCCATTCACTCATTCTCTCGCTCGCTCGGCCGTCCGCTCGCCTACCGCTTGTTCCCTCATTCGCTCGCTCACTTGCTCGTTCCTTCATTCGCTCATTCGCCCGCTAACCCATTCACTCATTTGCTCCCTCTCTTGCCCACCCGTTCGCCCACCCACTTCTTCGCTCATTTGCTCGTTCATTCATTCGCTCATTCACTTTCTCTCACACGCTGGCTCTTTCACTGATTCGCTCCCTCGCCCGTCCGCTCATTCGCTCACCCGCTCGCCCATTCACTCATTCGCTCGCCCATTCACTCTTTCGCTCACCCGCTCGCCCATTCACTCATTCGCTCACTCACTCGCCCATTCACTCATTCGTTCACCCGCTCGCCCATTCACTCATTCACTCACTCACTCGCCCATTCGCTCATTCGTTCACCCGCTCGCCCATTCACTCATTCGCTCACTCACTCGCCCATTCGCTCACTCGCTCGCCCATTCACTCATTTGCTGCACTCGCTCGCCCATTCACTCATTCGCTCACTCGCTCACCCATTCACTCATTCGCTCACTCGCCCTCCCGCTTCTTCATGCATTCGCTCATTCACTTGCTCGCACTTTTACTCCTTCATTTACTCGTTGGCTCACTCGTTCACTCGTTTGTTCACTTATTATTTCACTCATTCGATCACTTATTGCCCCAACAGTCTGTTAAGGCTACACGGGGGACCTTTGGCTGCGTGTCTTTGTGTGTGTGTGGGTGTCAGGATGTTTGTGATCCAGCAGGTGCCCGGCAGTAACCTGCTGCTGCTCGTGGTGGACACGGAGTGCCGCTGTGACAACATGTTCAGGATGGGCCTGCACCCGGTCGAGATAAAGCATATCCTCTCTCAGCCGCTCGCAGGCCCCTGCCCCCATGTACCCGTGTCCCCATGTCCCCGTGTCACTGTATCAATGTTTCACTGTGTCACTGTATCACTGTATCAATATTTCACTGTGTCACTGTATCAATGTTTCACTGTGTCACTGTGTCAATGTTTCACTGTGTCACTGTGTCAATGTTTCACTGTGTCACTGTGTCAATGTTTCACTGTGTCACTGTGTCAATGTTTCACTGTGTCACTGTATCAATGTGTCACTGTCAATGTTTCACTGTGTCACTGTGTCAATGTTTCACTGTGTCACTGTATCAATGTTTCACTGTGTCACTGTTTCACTGTGTCACTGTATCAATATTTCACTGTGTCAATGTTTCACTGTGTCACTGTATCAATGCGTCACTGTCAATGTTTCACTGTGTCACTGTATCAATGTTTCACTGTGTCACTGTATACATGTGTCACTGTGTCAATGTTTCACTGTGTCACTGTGTCACTGTATACATGTGTTACTGTGTCAATGTTTCACTGTGTCACTGTCAATGTTTCACTGTGTCACTGTGTCAATGTTTCACTGTGTCACTGTGTCAATGTTTCACTGTGTCACTGTGTCAATGTTTCACTGTGTCACTGTGTCAACGTTTCACTGTGTCACTGTATCAATGTGTCACTGTGTCACTGTATCAATGTTTCACTTTGTCACTGTGTCAATGTTTCACTGTGTCACTGTATCAATGTGTCACTGTGTCACTGTATCAATGTTTCACTGTGTCACTGTGTCAATGTTTCACTGTGTCACTGTGTCAATGTTTCACTGTGTCACTGTGTCAATGTTTCACTGTGTCACTGTGTCAATGTTTCACTGTGTGACTGTGTCAATGTTTCACTGTGTCACTGTATCAATGTTTCACTTTGTCACTGTGTCAATGTTTCACTGTTTCACTGTGTCAATGTTTCACTGTGTCACTGTGTCAATGTTTCACTTTGTCACTGTGTCAATGTTTCACTGTGTCACTGTGTCAATGTTTCACTGTGTCACTGTGTCAATGTTTCACTGTGTCACTGTATCAATGTTTCACTGTGTCACTGTGTCAATGTTTCACTGTTTCACTGTGTCAATGTTTCACTGTGTCACTGTATCAATGTGTCACTGTGTCACTGTATCAATGTTTCACTGTGTCACTGTGTCAATGTTTCACTGTGTCACTGTATCAATGTGTCACTGTGTCACTGTGTCAATGTTTCACTGTGTCACTGTGTCAATGTTTCACTGTGTCACTGTGTCAATGTGTCACTGTGTCACTGTATCAATGTTTCACTTTGTCACTGTGTCAATGTTTCACTGTGTCACTGTATCAATGTTTCACTGTGTCACTGTATCAAGGTTTCACTGTGTCACTGTGTCAATGTTTCACTGTGTCACTGTGTCAATGTTTCACTGTGTCAATGTTTCACTGTGTCAATGTTTCACTGTGTCACTGTGTCAATGTTTCACTGTGTCACTGTGTCAATGTTTCACTGTGTCACTGTGTCAATGTTTCACTGTGTCAATGTTTCACTGTGTCACTGTGTCACTGTGTCAATGTTTCACTGTGTCACTGTGTCACTGTGTCAATGTTTCACTGTGTCAATGTTTCACTGTGTCAATGTTTCACTGTGTCACTGTTTCACTGTGTCAATGTTTCACTGTGTCACTGTATCAATGTTTCACTGTGTCAATGTTTCACTGTGTCACTGTTTCACTGTGTCAATGTTTCACTGTGTCACTGTGTCAATGTTTCACTGTGTCAATGTTTCACTGTGTCAATGTTTCACTGTGTCACTGTATCAATGCGTCACTGTATCAATGTTTCACTGTGTCACTGTATCAATGTTTCACTGTGTCACTGTGTCAATGTTTCACTGTGTCAATGTTTCACTGTGTCACTGTGTCAATGTTTCACTGTGTCACTGTATCAATGTTTCACTGTGTCAATGTTTCACTGTGTCACTGTTTCACTGTGTCAATGTTTCACTGTGTCACTGTGTCAATGTTTCACTGTGTCAATGTTTCACTGTGTCAATGTTTCACTGTGTCACTGTATCAATGTTTGACTGTGTCAATGTTTCACTGTGTCACTGTGTCAATGTTTCACTGTGTCACTGTATCAATGTTTCACTGTGTCACTGTGTCAATGTTTCACTGTGTCACTGTGTCACTGTGTCAATGTTTCACTGTGTCACTGTATCAATGTTTCACTGTGTCAATGTTTCACTGTGTCACTGTGTCAATGTTTCACTGTGTCACTGTATCAATGTTTCACTGTGTCACTGTGTCACTGTGTCACTGTGTCAATGTTTCACTGTGTCACTGTGTCACTGTGTCCCCATGTCCACATGTCCCCGTGTCTCCCCGTGTCCCCATGTCCGTGTGTCCCCGTGTCGTCCACGTTGAGCGTTCCCTGACGGCCTACGCACAGAACGAGTCGAGTCGCTGTGAGAGGCTCCGCTCGCAGAAGCTGAGACGGAGGCCGGACCAATGCTACGCCTTCCACTCGGAGGTCGCTCACTCACTCATTCACTCACTCATTCACTCACTCACTCTCTCACTCACTCACTCTCTCACGCACTCACCCATTCACTCATCCACTCTCCCACTCACTAACCACACTCATTTACCCTCTCACTCATTCACTCACTCACTCATTCTCTCTCTCACTTGCTCACTCATTCACTCTCTCACCCTATCCCTCATTCACTCACTCACACTCTGCATAACAGGGGACAGATCCATGCCAACTCCACACAGGGTGGCATCCTCGTCGGGAGTTGAACCCAGGCTACACTTGTGCCATGGGTAACTCGCGATCGGTGTGCTCCACCACCCTGCCCCCCATGCCCTAACACTGCCCCCCATGCCCCCCATGCCCCCCATGCCCCCCATGCCCCCCATGCCCCCCATGCCCCCCATGCCCCCCATGCCACCCATGCCCCCCATGCCCTAACACTGCCCCCCATGCCCCCATGCCCTAACACTGCCCCCATGCCCTAACACTGCCCCCCATGCCCCCATGCCCTAACACTGCCCCCATGCCCTAACACTGCCCCCCATGCCCCCATGCCCTAACACTGCCCCCATGCCCTAACACTGCCCCCATGCCCCCCATGCCCTAACACTGCCCCCATGCCCCCCAGGAGGATGCGTCCGAGTGTGGTGGAGCGGCCCGGCGCGGCGTGAGCGCCAGCACGCTGCTCACCGCGCTGGCGCTCACCAGTACAGCCCTGCACGCAGTCGGGTGACCCTGCTCACCGCCAGCTCCTCACCGCCAGCTCCTCACCAACAGCACCGCCCTGCTCACCACCTGCTACTCACCGCCAACTCCTCACCGCCAGCTCCTCACCGCCAGCTCCTCACCAACAGCACCGCCCTGCTCACCACCTGCTACTCACCGCCAACTCCTCACCGCCAACTACTCACCGCCAGCTCTTCACCAACAGCACCGCCCTGCTCTCACCGCCAGCTCCTCACCGCCAGCTCCTCACCAACAGCACCGCCCTGCTCACCGCCTGCTACTCACCGCCAACTCCTCACCGCCAACTACTCACCGCCAGCTCCTCACCAACAGCACCGCCCTGCTCTCACCGCCAGCTCCTCACCGCCAGCTCCTCACCAACAGCACCGCCCTGCTCACCGCCTGCTACTCACCGCCAACTCCTCACCGCCGGCCCCCTACTCACCATCAGCACCCTACTCACCGTTTCATCCAAACTCAACACACATCACTCACCAACTCACTCAACCACCCACTCACCTGCTCACCCACTCACTTGCCCACTCACCCGCCCATTCACCCGCTCGCTCACCGACTCGCTCACCGCGGGCTAGCTGGAGTGATCATCGATTGGCGACGTTTTGCTTAAAGCTGCGCCCAGCGTCTGCCGAACACATGGCATGGCGCCCCGCGGTTACCACGGCGGTTACCACGGATGTTACCGTGGAGGATACCACAGCGGTTACCACGGCGGTTACAGCGGTGATTACCACGGCGGTTACCGCGCAGTGCGACGCACGGACAAAGTCATCGCTCGCGCGTCTCTCCGTGGGCTCTGAATAACGACATTCAGACAACAGAGGCACCCCCCCCAACCCGTGTCCATCTTGCGCCCATCCCACCAGTGGCGGGGCCACTGAGCCGTGTGGCTCTGTCGCCGGTCGCGGCCTGCTCAGCGTCCCTCGCGGCGGCAGGGGTGCCGGCTCCTCGCCAGTGCGCACCGCACGCACCTGATGATTGGTGAACGTGCGCAGTGGGACGCGGACGCCGTTTGAGTTGGTTCATGCAAAGTTTGAGGCGTGTGTGTGTCTGTGCCGTCTGCTTGTAACTATGTGTGTGTGTCTATGTGTGTGTGTTTGTATCTGTGTGTGTGTGTTTGTGCCGTCTGCTTGTAACAATGTGTGTGTCTGTTGTATCTATGTGTGTGTTTGTATCTATGTGTGTGTGCGTGTCTGCTTGTATCTATGTGTGTGTGTCTGTATCTGTGTGCGTGTCTGCTTGTATCTACGTGTGTGTGTTTGTATCTGTGTGTGTGTCTGTGTTGTCTGCTTGTAACTATGTGTGTGGGTTTGTGTGTGTGTGTGTCTGTATCTGTGTGTGTGTCTGTATCTGTGTGTGTGTGCGTGTGTCTGTATCTATGTGTGTGTTTGTATCTGTGTGTGTGTCTGTATCTGTGTGTGTGTGTTTGTCTGTTTGTATCTATGTGTGTGTGTGTCTGTTTGTATCTATGTATGTGTGTCTGTCTGTTTGTATCTATGTGTGTGTCTGTTTGTATCTGTGTAGGGAATTCCAACAAGACCTACATCTCTGCTTTATTGACCTGGTCAAGGCCTATGATACCATCAGTAGGCCTGGGCTCTGGGTTGTTCTTCGTGCTTTCGGAGTCCCTGACCTTCTGCTCACGATCATTAAGGACCTTCATGATGGTGAGTGGGCCCGGGTAAAACTACGTGGCCTGGAGTCAGAGCCTTTCCCTGTACACCTTGGGGTGCGACAGGGATGTCCTCTGGCTTCCACATTATTTAACATCTATTTTGACCACGTAGTTCGTGAAGCCTTCAATAGCTGTACCGGGTGAATTTCCATTTGGTACAGATATAATGGAAGGCTGATCGATGCTTGGGTGAGATCAAGGGATGGCTCCCTATTGGTCAACCACGTTATGTATGCCGATGATTTTTAATAGCTGCTGATTCAGAGGAGGAGTTGGAGACACTGCTGCTGCTGAGACTGGAGCGTGCCACTAAGAGGTGGGGCCTTACCATCAGCCCCACCAAAACTAAGCACCTGCCTGGGTATTTTGTACCATCGGACACTCCACCCCCACAACTCCCAACCGGTGATGGGGCAGTAGTGGAGAGAATGGAGAGTTTCCCATACCTGGGCAGTGCGCTTATGACCGACTCCAGTTTAACAGCAGAGGTCTCACTCCGAATCAGTCGAGCGGCAATATATTTTAATCGGTTGCGTAACGCTGTGTGGAAGCTACCAGGTTTGTTGCTCCGCACGAAGCTTCAGGTCTTCTCGGCCACGGTCATTCCCTCCCTTCTCTACACTTGCGAAACGTGGAACCCCCTCCCCCCTAATGGAGCATCATCGCCGGTTGGAAACATTTAGGCTGGCCTGCCTACGATCCATCCTGGGTTTAACCAGGCTGGATTGTGTGAGGAGCTCACAAATTCTTGAAAGATCTGGTCAAAGTCCCATCGGTGAGCTCCTCTGGCATGCAAGGCTGCGTTGGCTGGGTCATGTAGCCCACATGCCCAGCCACCGCGTGCTTAAACAGCTTTTGTTCGGCCAGATCGAGGGGGCTAAACGGGCGCGGCATGGGCTAGAGAAGAGATGGAGTGATGTGGTACAGGAGGACGTGGAGTTGAATGGACTTGCTGATGACTGGTACCAGCGGTGTCAACATCGGCCTCTGTGGAGGAGGGCAGTTGGAGGCAGTCGCCCTCCAGCAACAACGGAGGGCGGAGGAGCGACGCTCACAACAACGAGCGGAGCGCCGGGTGGCTAAAGCACAGCAAGTTGGCACAGTAGGGGGCACAGGTGGTGCATCAGCCAGTCATCTCGGCCATCTCTGTCAGTCGACCCGTGGCACCTGGGTCTGCCCCGTGACCTGTCAGCGGGCGTTCGACACTTCATGTGGCCTCAAGGTGCACATGGCCTGGCACAAGCGTCGTGGTGACGTCACCGCCACATAGTGGCGAATGGCGGTTGTTGTGTGTCTGTCTGTATCTATGTGTGTCTGTATCTGTGTGTGTGTGTCTGTTTGTATCTATGTGTGTGTGTCTGTTTGTATCTGTGTGTGTGTGTCTGTATCTATCTATGTGTGTGTGTGTGTCTGTCTGTATCTGTGTGTGTGTCTGTTTGTATCATTGTGTGTGTGTGTCTATGTGTGTGTGTCTGTCTGTATCTGTGTGTGTCTGTTTGTATCTATGTGTGTGTGTGTGTGTCGTGGGGAGTCGTCGTGTAGCGGTTAGAGCACTGCTCTATGGACCCGGTGACCCGAGTTCGATTCCCGCGCTCACGGTCACCACCGGTGACGATTATCTGAACCGGTCCTGGGCCTCCACTTAGGTCTACTCAGCCTCAAATGAGTACCTGCTGCGGTGTGCAAACATCGCCACTGGGGAAACAAAGGCGGTCGGGCGTGGTGGTGGCCACCCACCCTCTCGTGTGCCGTTCCCACCTTCATAGGTGCTACTCGTTAACAGCACTTGCCCCAATAGTCTGTTAAGGCTACAGGGGCGATATTTGCCTTTGTACTGTGTGATGTAACCATAATTGGCAATGAATCCGGACAATGTAAATATGCAAACGACGAGAACGCCCACCCGTCGTAGGAGACTCCACACACACGGAGGTCTTCGCAGCAGTGAGAATTGGTGGCTAAGCTTTGCTGATGAGCCCTAAGAAGAATGATACCGGTCCGCGACAAACTAAACATCTCTGTTTTGATTCCACCGGCTAAGGGCCCCGCACCGAGCTGTGTCGCTCGTTCTCAGAAGCGACGTGGACGCAGTGGCGGCTTTATCATCATCATCACCACGTGGGATATTTATAGCAGCCAAATACTCTGAATGCATGATGCTGATTCTAAATGTGTAAGGGAAACATATACAGCAGGTTGTCAGGGTCGGGATCGAACCCACGACCTCCTGTATACCAGGCAGGGTAGTCAACATCTCCTAGCCACAGTGGCACGCCTACAATTTGCTGTCACTGCGTCGTCATCATCATCATCGCTGCTGCTGCTGCTGCTGCTGTTGTAGGTCAGCGTCGGATTCATTGCGACGGTGACCTCAGAGGCAAGAGGCGGTGCAGTGTGCACTTCTTCAGGAACTGCCCGAGGGCCTGTTGTTGTTGTGTTTGCGTCGTTTCTTCTCCTGTTGCACGATGCACCCGAACCCGGCTCGCGGTAGAAGCCGTCGGAGCTGCGGGCCGTGGACGTGCGTTCTGTTCGGTGGCGCTGGCGGTCTGGACAAGGCTGGGGGGAGGAGCTCTTTGCATGTCTGCGCGCGTGTTCGTGTGCTGCTGCTATTGTTGTTGATGGGGAGCGGTAGTATCTGTTCGCGCTACGAACCTGGTGACCCACTCACGGTCAACACCGGCGACGATTATCTGAACCGGCCCTGGGCCTCCGCTAGGTCGCCTCAGCCTCAAATACGTACCTGGTGCGGTGCGTAAAATCATCGCCACTCGCGAGACAAAGGCGGCCGGGCTTGGTTCTGGCCACCCACCCCCTCGTGTGCCGTGTGAGAGAGGGCTTCATCAGAGAGACACAGAGAGAGAGGAGAGAGAGTCGTTCTGCTGCTGCTGTTGCTGCTGTTGTTGCTGCTGCTGCTGTTGCTGCTGCTGCTACGATGAGAGTGAGTGCTGTTGCTGCTGCTGCCACGATGAGAGTGAGTGAGGGCTTCATCAGAGAGACACAGAGGAGTTCGAGTCGTTCTGCTGCTGCTGCTGTTGCTGCTGCTGCTACGATGAGAGTGAGTGCTGTTGCTGCTGCTGCCACGATGAGAGTGAGTGAGGGCTTCATTAGAGAGAGAGAGGAGTTCGAGTCGTTCTGCTGCTGCGTTGAAGGAGCGCAGGCCACAGTGGGGTCGCCATGCACGCTGCGTAGCATGGGCTTACATGGCCACACTCGTATCACCGTGGCTTGTACTTAATGGGTCTCTGTGGGTCTCTGTGGGTCTCTATGGATCTCTGTGGGTCTCTATGGGTCGCTATGGGTTTAGTCTGCGGTCCAATGCGTGGTTTGCATGGCCATCGTCGCCCTCCTGTGGATTTTATTTAATGCATCTCTGGATGTCTACATATCTCTATGAGTCTCTGTGTATCCCTCTGAGGAGTGTCTTTAATGGGATCTCTATGAGTCTCTGTGGTATCTCTATGGGTCTCTATGTATCTCTATAGGTCTCTATGTATCTTTGTGAGTCTCTACGTATCTCTATGGGTCTCTATGTATCTGTGTGAGTCTCTATGGGTTTACTATGTAGTGCATAGTGTGAGTTGCATGATCACAGTCACACCACTGTGGTTTATGTCTTTAATTTGTTCTATGGGTCTCTATGTATATACTGTATATTAATGCATATGTGCCTCTGTGAGCATCTGTGTCTCAATGTATATCTCTACGGGTCTCGATGTATCTCTCTGTGAGTTTCTGTCTCTGTGTGTCTCTGTAAATCTCTATGAGTCTCTGTGTATCTCTACGTATCTCTCTTTGGGTCTCTATGTATATCTTTATTGGTCTCGATCTCTCTGTGTGTCTCTGTGTGTCTCTGTATCTCTCTATGGGTCTCTGTGTGTCTCTGTGTGTCTCTCTCTGGGTCTCTGTGTATCTCTTTATTGGTCTCTATCTCTCTATGGGTGTCTGTGTATCTCTCTGTGTGTCTCTCTATGGATCTCTGTGTATCTCTCTCTGTGTATCTCTATGGGTCTCTGTGTATCTCTATGGGTCTCTGTGTGTCTCTGTGTGTCTCTATGGGTCTCTGTGGGTTTGCTGTGCGCTCTGTGGGTCGGTGTTTCATCGCCACTGTCAGACTCTTGTGGCTTGCGTATCTACAATGTTTCTGTTCATCGAGGATATGTGGGCACAAATGCATAAATTATGGGCGACGTTTTGGGCAATGTCCCTTCATATGTATTTAATGAAACGTCGCCTATTATATATAAGTTATATTCTAAGGCTGCACGCGCGTGGGGTGTTTACGATACGGACCGCGGGACGTGCTAAGAATTGTGAATATATTCCGCATCCAGACGGATGAGATTTTGCCCCCGACCGTTTTGTAAGCCAATTGCGTCGATATAGCCATGTTGCCCCTCTTGTGTATCATACTCGATATACCGTAATCATGTCATTATATACACACACTCATCATGAACACGTGCGAATCTGGAGCATCAGACCACACGGCAATTTGCAAACCCATTGAACCATTGTTGCAAAACTTATTTTTTATATGGTCCACTTTAACTCGACAGATAATATACTGTATATGTATCACCAGTAGCGTAGCGGATCGATTGACTTTATATGTGAATATGGAACGTTTTCAGACCCCCCTCCCCCCCTGTACAAATATTTTTGCGGCTGCTTGCAGAGTTGGGTGAGCGTCCGGGCTGCAATGGGAGGTTGTAAATCACCGATCACCGGCGGTGATGTCAGCAGCTCGGCGAACGCCTCGATGCCGGCCAAGAACCGGGGGGTTCGATTCCCGATCGAACCCGCGACCTCCCGCACACCAGGCGAGGTAGTCAACATCTCTCTACCGTGGCGAGATGTTGGAGCACCAGGGTAGAGACCCGGGGACGCAGGCTTCAGGGAAGAGGAGCTGCGGGAAGAGGCGGTGTGTGTGTGTATATGTGTGTGTGTATATGTGTGTGTGTATGTTTCAGAGGTGTGGACTCGAGTCATGTGACTTGGACTCGAGTCAGACTCGAGTCATGAATTTGATGACTTCAGACTCGACTTGGACTTGCATAACAATGACTTTGTCCCACCTCTGAGGTGTGGACTCGAGTCATGTGACTTGGACTCGAGTCAGACTCGAGTCATGAATTTGATGACTTCAGACTCGACTTGGACTTGCATAACAATGACTTTGTCCCACCTCTGGTATTTTTAACTTCTTTCGCACCGTATGTAGCCAATCTCGCTAATCGGAGATGTCGGGGAAGGACAACAAACCTAACTCGACAACAGAAAGCAGTTGTCAAGAAATTAGTTTTCAATCGAGGTGATGATGATTTAAAAGTGCGCAGCTCCCAGTGGCACTCCCAGTATCGGCAGGGAGAGTTGAAGGCAGCAGCCGCAGGAGGAGGCGCGTCTGAAGCGCCGTGCAACGATGCAGTGACCACCACCGTTCTTTTGTTTCGATGGCTGAGCCCAAAGCCGCTGCTGCTGCGAGGATGAGCGGAGTTCGCGCGATGGTTCAAGCTCCTTGGCGGGATCAGCGAGGTGTTGTGGTTCATTTGTGGCAAGTACTTTGATGAGGTGTAACATAAATCATGATTTTCTTTCACACGTAAGCTTTCTCACAAACCAATATTATTCATGAGAGAGGTTGGATTTTTTGGGTTAGATCGCGCAAACATAAATGTTCCACCTTTGGCTGTCGCCTGATGATGCTGGTTGTTGTAACTACCGGCGAAACGTCACGGTTCTCAAATTGCAAATGTTGTCGTGGAGTTTCACTCCCCAACACAGCCGGTGAGTGCTGACCGACTGCCGAACGGGCCACGTTCTGGTGACGTCACAAGCCACCGTGCCGATTGGCTGCGTCGGGCCACGTGGTGGTGGTTTCACGACGCGTTCTTGTTCACGCGATCTGACCGAAAGAAAAAACATCCTCGACAGTGCACAATTGTGGCATTGTGCACAATTGTGGCATTGTGCACAATTGTGGCATTGTGCACAAATGTGTCATAGTGCACAATTGTGTCATTGTGCACAATTGTGTCATTGTTATGGCGAGTATTCGATGCGAGTTGCGGCATCCGAGATGCTGACGGTGGAGCGTGATTGTTGTACCTGCGGCCAAGGCTGAGTGTCTCACTCCAGCGTGAGGACGCTTCTCACTGGCGAGCAACAGAGACCGTCAGAGGGCCTCCAGACAGGGGGGGGGGGGGGGGATGGAGATTCCAAATCGCCAAGGCGGTGGTCGAGGCCCTCCAGTGCCCAGCCACTGACGACGTCTTGCACCATACACCAGGTTCAGATGAGACGTCTTGCACTCCACCCCCACACACTCCACCCCCACACACTCCACCACACACACTCCACCCCCACACACTCCACCACACACACTCCACCCCCACACACTCCACCCACACACACTCCACCCACACACACTCCACCCCCACACACTCCACCCACACACACTCCACCCCCACACACTCCCACCCCCACACACTCCACCCCCACACACTCCACCCCACACACTCCACCCCACACACTCCACCCCCACACACATCCACCCACCACACACTCCACCACCACACACTCCACCCCACACACACTCCACCCACACACTCCACCCACACACTCCACACCCACACACTCCACCCCCACACACTCCACCCCACACACTCCACCCCACACACTCACCCCCACACACTCCACCCCCACACACTCCACCCCCACACACTCCACCCCCACACACTCCACCCCACACACTCCACCCCCACACACTCCACCCCCACACACTCCACCCCCACACACTCCACCCCCACACACTCCACCCCCACACACTCCACCCCCACACACTCCACCCCCACACACTCCACCCCCACACACTCCACCCCCACACACTCCACCCCCACACACTCCACCCCCACACACTCCACCCCCACACACTCCACCCCCACACACTCCACCCCCACACACTCCACCCCCACACACTCCACCCCCACACACTCCACCCCCACACACTCCACCCCCACACACTCCACCCCCACACACTCCACCCCCACACACTCCACCCCCACACACTCCACCCCCACACACTCCACCCCCACACACTCCACCCCACACACTCCACCCACACACTCCACCCCCACACACTCCACCCCCACACACTCCACCCTCACACACTCCACCCCCACACACTCCACCCCCACACACTCCACCCCCACACACTCCACCCCCACACACTCCACCACACACACTCCACCCCCACACACTCCACCCCCACACACTCCACCACACACACTCCACCCCCACACCCGTACAGGTGTGGGGGTGCAAGGGGAGTGGTGGTGGAGCGGTTCCCGCGCTCCGCTACGAACCCGACGACCATTCCCGCTCACGGTGACAATTATCTGAACTGGTCCTGGGCCTCCCCTAGGTCGACTCAGTCTCAATTGGGTACCTGGTGCGGTGTGTAAAAACATCGCCACTGGGGAGACAAAGACGGCCGGGCGAGGTGTTGGCCACCCCCTAGTGTGCAGTGTCGGCCTTCACAGGTGCAGCTTGCTGACAGCACTTGCCCCAACGGTCTGGTGCAGGCTACACGGGAGATCTTTGTCTTTACCTCGAGACGACCATCCGTGACGGCGCTTCGCATGCGCTGGGGTCGCTCACACCTCGACGCACTTGCCTGGGGGCGCCCCCCGGGACAGCTGTCCCTGCGCGGCACCAGGCGGACTCGGCAGCTGGCGCTGTGAGCCGGCACCGGTCTGCCAGTCGGTGGGGGGGGGGAGGTGGGGGCGATGATGATTGCTGTGTAATCCCAATCGAGTAATGTACCTGCTACATGTATTATATATATATCTCTCTCTTTGCTCATTACCTTGAGATGCGGGCGCGTTTGTGTCTCTGTATAAATCCACGAGATGTAGAATCTGGACACACGCACACGGTGTGTGGGATGTTGCCACGGTGGTGCCGTGGTCAGCGCGCTCGACGTCGGATATAACCAAAGCCCATTCAGGCTGCTGGCGCGAGAGTTGTTGAAGTCGGTGGTGGCGTTGTTGGTGTTGGTGTTTTTGTAACAAACGGATTCAATCAAGCGCCCCAATTCCACGGTGAAGCTGTTTGAAAACCGGCTCGGGCGTTCGCCACTGATGGCAGCCGTGGGCCTCTGAAAAAAAAAGTCTGACCATAATGAACGATGTATAACAAGTCTCATCATCGCCAAACATCGCTTGCGAGAGACATTGCTGACGTGAGGCGATGCAATTTGCCTATGACACGTACCAAAATAGAGAGCTTTTTGGGTTAGATTGCGTAAATATAAATGTGTCGTGAATTCTAGATTTGAAGCTTTCGTGACTGCAAGGATTTTTCGGTAAAGTCACGTAGGTAAAAGTAATAAGCAACAAAGTAAACCTGGTGTATGCGTTGCGCTCGTCCTCACGGATCACCTTCCTGGCTCCCCCCACCCCAACCCCCCCATCCTGCACCCGTCCTTCTTGGCTCCTCCCCCCTCCTCTTACCCATATATAATAATACTAATAATGATGTCCCATCACAAATATATAATAATAATAATGATGATGTCCCATCACAATATATAATAATAATGTCCCATCACAAATAACTCTCACTACAGTGATTTCGCTGTGCCTTTTTACACCTGATGAAGGAAGCTCGTGTTGCCTCTGAAACGTCGTGATTTATTATTTTATTTCTATTATTATTTATATCATTTGTATTATTTATTATTTATTTTTCCCTACGTGACTTTACCGAAAAACCCTAAGAGTGTGTGTCGTGAAACCCGCCACCGCCCGCCACGGCCAATCAGACAGGTCGTGCCACGTAAGCAGCACGTGGCAATGAGTGGCGCGTGCAGCACCCACGCCGCGTGTTGGAGAGAAACCCGCAACCACATTGGCAATCAGAGGACCCGTGACGTTCCGCCGGCAACCACAACAAGCACGACAACCACAACAAGCACAAGCACAACAACCACAACAAGCACAACAACCACAACAAGCACAACAACCACAACAAGCACAACAAGCACAACAACCACAACAAGCACAACAACCACAACAACCACAACAAGCACGGGCATCATGAGGCGACAGCCAGAGTCGTGGAGACTTCCTCTCGCCGTCTCGGGCTTCAATAGGAGCAGGGGGTCGATGTGATGGCATCACTTGTGAGCCAATCACGTGCGAAAGCCGGGGGGGGGGGTAACCCCCATTACCCTTTGGGTTATTCACGGGGTCATCAACACACATTTGAAGTCACGCCGTCTAACCCAGACACCTGTGTTGTGGATAATACTGGTCGCAAAAGCCTCCTGCGGCTGCTGCTGCTGCGGCTCCGAGTTAAACTCGAATCGCGCCAACTTGGAAGTCGCGGGGGCTCAGAGAAATGCGTGTTCGTGTCGAGCCCTCAAGGATCCGAAGGTGTCCGTCTTCAATGTGCGCGGATAACGCGGAATGCGACCTCCAGCGATGGGCCACTGCCGTTCGGCTCCCCACGATATCGAGGTGAGCCCACGGTCGTTCTCATTGTTTGCACGTCGACGCCGTATCGACTGTCGGCGAATGGGGTTTTGCTATAAACTTTGGTAATAATCGGCTGAGTCAACGAAACTCATGGCTACGACACAATGCAGGGTGCAGCGTGCTAACCACTGCGCCACCGCTCCCGCCGTGTCGAGTGAATGCAATGCCCCGGGGGGGGAGGCTAAGTTGGGGGCTGAGTGGGGGGTTGAGTGGGGGGTTGGGCGGGGGGTGGGGCGGGGGGTTAAGTGAGGGGCTGAGTGGGGGGGCTGAGCGAGGGGTTGAGTGGGGGGTTGAGCGAGGGGTTGGGCGGGGGGTTGGGCGGAGGGTTGGGCGGGGGGTTAAGTTGGGGGCTGAGTGGGGGGCTGAGTGGGGGGTTGGGCGGGGGGTTGGGCGGGGGATTAAGTGGGAGGCTGAGTGGGGGGCTGAGCGGCTCTCCGTCGCATTGAGACGCCCGCCGGTGCGCTGTGTGCATGGATGTGAACATAAACGTCGTGTTGTCCTTACCAGTGACGGCGGGTCTCGACTCTTCTGGAGTGTTGTTGCGTTTTTGGTTGTTGTGTTTTTGGTCTATTTTGTCGTGGAGATTAGTCCACACTCCATGGCCCAGCCCCTGTTCACACACCCATGGCCCAGCCCCTGTTCGCACACCGACGGCCCGATACAATGGATGATGATGACGACACAGTGGATGGTGATGACGACACAGTGGATGATGACGACACAGTGGACCCACAGTGCACCGCGGCCCAAGCACGCGGTGGCTCCCTCGGGGGCCACCGCCACCACGCGGGCCGAGCTCGGGCCTCAGCCACCGGCGGCGTCAGGCGGCTCTGGGCTCCTCCTGGGCGGCCCCCGCGCCGTGGCTCCCCGGCGCCCCACCCCTGACGGTGAGAAGCGGCAGGCGGAAGTGGATGTCACGGAGCCACCTCCCAACCCTGCTGCTGCTGCTATGGAGAGTCACACCGCATGGCGGCCAGGGGATGCTCATTGCCTCACCTGGGATACAGAAGGGCATGGGTTGGATCCAGACCCTGACACCTGCTGTATATTTGGAGTTTGCGTGTCTCTTTCCCCGTGGTCACGCGGATTTTTCTCTGGCTCCTCCGATTTTTTGCCCCTCCGCATTTAGAGTCAACGTCGCGCGTTTAGAGAGTATTTGGCTACAGCTGTACATGCCCACGTGATGATGACGATAAGCCACTTCGCTGTCATTCGTGGCCAGGTCGCTCCTCAAGAAGAGCTGCACACAGCTCAGTGGGGCCTTGCCTGGTTAGATAAAGCAAATAGTCAAATACAAAATATTCTATAGATATTTTTCATATCCTCACCTCTTCTCCATCGCCAATTTCTCTTCCCTTTCCCTCCCCTCGTCCATCTACCCCCTGTCCCCCCCCCGTACCCCCTTTCATGACCCCCCAGAGTACCCCTTTATCGCCGTCGCTCGACCCTTGGCAGCTGGCAGTGGCGCGTGCCCCTGGCGACTCCGTCGGGCTCCGTCAGCCCCTTGGGCGACGCTCTCTCTGGGTGCTGCCGGTTCCGCTATAGCGCGGTGGGAGTTGCGTCCCTGGAGAACACCGCGTTATGGAAAAATGTGCATTATAATGAATCAAATATAATACAGTAGAACCCCTCTTAATGACCACCCCGGTAAACAACTAATCGCTTAACGACGGGCCTCCATAGAGCCAAATGCGTAGTGTATAGTAGTGTAGTGTACAGTAGTGTAGTGTATAGTCTAGTGTGTGGTGTAGTGTATAGTAGTGTATAGTGTAGTGTATAGTAGTGTAGTGTATAGTCTAGTGCAGGGGTCGGCAACCAAAATAACAAGAAGAGCCATTTTCTTTCCAATTCGGTACAAAATTCTGTATTTCAAGAGCCGCAATGCATCTGAGTACATACGTACGTACTCATCGTCAAGAAGCAGCCCGTAAAGAGCCGCATGCGGCTCCGGAGCCGTAGGTTGCCGACCCCTGGTCTAGTGTATAGTAGTGTAGTGCCTCCATAGAGCCCAATGTGTTCACTTCCCAACAATTCAGGTACAGTAAATATGAATGCATTGATTAACCAAGTTTATTTTAATGTGTTTAAAATGTTGTTAGTATCTTTACGTATTAATACCCATTGTTTAAATATAAAGTACGTTTCATGGGTGAAACAAGGTAACTTTCGATGCTATCTGAACGCATTAAGCCGTCAACGTGTATTCTCTAGACTCGTTCAACCACCAAATCACTTAACGCCCAGTGTCGTGGAACCAATTTCCGTCATTAAGAGGGGTTCTGCCATACAGGGTAAGGCACAGTCCGCGATGACGCGTGAGATGCGTACGCAGGCTGAACAAAGACGGAGGCACGTGGTGGGCAGCCTCACGGAGCATCCAGCAGCATCCCACCGCCTCGTGTGATCCCAGGTCGAGGCGGCAGCCATGTGACCGCTTATCCCCACTCGCGTGACGCAGTTCCATTCGCTCGATCGCGTTATATCCAAGTGGCATTATGAAAACAACAAGCGGCGTCACAGGAGAACGGGCTGCATATCTGAATCTAAATTAGATTAGGTTGCAACGTAGAAGTAAGAAAAATGTTTGCACGTAGATTAACAACCTGATGTTGCATGCAGGCAGACAGTGACAAGAAGGAGACTGCCGCTATTTGGACACACACAAACATGTAGTGGGATGGACAACAACGGAACAATTAAAAGTGTGTAGTTGTTGTTGTTGCTGTTCGGGAAAATGTAAACAACTGGAAAGAGAGGAAGCGCTAACAGAGAATGGTTTGACGACGACGACGACATCATAGATGTGGTGCCAGAAAGATGGGGGCCACTACTTGACGCGTATTGGCACTAGGACACAGAGGAGAGTGGAAACAACAAATCACGAAATGTGCAGTGGACACTTCCGATGGGCTATCTACCCCAGAGATCGTGACGACGATAATGACGTAGTACCCCTCCATCGCTGCCGCGCATTCCTCAACAGCCTGCAAGTGGCGCATTCCCCTGCCAGCTCTGCCACTCGGCGTCGACGTTTCCGTAGGGCAACGTCGGCCTCCTTGAGTGAAATGCGCCGCGGCTGTATCTAAATCCGAAATCAGATTGGGGGTTTAGAGTGCACAGTGGCGCTCCGCAATGCTCCCCATGCTGCGCGCGGACGACAGCGCAGCGGCGGCAGCTGCGGCGGCGGTGGAGGCGGTACAGCAAGTGGGGCCGGGCGGCCCGACCCGCGCGGCGGCCGGAGGGATGGCGGCGGCAGAAGCCTGAGCTAGGCCCGCGGGCTTGGGCCGGATGGCGGGCGGCAGTCCCGCGGCCCTCGCGCCGCCTGGCCCTCCCGCGGCCTTCCCCAGCGAGAGGCCCGCGCGGAGGCCGCTCCCGGGGAGGCCACTCCCGGGCGGCGGCGGGGAGGAGGAGGAGGCCAGCCGGTGGCGGCGGCCCACGGGCGTCGCCGGGAGGCTGTGAGTGGTCGACGGCCACGGCTGGCGGACGCCGGAGCTCCAGCTGGGGGCGATGTCACGGCGGCGGTGGTTATGGTGGTGGCACGGTTGGCAGAGGTGGCGCTGACGGTGATGGTGGGCGGGTATCGGCGGTGATAGCGATGATGGTGATGGCTGCTGCTGGTGTTGCTGCGGTGGCGATGACGACGGCGGTGGCGATGATGGTGATGATGACGGTGGCGGTGCCGGCGATGGGCTGCCGGGGAACGTGTCCAGCACGAGGTCGGGAGCTCGCTCCGCCGATCCCTGGCGCTCCATCTCCTGGAGTTCATGCAGAGCGTTGTGGAGCGCCGCCTCGATCTCCTACGGAACGCAGGCATCCGTGGTCATGGCCGCTCGTGCCCTATCCACGATCGGATGAATCAGCCTTCACCCCCTCCCCCCCACCCTCTAGCCCAGCAATCCCTTGCTGCAAGCCGGCGGCAGGGCCTTTGTCATACGGAGCGTCTAGGCAAGCATCGCACCCGAGTGTGACGCTAAAGCCTACACTTTGTCATCTTACCCAGGTTTAAGGCCCCACTGAGCTGTCTAGCTCTTTTGCAAAAGTGACCAGCTCAACGAAGTGGCGGATTATCATCATCGTCACGTCGAAATTTATAGCAGCAGCCAAATACTCTCAGTGCGTGACATCGATTCTGAACGTGGAATCACTACCCACACTGTACCCCACCTGGTGGAGGTGGACTACCCACACTGTACCCCACCTGGTGGAGGTGGACTACCCACACTGTACCCCACCTGGTGGAGGTGGACTACACACACTGTACCCCACCTGGTGGAGGTGGACTACCCACACTGTACCCCACCTGGTGAAGGTGGACTACCCACACTGTACCCCACCTGGTGGAGGTGGACTACCCACACTGTACCCCACCTGGTGGAGGTGGACTAACCATACTGTACCCGACCTGGTAGAGGTGGACTACCCACACTGTACCCCACCTGGTGGAGGTGGACTACCCACACTGTACCTCACCTGGTGGAGGTGGACTACCCACACTGTACCCCACCACGTGCGGCTTCCGATGGACGGATTCATGGCTGGTTGCGGATGGCGAGTCCGCTGATAACCAATGTGGCAGCATCCTTGAGTGCTTTGGTGAGTGTTGTGATGAGTGTGGTGGTGTGTTCTTTAACCGAGTCTGGTGGCTAGCAGATCAGTGGTCTTGTGGTGAGTATTTCGGTGAGATGTGGTGAATGCTGTGGTAAGAGTGTTTTGTTGAATGTTGTGGTGAGTGTGGTGCTGACTGGCGGTGAGTGTTGTGGTGAGTGCGACGGTGAGTATTATGTTGAATGTTTTAGGGAGTGTTGTGGTCAGCTGTGGTGAATGTGGTGGCGGTTGTTGTGGTTGATATCGTGGCGAGTATGATGGGGAAGTGTTTTCGTAAAATTGCGGTAAGCGTGGTGGTGTGTGTGCTCTGGTGAGCGTTTCAGCGTGGTTGGTGGTGAGCGTGGCTGGCGGTGAGCGTGGCTGGCGGTGAGCGTGGCTGGCGGTGAGCGTGGCTGGCGGTGAGTGAGTGGTTGGTGGTGAGCGTGGCGGGTGGTGAGTTAGTGGTTGGCGGTGAGCGTGGCTGGCGGTGAGTGAGTGGTTGGTGGTGAGCGTGGCTGGCGGTGATTGTGGTTGGCAGTGAGCGTGGCGGGTGGTGAGTGAGTGGTTGGCGGTGAGCGTGGCTGGCGGTGAGTGAGTAGTTGGCGGTGAGCGTGGCTGGCGGTGAGTGAGTGGCTGGCAGTGAGCGTGGCTGGCGGTGAGTGAGTGGTTGGCGGTGAGTGTGGCGGGTGGTGAGTGTGTGGTTGGCGGTGAGTGTGGCTGGCGGTGAGTTAGTGTGGTTGGTGGTGAGCGTGGCTGGCGGTGAGTGAGTGGTTGGCGGTGAGTGTGGCGGGTGGTGAGTGTGTGGTTGGCGGTGAGTGTGGCTGGCGGTGAGTTAGTGTGGTTGGTGGTGAGCGTGGCTGGCGGTGAGTGAGTGGTTGGTGGTGAGCGTGGCTGGCGGTGAGTGTGGCTGGCGGTGAGCCTGGCTGGCGGTGAGTGAGTGGTTGGCGGTGAGTGTGGCGGGTGGTGAGTGAGTGGTTGGCGGTGAGTGTGGCGGGTGGTGAGTGAGTGGTTGGTGGTGAGCGTGGCTGGCGGTGATTGTGGTTGGCAGTGAGCGTGGCTGGTGGTGAGTGAGTGGTTGGCGGTGAGCGTGGCTGGCGGTGAGTGAGTAGTTGGCGGTGAGCGTGGCTGGCGGTGAGTGAGTGGCTGGCAGTGAGCGTGGCTGGCGGTGAGTGAGTGGTTGGCGGTGAGTGTGGCGGGTGGTGAGTGTGTGGTTGGCGGTGAGTGTGGCTGGCAGTGAGTTAGTGTGGTTGGTGGTGAGCATGGCTGGCGGTGAGTGAGTGGTTGGCGGTGAGTGTGGCGGGTGGTGAGTGAGTGGTTGGTGGTGAGCGTGGCTGGCGGTGATTGTGGTTGGCAGTGAGCGTGGCTGGCAGTGAGCGTGGCTGGCGGTGAGCGTGGCGGGTGGTGAGTGAGTGGTTGGCGGTGAGCGTGGCTGGCGGTGAGCGTGGCTGGCGGTGAGTGAGTGGTTGGCGGTGAGTGTGGTGGGTGGTGAGTGAGTGGTTGGCGGTGAGTGTGGCTGGCGGTGAGTGTGGCTGGCGGTGAGCGTGGCTGGCGGTGAGTGAGTGTGGCTGGCGGTGAGCGTGGCTGGCGGTGAGCGTGGCTGGCGGTGAGTGAGTGTGGCTGGCGGTGAGCGTGGCTGGCGGTGAGCGTGGCTGGTGGTGAGTGAGTGTGGTTGGTGGTGAGCATGGCTGGCAGTGAGTGAGTGGTTGGCGGTGAGCGTGGCTGGCGGTGAGCGTGGCTGGCAGTGAGTGTGGTTGGTGGTGAGCGTGGCTGGCGGTGAGTGTGGTTGGTGGTGAGCGTGGCTGGCAGTGAGTAAGTGGTTGGCGGTGAGCGTGGCTGGCGGTGAGTGTGGTTGGTGGTGAGCGTGGCTGGCGGTGAGCGTTGCTGGCGGTGAGTGAGTGTGGCTGGCGGTGAGCGTGGCTGGCGGTGAGCGTGGCGGGTGGTGAGTGAGTGGTTGGCGGTGAGCGTGGCTGGCGGTGAGCGTGGCTGGCGGTGAGCGTGGCTGGCGGTGAGTGTGGCGGGTGGTGAGTGAGTGGTTGGCGGTGAGCGTGGCTGGCGGTGAGCGTGGCTGGCAGTGAGCATGGCTGGCGGTGAGCGTGGCGGGTGGTGAGTGAGTGGTTGGCGGTGAGCGTGGCTGGCGGTGAGCGTGGCTGGCGGTGAGCGTGGCTGGCGGTGAGCGTGGCTGGTGGTGAGCGTGGCTGGCGGTGAGCGTGGCTGGCGGTGAGCGTGGCTGGCGGTGAGCGTGGCTGGCGGTGAGTGAGTGGTTGGCGGTGAGCGTGGCTGGCGGTGAGCGTGGCTGGCGGTGAGTGTGGCGGGTGGTGAGTGAGTGGTTGGCGGTGAGCGTGGCTGGCGGTGAGCGTGGCTGGCAGTGAGCATGGCTGGCGGTGAGCATGGCGTGTGGTGAGTGAGTGGTTGGCGGTGAGCGTGGCTGGCGGTGAGTGTGGCTGGCGGTGAGCGTGGCGGGTGGTGAGTGAGTGGTTGGCGGTGAGCGTGGCTGGCGGTGAGCGTGGCTGGCGGTGAGCGTGGCGGGTGGTGAGTGAGTGGTTGGCGGTGAGCGTGGCTGGCGGTGAGCGTGGCGGGTGGTGAGTGAGTGGTTGGCGGTGAGCGTGGCTGGCGGTGAGCGTGGCTGGCAGTGAGCGTGGCTGGCGGTGAGCGTGGCGGGTGGTGAGTGAGTGGTTGGCGGTGAGCGTGGCTGGCGGTGAGCGTGGCTGGCGGTGAGCGTAGCGGGTGGTGAGCGTGGCTGGCGGTGAGCGTGGCTGGCGGTGAGCATGGCTGGCGGTGAGCGTGGCGGGTGGTGAGTGAGTGGTTGGCGGTGAGCGTGGCTGGCAGTGAGCATGGCTGGCGGTGAGCGTGGCGGGTGGTGAGTGAGTGGCTCGCGGTGATTGTGGTTGGCAGTGAGCGTGGCTGGCGGTGATTGTGGTTGGCAGTGAGCGTGGCTGGCGGTGAGCGTGGCGGGTGGTGAGTGAGTGGTTGGCGGTGAAGCGTGGCTGGCGGTGAGCGTGGCGGGTGGTGAGTGAGTGGTTGGCGGTGAGTGAGTGTGGTTGGCGGTGAGCGTGGCTGGCGGTGAGTTAGTGTGGTTGGTGGTGAGCGTGGCTGGCGGTGATTGTGGTTGGCAGTGAGCGTGGCTGGCGGTGAGCATGGCGGGTGGTGAGTGAGTGGTTGGCGGTGAGCGTGGCTGGCGATGAGTGTGGCTGGCGGTGAGCGTGGCTGGCGGTGAGCGTGGCTGGCGGTGAGCGTGGCTGACGGTGAGCGTGGCTGGCGGTGATTGTGGCTGGCGGTGAGCGTGGCTGGCGGTGAGCGTGGCTGGCGGTGAGCGTGGCGGGTGGTGAGTGAGTGGTTGGCGGTGAGCGTGGCTGGCGGTGAGCGTGGCTGGTGGTGAGCGTGGCTGGCGGTGAGCTGTGGCTGGCGGTGAGCGTGGCTGGCGGTGAGCGTGGCTGGCGGTGAGCGTGGCTGGCGGTGATTGTGGCGGGTGGTGAGTGAGTGGTTGGCGGTGATTGTGGTTGGCAGTGAGCGTGGCTGGCGGTGAGCGTGGCTGGCGGTGAGCGTGGCTGGCGGTGAGTGTGGCTGGCGGTGATTGTTGTTGGCGGTGAGCGTGGCTGGCGGTGAGCGTGGCTGGCGGTGAGCGTGGCTGGTGGTGATTGTGGTTGGCAGTGAGCGTGGCTGGCGGTGAGCGTGGCTGGTGGTGAGCGTGGCGGGTGGTGAGCGTGGCACCGGCGTGAAGGGGTCTTCGTCTCCGTCTCCCTCCGCTCCGCCTCGCTGGAGGAGCGGCCTCCTGTGGCTGCCACCTCCCCCGTCACGGCCGCCCCCTGAGAGACGGCAGAGCGGGCGGGCGCGTGAGACGAGGCCCCCTCACCCACAACAACGTTGTTGCTGTTGTTGCTATTGCAACAACAGCAACCTCGCTCAACGTTGCTCTACTCACACCTACAACAGTTCCGCTTGTTGGCGGTGCCCTTGGCGTTTTGGACTTCGAAATGAAAGTGAACAAACTACGTCGGCGATGGAGACTACAAAGGAGAAGGTGGTAGGATGGGAACATCATAGCCAGTTATGACTTAAACTGGTTGAAAATAGTCCTTCCAATTATTTTTCAGTTTGTACCCATCTTCTCGGTTGAAATTGTGTCTGTGTCTGTATATATGGATGGCTTCATGAACGAATCTTTGTTGATAGCCAGCGGGCTTTCAAAGTACCTTCATCTTAGAGAAATCTATTTCGTGTGAGCCAGCCGCATTAAAGTAATGATCAGCCACGGCAGAAGTATTGGTCCTGCCGTGTTTCAGATCTGCCTTATGTTCACGAACACGGTCCGAGACATGTCGCTTAGTTTCCCCAATGTAACTGCTGCCGCAAATACAGCTTAGTTTGTAGACGCCGAGATATTGCATGGCAGGGATCACATCCTTCACAGATGGAATCAGATCACGAATCTTATGTACTGTGTTAAATCGAACCTGGATCTTGCATTTGCTCATGATTTTGGAAATAATTTTGGTGATCCCTGCTATGTATGGCAAGGTGATGGTTTTGATTGGGTCCTCAGATGGTTCTTTCCCAACGTTTGGTGTGACAGCTTTACGGATTGTGTAGTCTGAATATCCATCCACCTTGAGGGCTTCGTGTACCTGTTCCAGTTCACTGGCTAGGTGGTGACAGTCGGAGATACATTGAGCTCTATGGTGTGGAGTTTTGAGGAGGGAATTCTTCTGGGATGGATGGTGGTGGGAGTCAGGTTTTAGGTAGGCATCCGTATGGGTGGCTTTCCTGTAGACAGAGTGTCCCATTGAGCCATCTGGTTTCTTTTCGATTAAAACATCCAAGAATGATTATTGAGGGGGGTGCTCCATGTGGAGTGATGTCACCCGCTCATGATTATTAATGAGGGGGGGTGCTCCATGAAGAGTGACGTCACCCGCTCATGATTATTAATGAGATGGGGTGGGGTGCTCCATGTGGAGTGACGTCACCCGCCCATGATGTTTAATGGAAGCGCTAGGGAGTTAGCGTGACATCAGGGTTCTGGCTCTTTCCATATTAAGAATGTTAAGCAACGCTGAGGCGACCCTCGACGTGCACGGGTGTAGAACTTCTATCCGCGCCGTAACGTAGCCAGCCGTGCCAATCATCACCTGGAACCGACAGGCACGGAGTCCTGTGTGGGTAGACATTGCCGCTGCTGTTGGTGGCGGCGGCGGCGGTGGTGGTGGAGGTGCCACCGTCCACAGGCCCCACCAAACCGAGCGCCACCGTGGCGCCACCCGCCGCACCGAAGCTGCCGCTGCTGCTGCCCGCAGGGTGGCCACCGAGGCCCGGCGCGGTGGCCCCAACCTGGGAGGTGACGGCAGCGGCAGGAGGAGGAGGAGGAGCCCCCACGCGTCTCACCACGCGTCTCACCACGCAACTCGACTTCACAAACTCGACATTGTTTCTACATTTTACCCAGGTGAGGCTCACGGGTGGCGCCATCGCCTCTGTTGAAGGCCACCACCAGCATCATCGTCGCTCTGCGCCTGCTCACGATGCTGGTGGTGGCTGTAATTGCCTGGCGAAACGTCACGGCTACTCGAATTGTAAATGTTGTCGTGGGTTTTACTCTCCAACACCACCGATTAGTGCTGAACTGGTAACTGATTGTCACGTTCTGTTTGCGTGACACAGCCTCACCAATTGGTGGTGGAGGGTTTCACAACACATTCATATTTACGCCATCTAACCCTAAAAATGCTCTATTAAGGTAAGGCCCGCTGAACTATTAAGCGACCTGGCAATGTTTATTACACAATGCACTGGGTACCCATTTGAGGCCGAGTCGACCTAGGGGAGGCCCAGGATCGAGTCAGTAATTCGTCACTGGTATTGGGCGTGAGCAGGAATCGTAGCGCAGTGAACTAACCGCTACACCACCACTCCCCACACACACACAGGCTCTCGCACACTCTCACACACTCAGACTCTGTAGAACAGGGATTAAGCATGCACACTCCACTCAGCAAGGCGCCCCAGTTGGGAATCGAACCCAGGGTCCTTGCTGCTTTGAGGTGTGTCACCACTTGGCCACCATAGCCAGTGTGTGTGAGCCAATGTGTGAGCGAGTGAGCAAGAAAATGCGTGAGGGAGCAGGAGAATGTGTGAGGGAGTGAGTGAGCGAGCAGGTGAGTGTGTGAGCTAATGTGCGAATGAGTGAGCAAATTGAGTGATCGACCCAGCGAGTGAGTGAGCCAACGAGTGAGTGAGCCAGCGAGTGAGTGAGCTAACGAGTGAGTGAATGAGCGAGCGAGTGAGCAAGGGGGCGAGTGAGTGGGCAAGCGAGTGAGCCAGTGAGTGAGCGGCCTACGCAGCGATGCGGCGACCGTTGTCTCGGCGCGATCCGCGGCTCATCCTCCTCGGTGGCCCCCCTCGGGGGCCCTCCCACCGTGCCCCCCGCCCCCCACCCCCGCGCCGCCCCCCCTCGTGCGGCCGAGGGAGCCGGCTCCGTGCGAGACAGCCGGGGCCCGGCCTCCCGCGGGGCCCCCACTTCCACCACCCAGGGCCTCTGCAGGGTCACCGGTTCACTGGCTGGGCCGTGCCTGGTGGGAGGGATCGAGAAGGGGGGGACGAGAGGGGGAAGGGGGGTCGAGAGGGGGGGACGAGGGGGGGTGAACGTGAGAGGGGGGCACGAGTGGTCGTGCGGGTGAAGCGCACGGGGCCGTTGTAGGTGGATGACGAAGGCGGCGCTGGCGGCAGGACCTCCACACGCAGCAGCGTCCCCCCCCCCCCGGGCTCACCCACCCGTGGTTCATCTCCACGAGCGTTGCGGGCACCACGCCGCCCGCGGTGGGGCCGCGTGGTGCCCACTCGCGCCGCCACCAGCCCGGTGCGGCGCCACCCGGGGTGGTGGCGGTGTGCCGGCCCGGCAGGGAAGAGCCGCGGCCGCTCGCCGCCCGCTCCTCCTCATCCTCGTCGTCCATCACCGCCGCCACCGCCGCGTCCTCCTCCTCATCGCCATCGTCACCATCACCCGCCTCTCCCACCTCCTCCACCTCCTCCACCTCCTCCACCTCCTCCTCCTCGTCTACCGTGCTTGCCTCGCTATACGCGTCCTGACCATCGCTGTGACACGCACACACGTACAGGCAAAGGTCCCCCAGGTAGCCTGTGCCGGATGGATGGCGTCGTGGGGCAAGTGGTGTCAAAAGAGCCGACACGACGGTGGTGGTGGTGCGGGCTTGCTGTTGCCCGGAAGAAAGAAAGAAAACAACCGCGATCCCTCGCCCGGCCGCCTTTGTCTCACCCCACCATTTGAGGCCGAGTTTACCTAGGGGAGAGCCAGGTGCGAGCAGTTGCTGCTGCCACACGCCGATTTCAAGAAACATTGCCGATGTGTGCACGGCCGAGGCCAGGTAATGATACGGCCACGTGGTTTGCTGTGAAGCTCTCCACCACCTGACATGGTCAAACAAATTCAATCGTCGCTGCCAGGTGGTGGTGATGGCAGTGGTGGTGGCAGTGGTAGTCATGGCGGAGGTGGTTGTGGTGGCGGTGACTGTGGCTAGTGGTGGTGGTAGTGGCGGTGGTGGCGTGGTGGTGGTGGAGGTTGGCGGTGGTGGTGGCGGTGGCTATGGTGGTGGTGACAGTCGTGGTGGTAGCAGGTGGTGGTAGTGGCGGTAGCAGGTGGTGGTGGTGGTAGTGGTTATGGCAGTGGCAGTAGTGGTGGTAGTGGTGGTGGTGACAGTAGCGGTTGTGGTGAGCACCGACCGCTGCGCCACCACTCCTCCCCCGGTCCGGTACCGGCCAAGCACACGAGCGATTGAGCTGGACGGGTTCATCGAGTGGTCAGTATCGTGATCATCATCATCATCGTCATCATCGTCATTATCATTGTCATCATCGTCATCATCGTCAGTATCGTCATCATCGTCATCATCGTCAGTATCGTCATCATCATCATCATCGTCATCATCGTCAGTATCATCGTCATTATCGTCATCATCGTAAGTATCGTCATCATCATCGTCATTATCATAGTCATCATCGTCATCATCGTAAGTATCGTCATCATCGTCATCATCGTCATCATCGTCATTATCATTGTCATCATCGTCATCATCGTCAGTATCGTCATCATCGTCATCATCGTCATTATCATTGTCATCATCGTCATCATCGTCAGTATCGTCATCATCGTCAGTATCATCGTCATTATCCTTATCATCATCGTCATCGCCGTCGTGATCGTCATCGCGGTGGCCGTGGCGGGCACACACCGCTCCAGGCCCATGCACGTCTCGTAGAGCGGTCCCGGCAGGCGGCGTGGTCCGGGGAAGGCGGCCCCGCCGAGCGCGATCAGGGCCCTGCACGCCTCGTGGACGCGCGCCGTCACCGACGCCTCGTCGTAGGCGGGCGGCGCCGGCAGCAGCGTGGGGCCGAAGCACACGGCCAGGTTGTAGGCGTCCATCAGGTTCTCGTCGCTCAGCTGTGCCAGGCTGAGGTGGCACACGGTGGGGGGGGGGGGGGGGTGTAGAGACGGTGGGCAATCAAAACAATCGATGGTGTTGGTGGCGTTGGCCCCTATCGGGCACTTGTCAGGGTGGTGATAACTGTTATAGTGATGGTGGTGGTGCCAGTGGCGCCGATCGGACACAGCTGGTGCGGTGATAGCAGCAATGGTGGTGGTGGCGGTGGCGCCGATGGGACACAGCTGGTGCGGTGATAGTTGTGACGGTGGTGGTGGCGGTGGCGCCGATGGGACACGGTCGGGAAGTTGCACATCACGGGTGCGTCTCGCAACGCGCGCAACCCAACAACGCTGCCCCCTGGCACACACTGCCCCTGTCTACCACACGCTGCCCCTGTCTAATGCTCCCCCTGTCTAACGCTGCCCCTGTCTAACTGCTGCCCCTGTCTAACGCTGCCCCTGTCTACCACACGAGACCGGGGGGTGAACCGTCCCACGCAGTAAGCTGGGCCTGCCACCGGTGTTTGAAGATGGCAGCCAGTGTATAAAGATGGCCGACCGTGTCTAAAGATGGCCACCAGTCTCTATAGATGGCCGCCGGTGTTTAAAGATGGCTGCAGGGGTTTAAAAATGGCCGCCGGTGTTTAAATATGGCCGCCGGTGTCTAAAAATGGCCGCCGGCAGACAGCGCTCGCATGCGAGGGGAGGGTGGGGGGGCGGATAAAAAGCAGCGATTTTGGCAGCATGTGCCGAGGGCAGGGCGGTGGGGGCGGTGGGGGCGGTGGGGGCGGTGGGAGCGGTGGGGGCGGTGGGGCTCACTGGTGGAGGAAGGCGAAGAGGAAGCGGAGCACGACGGCGACAGGCGGCGGCAGCTCCTGCATCACGGAGCGGATCCGCACCGCCCCTTCCAGCGGGCCCTCGGTGCCTGGACACGCACGGCGCCAGCGGACACGGCCACGTACGCACGGGTGTCACTCCCAACAGTCACGCATACCGCTTTGTGTTATGTACAAAGGTTTGCTGGCTGGCTGGATTCCTGGTTGACTGGCAAGCGGCCGAGCCCACTGACCGACCGACTGACCAACCGAGCAACCCACCGACCGACCCACCTGCCCGCCCGTTCACCCACCCACCCATCGACCGACCCACCCACCTGCCCGTCCACTCACCTACCCACCCATCGACAGACCCACCCACCGACCCACCTACCGACCCACCAACGCACCGACTGACTGACCTACCCACTCATCCACCTATCCACCAACCCACTCACCGAGGCCACATGAAGTGTTAAAGGCTCGCTGCTGGCAAAAGGTCATGGGACAGATGCAGGTGCCATGGATACGCTGACTAAGATGACTGGCAGAAGCACCACCTGCGCGCCCTCACTGCGAACTCGCTGCGCTTTAGCTGCCCGGCCACCACTCATTGTTGTGAGCATCACTCCTGCGCCCTCCGTTGTTGCTGGAGGGCGAATGCCTCCAATTGCCCAGTAGCAGCGTCCTTCACGAGCCTCCTCCACGGTGACACGATCATGCTGACAGTCACAGGTAAAACAGTCGCACGATGGTGGAGCGTGCAGGGGGCGTGGGGGGGGGATGGTGGGTGGTGGTGGATGGTGGGGTGGTGGAGGGTGATGGTGAGGGATGGTGAGGGGTGGGGGTGGTGGGGGGCGGGTGGAGGTGAGGGTGGGTGGGTGGAGGTGAGGGTGGGTGGGTGGATGTGAGGGTGGGCGGGTGTCTCTGTGACCGGAGCAGGCGAGCAGGAGGCGTGAGAAGGCGGCTGCAGGGAGGAGGGGCGTGCGCAGCTCGCGGAAGTAGAGCTTGAGGACGCACGCCACCGAGTTGACGTCCCCGCAGCCCGACTCATCCAGCAGCGGATCCTCGCCTACGGCGCTCGCACACACACACGCACAAGGACGACGGCCGTTTGCCGCCGAGTGGCGGTGGCATCACCACGACGCTCGTGCCAGGCCATGTGCACGTTAAGGCCACGTGAAGCGTCGAACGCCCGCTCGCAGCAGGTCACGGGACAGACCCAGGTGCCATGTACCACCTGTGCCCCCTTCTGTGCCAACTTGCTGTGCTTTAGCCACCCGGCGCTCTGCTCGTTGTTGTGAGCGTCGCTCCTCCGCCCTCTGTTGTTGCTGGAGGGCGACTGCCTCCAACGGCACAGTAGCAGCGTCCTTCACGAGCCTCCTCCACATAGGCTGATCTTAACACCGCTGGTACAAGTCATCGGCAAGTCCACTCAGCTCCACATCCTCCTGTAACCACATCACTCCATCTCTCTATCTCATGCCGCGCCTATTTAGCCTCTTTGTGGCTAAACAAAAGCTGTTTAGGCATGCGGTGGCTGGCCATGCACGCTACATGACCCAGCCAATGCAGCCTTCCTTGCCTGCCGTTGGATCTCACCGATGGGACTTTATGCAAATCTTTCAAGGATCTGTAAGCTCCTCACACAATCCAGTCTGGTTTAACTCAGGATGGATCGTAGGCAAGCCAGCCTAAATGTTCCATTAGGGGGGTCCACGTTTTGCAGCATAGCAACAGACCAGGTAGCTTCCACACAGTGGTACGCAGCCGATGAAAAGATAATGCCGCTCGGCTGATTTGGCACAAGACCTCTGCTATCAAACTAGAGCCGGCCATGAGCACACTGTCCAGGTTCGGAAAACTCTCCCCCTGTTCTACTGAGTGAGTGAGTGGAGATTGTGTGATCTCTCCCTGTTCTACAGAGTGAGTGAGTGGAGTTTGTGTGATCTCCCCCTGTCCTACAGAGTGAGTGGAGTATGTGTGATCTCCCCCTGTCCTACAGAGTGAGTTAGTGGAGTTTGTGTGATCCCCCCTGTTATACAGAGTGAGTGGAGTTTGTGTGATCTCCCCCTGTTATACAGAGTGAGTGAGTGGAGTTTGTGTGACCTCCCCCTGTCCTACAGAGTGAGTGAGTGGAGTTTGTGTGATCTCCCCTTGGTATACAGAGTGAGTGGAGTTTGTGTGATCTCGCCCTGTTATACAGAGTGAGTGAGTGGAGTTTGTGTGATCTCCCCCTGTCCTACAGAGTGAGTGAGTGGAGTTTGTGTGATCTCCCCTTGTTATACAGAGTGAGTGAGTGGAGTTTGTGTGATCTCCCCCTGTTCTAGAGAGTGAGTGAGTGGAGTTTGTGTGATCTCCCCCTGTTCTACAGAGTGAGTGAGTTAGTGGAGTTTGTGTGATCTCCCCCTGTCCTACAGAGTGAGTGAGTGGAGATTGTGTGATCTCCCCCTGTCATACAGAGTGAGTGAGTGGAGTTTGTGTGATCTCCCCCTGTTATGCAGAGTGAGTGAGTGGAGTTTGTGTGATCTCCCCCTGTCCTACAGAGTGAGTGAGTGGAGTTTGTGTGATCTCCCCTTGTTATACAGAGTGAGTGAGTGGAGTTTGTGTGATCTCCCCCTGTTATACAGAGTGAGTGAGTGGAGTTTGTGTGATCTCGCCCTGTTATGCAGAGTGAGTGAGTGGAGTTTGTGTGATCTCCCCCTGTCCTACAGAGTGAGTGAGTGGAGTTTGTGTGATCTCCCCTTGTTATACAGAGTGAGTGAGTGGAGTTTGTGTGATCTCCCCCTGTTCTAGAGAGTGAGTGAGTGGAGTTTGTGTGATCTCCCCCTGTTCTACAGAGTGAGTGAATTAGTGGAGTTTGTGTGATCTCCCCCTGTCCTACAGAGTGAGTGAGTGGAGATTGTGTGATCTCCCCCTGTCATACAGAGTGAGTGAGTGGAGTTTGTGTGATCTTCCCCTGTTCTAGAGAGTGAGTGAGTGGAGTTTGTGTGATCTCCCCCTGTTCTACAGAGTGAGTGAGTTAGTGGAGTTTGTGTGATCTCCCCCTGTCCTACAGAGTGAGTGAGTGGAGATTGTGTGATCTCGCCCTGTCATACAGAGTGAGTGAGTGGAGTTTGTGTGATCTCCCCCTGTCCTGCAGAGTGAGTGGAGTTTATGTGATCTCCCCCTGGTCTACAGAGTGAGTGAGTGGAGATTGTGTGATCTCCCCCTGTTCTACAGAGTGAGTGAGTTAGTGGAGTTTGTATGATCTCCCCCTGTCCTACAGAGTGAGTGAGTGGAGATTGTGTGATCTCCCCCTGTCATACAGAGTGAGTGAGTGGAGTTTGTGTGATCTCCCCCTGTTATACAGTGAGTGGAGTTTGTGTGATCTCCCCCTGTCCTGCAGAGTGAGTGAGTGGAGTTTGTGTGATCTCCCCCTATTCTACAGAGTGAGTGAGTGGAGTTTGTGTGTTCTCCAGGCACTTGGGTCACCTCGTTCGAAGGCGTGCTTGATCTCGCTGACCTCCGCCTGTGACCCGGGGACCCGGAATATCCCCTGCTGATGCATCCCTGGGGACCAGGGGCACAGGTCGCGGGTAACAGGGGTACACACTCGCTGGTGTCAGGAGTAGATTGCGGGTGACCAGCGGAGTACTCAAGGGACCAGGGTAGAGGACGAGTCTCATTGGTAGGTAGGCAGGCAAGTAGGCAGGTGGGAGGAGAGTTACATTGGTAGGTGAGTAAGTTGACAGGCAGCCAGGTATGCAACTGGGTAGACAGGCAGCCAGGTATCCAGCTAAGCATGCAGGTAGGGAGGCAAGTAGATAGACAGCCGGATGGTTAGTGAGGTATGCAGGCAGGTAGACAGTTTGGCAGGTAGATAGACAAGACAATGGTTATACAGGCAGGCGTTTAAACACGCAGGTAGGTAAACAGGTGGATATGAGGCAGATAGACAGGTAGGCGGGTAGTTAGACAGGTAGGTAAACACGCAGGCAGGTGGGCAGGTGTGCAGGTGGGCTGGTGGGTGAGGAGGCTGGTGGGTGAGTAGGCAGGTGTGCAGGTGGATGAGTAGGCAGGTGCAGGTGGGCAGGTGTGCAGGTGGGCTGGTGGGTGAGTAGCAGGTGGGCAGGTGCAGGTGGTGCACCAGGTGGGTTACCCACCGTACAAGTTGATGAAGCGCACACAGCTCACCACCACGGTGGGGATCACGTGACCCGACTCCTGGAGAACACAAAGACAAAGATCCCCCGTGTAGCCTTCACAGATTGTTGGGGCAAGTGCTGTTATCGAAGCTCCTATGAAGGCCGTCACGGCACACGATGGGGAGGGTGGCCAGCACCACTTTGTCTCCAAGGTGGCGATGCGTATACACCACACCAGGTACTCATTTTTGGTTGACTCGATCTAGGGGAGGCCCACAACCGATTCAGATAATCGTCACTGGTTTTGGACGTAAGCGAGAATCGAACTGTGATCGCCGGGTTCGTAGCGCAGCGTAACGCTAACCACACTCACACGCACACACACGCATGCACACACGCACACGCACACAGACGCACGCACACACACAGGTGAGGAGTGAGTGGGGGTGCCTGTGTGTACGTGAGGAGTGAGTGGGGGTGCCTGTGTGTAGGTGGTGAGTGAGTGGGGGTGTCTGTGTGTAGGTGAGGAGTGAGTGGGGGTGCCTGTGTGTAGGTGGTGAGTGAGTGGGGGTGCCTGTGTGTAGGTGGTGAGTGAGTGGGGGTGCCTGTGTGTAGGTGGTGAGTGAGTGGGGGTATCTGTGTGTAGGTGAGGAGTGAGTGGGGGTGCCTGTGTGTAGGTGAGGAGTGAGTGGGGGTGCCTGTGTGTAGGTGAGGGGTGAGTGGGGGTGCCTGTGTGTAGGTGAGGAGTGAGTGGGGGTGCCTGTGTGTAGGTGAGGGGTGAGTGGGGGTGCCTGTGTGTAGGTGAGGAGTGAGTGGGGGTGCCTGTGTGTAGGTGAGGAGTGAGTGAGGGTGCCTGTGTGTAGGTGAGGGGTGAGTGGGGGTGCCTGTGTGTAGGTGAGGAGTGAGTGGGGGTGCCTGTGTGTAGGTGGTGAGTGAGTGGGGGTGCCTGTGTGTAGGTGAGGGGTGAGTGGGGGTGCCTGTGTGTAGGTGAGGAGTGAGTGGGGGTGCCTGTGTGTAGGTGGTGAGTGAGTGGGGGTGCCTGTGTGTAGGTGAGGGGTGAGTGGGGGTGCCTGTGTGTAGGTGAGGAGTGAGTGGGGGTGCCTGTGTGTAGGTGAGGAGTGAGTGGGGGTGCCTGTGTGTAGGTGGTGAGTGAGTGGGGGTATCTGTGTGTAGGTGAGGAGTGAGTGGGGGTGCCTGTGTGTAGGTGAGGGGTGAGTGGGGGTGCCTGTGTGTAGGTGAGGAGTGAGTGGGGGTGCCTGTGTGTAGGTGAGGAGTGAGTGAGGGTGCCTGTGTGTAGGTGAGGGGTGAGTGGGGGTGCCTGTGTGTAGGTGAGGAGTGAGTGGGGGTGCCTGTGTGTAGGTGAGGAGTGAGTGAGGGTGCCTGTGTTTAGGTGAGGGGTGAGTGGGGGTGCCTGTGTGTAGGTGAGGAGTGAGTGGGGGTGCCTGTGTGTAGGTGAGGAGTGAGTGGGGGTGCCTGTGTAGGTGAGTGAGTGGGGGTGCCTGTGGTAGTAGGTGAGTGGGGTGCCTGTGTAGGTGAGGGGTGGGGGTGCCTGTGTGTAGGTGAGGAGTGAGTGGGGGTGCCTGTGTGTAGGTGAGGGAGTGAGTGGGGGTGCCTGTGTGTAGGTGAGGGAGTGAGTGGGGGTGCCTGTGTGTAGGTGAGGAGTGAGTGGGGGTGCCTGTGTGTAGGTGAGGGGTGAGTGAGGGTGCCTGTGTGTAGGTGAGGAGTGAGTGGGGGTGCCTGTGTGTAGGTGAGGAGTGAGTGGGGGTGCCTGTGTGTAGGTGAGGGGTGAGTGGGGGTGCCTGTGTGTAGGTGAGGAGTGAGTGGGGGTGCCTGTGTGTAGGTGAGGAGTGAGTGGGGGTGCCTGTGTGTAGGTGAAGGGGTGAGTGGGGGTGCCTGTGTGTAGGTGAGGAGTGAGTGGGGGTGCCTGTGTGTAGGTGAGGGAGTGAGTGGGGGTGCCTGTGTGTAGGTGAGGGGTGAGTGGGGGTGCCTGTGTGTAGGTGAGGAGGTGAGTGGGGGTGCCTGTGTGTAGGTGAGGGGTGAGTGAGGGTGCCTGTGTGTAGGTGAGGAGTGAGTGGGGGTGCCTGTGTGTAGGTGAGGGGTGAGTGAGGGTGCCTGTGTGTAGGTGAGGAGTGAGTGGGGGTGCCTGTGTGTGTAGAGGGTGAGGTGGGAGGTGAGGATGGGGGTGCCTGTGTTAGGTGAGGGGATGAGTGGGGTGCCTGTGTGTAGGTGAGGGGTGAGTGGGGGTGCCTGTGTGTAGGTGAGGGGTGAGTGGGGGTGCCTGTGTGTAGGTGAGGGGTGAGTGGGGGTGCCTGTGTGTAGGTGAGGGGTGAGTGGGGGTGCCTGTGTGTAGGTAGGGGTGAGTGGGGGTGCCTGTGTGTAGGTGAGGAGGTGAGTGGGGGTGCCTGTGTGTAGGTGAGGAGTGAGTGGGGGTGCCTGTGTGTAGGTGAGGGGTGAGTGGGGGTGCCTGTGTGTAGGTGAGGAGTGAGTGGGGGTGCCTGTGTGTAGGTGAGGGAGTGAGTGGGGGTGCCTGTGTGTAGGTGAGGGGTGAGTGGGGGTGCCTGTGTGTAGGTGAGGAGGTGAGTGGGGGTGCCTGTGTGTAGGTGAGGGGTGAGTGGGGGTGCCTGTTGTAGGTGAGGGGTGAGTGGGGGGTGCCTGTGTGTAGGTGAGGAGTGAGTGCCTTGTGTAGTGTGAGGGTGGTGGGGGTGCCTGTGTGTAGGTGAGGAGTGAGTGGGGGGGCCTGTGTGTAGGTGAGGAGTGAGTGGGGGTGCTGTGTGTAGGTGAGGAGGTGAGTGGGGGTGCCTGTGTGTAGGTGAGGGGTGAGTGGGGGTGCCTGTGTGTAGGTGAGGGAGTGAGTGGGGTGCCTGTGTGTAGTGAGGGTGAGTGGGGGTGCCTGTGTGTAGGTGGAGGGGTAGTGGGGGGTGCCTGTGTGTAGTGTGAGGGGTGAGTGGGGTGCCTGTGTGTAGGTGAGGAGTGAGTGGGGGTGCCTGTGTGTAGGTGAGGGGTGAGTGGGGGTGGCCTGTGTGTATGTGAGGGGTGAGGTGGGGGTGGCCTGTGTGTAGGTGAGGGGTGAGTGGGGGTGCCTGTGTGTAGGTGAGGAGTGAGTTGGGGGTGCCTGTGTGTAGGTGAGGAGTGAGTGGGGGTGCCTGTGTGTAGGGTGAGGGGTGAGTGGGGGTGCCTGTGTGTAGGTGAGGAGTGAGTGGGGGTGCCTGTGTGTAGGTGAGGGGTGAGTGGGGGTGCCTGTGTGTAGGTGAGGAGTGAGTGGGGGTGCCTGTGTGTAGGGTGAGGGTGATGGGGGTGCCTGTGTGTAGGTGAGGAGGTGAGTGGGGGTGCCTGTGTGTAGGTGAGGAGTGAGTGGGGTGCCTGTGTGTAGGTGAGGAGTGAGTGGGGGTTGCCTGTGTGTAGGTGAGGGGTGAGTGGGGGTGCCTGTGTGTAGGTGAGGGCGTGAGTGGGGGTGCCTGTGTGTAGGTGAGGGGTGAGTGGGGCTGTGTGTAGGTGAGGGGTGAGTGGGGGTGCCTGTGTGTAGGTGAGGAGGTGAGTGGGGCTGTGTGTAGGTGAGGGTTGAGTGGGGGTGCCTGTGTGTAGGTGAGGGGTGAGTGGGGGTGCCTGTGTGTAGGTGAGGAGTGAGTGGGGGTGCCTGTGTGTAGGTGAGGAGTGAGTGGGGGTGCCTGTGTGTAGGTGAGGGGTGAGTGGGGGTGCCGTGTGTAGGTGAGGAGTGAGTGGGGGTGCTGTGTGTAGGTGAGGATGTGAGTGGGGGTGCCTAGTGTGTAGGTGAGGGGTGAGTGGGGTGCCCTGTGTGTAGGTGAGGGTGAGTGGGGGTGCCTGTGTGTAGGTGAGGAGTGAGTGGGGGTGCCTGTGTGTAGGTGAGGGTGAGTGGGGTCCTGTTGTGTAGGTGGTGAGGTGAGTGGGGCCTGGTGTGTAGGTGAGGAGTGAGTGCGGGTGCCTGTGTGTAGGTGAGGGGTGAGTGGGGGTGCCTCTGTGTAGGTGAGGGGTGAGTGGGGGTGCCTGTGTGTAGGTGAGGAGTGAGTGGGGGTGCCTGTGTGTAGGTGAGGAGTGAGTGGGGGTGCCTGTGTGTAGGTGAGGGGTGAGTGGGGGTGCCTGTGTGTAGGTGAGGAGTGAGTGGGGGTGCCTGTGTGTAGGTGAGGAGTGAGTGGGGGTGCCTGTGTGTAGGTGAGGGGTGAGTGGGGGTGCCTGTGTGTAGGTGAGGGGTGAGTGGGGGTGCCTGTGTGTAGGTGAGGGGTGAGTGGGGGGTTACCTGGATATAGGTGAGGAGTGAGTGGGGGTGCCTGTGTGTAGGTGAGGGGTGAGTGGGGGTGCCTGTGTGTAGGTGAGGAGTGAGTGTGGGTGCCTGTGTGTAGGTGAGGAGTGAGTGGGGGTGCCTGTGTGTAGGTGAGGGATGAGTGGGGGTGCCTGTGTGTAGGTGAGGGGTGAGTGGGGTTGCCTGTGTGTAGGTGAGGGGTGAGTGGGGGGTTACCTGGATATAGGTGAGGAGTGAGTGGGGGTGCCTGTGTGTAGGTGAGGAGTGAGTGGGGGTGCCTGTGTGTAGGTGAGGGGTGAGTGGGGGTGCCTGTGTGTAGGTGAGGAGTGAGTGGGGGTGCCTGTGTGTAGGTGAGGAGTGAGTGGGGGTGCCTGTGTGTAGGTGAGGGGTGAGTGGGGGTGCCTGTGTGTAGGTGAGGGGTGAGTGGGGGTGCCTGTGTGTAGGTGAGGGGTGAGTGGGGGGTTACCTGGATATAGGTGAGGAGTGAGTGGGGGTGCCTGTGTGTAGGTGAGGAGTGAGTGGGGGTGCCTGTGTGTAGGTGAGGGGTGAGTGGGGGTGCCTGTGTGTAGGTGAGGAGTGAGTGGGGGTGCCTGTGTGTAGGTGAGGGGTGAGTGGGGGTGCCTGTGTGTAGGTGAGGGGTGAGTGGGGGTGCCTGTGTGTAGGTGAGGGGTGAGTGGGGGTGCCTGTGTGTAGGTGAGGAGTGAGTGGGGGTAACTGTGTGTAGGTGAGGAGTGAGTGGGGGTGCCTGTGTGCAGGTGAGGAGTGAGTGGGGGTGCCTGTGTGTAGGTGAGGGGTGAGTGAGGGTGCCTGTGTGTAGGTGAGGGGTGAGTGAGGGTGCCTGTGTGTAGGTGAGGAGTGAGTGGGGGTGCCTGTGTGTAGGTGAGGGGTGAGTGAGGGTGCCTGTGTGTAGGTGAGGGGTGAGTGGGGGTGCCTGTGTGTAGGTGAGGAGTGAGTGGGGGTGCCTGTGTGTAGGTGAGGGGTGAGTGGGGGTGCCTGTGTGTAGGTGAGGGGTGAGTGGGGGTGCCTGTGTGTAGGTGAGGGGTGAGTGGGGGTGCCTGTGTGTAGGTGAGGAGTGAGTGGTGGTAACTGTGTGTAGGTGAGGAGTGAGTGGGGGTGCCTGTGTGTAGGTGAGGGGTGAGTGAGGGTGCCTGTGTGTAGGTGAGGAGTGAGTGGGGGTAACTGTGTGTAGGTGAGGAGTGAGTGGGGGTGCCTGTGTGTAGGTGAGGAGTGAGTGGGGGTGCCTGTGTGTAGGTGAGGGGTGAGTGGGGGTGCCTGTGTGTAGGTGAGGGGTGAGTGGGGGTGCCTGTGTGTAGGTGAGGGGTGAGTGGGGGTGCCTGTGTGTAGGTGAGGGGTGAGTGGGGGTGCCTGTGTGTAGGTGAGGGGTGAGTGGGGGTGCCTGTGTGTAGGTGAGGAGTGAGTGGGGGTAACTGTGTGTAGGTGAGGAGTGAGTGGGGGTGCCTGTGTGCAGGTGAGGAGTGAGTGGGGGTGCCTGTGTGTAGGTGAGGGGTGAGTGAGGGTGCCTGTGTGTAGGTGAGGGGTGAGTGAGGGTGCCTGTGTGTAGGTGAGGAGTGAGTGGGGGTGCCTGTGTGTAGGTGAGGGGTGAGTGAGGGTGCCTGTGTGTAGGTGAGGGGTGAGTGGGGGTGCCTGTGTGTAGGTGAGGAGTGAGTGGGGGTGCCTGTGTGTAGGTGAGGGGTGAGTGGGGGTGCCTGTGTGTAGGTGAGGGGTGAGTGGGGGTGCCTGTGTGTAGGTGAGGGGTGAGTGGGGGTGCCTGTGTGTAGGTGAGGAGTGAGTGGTGGTAACTGTGTGTAGGTGAGGAGTGAGTGGGGGTGCCTGTGTGTAGGTGAGGGGTGAGTGAGGGTGCCTGTGTGTAGGTGAGGAGTGAGTGGGGGTAACTGTGTGTAGGTGAGGAGTGAGTGGGGGTGCCTGTGTGTAGGTGAGGAGTGAGTGGGGGTGCCTGTGTTTAGGTGAGGGGTGAGTGAGGGTGCCTGTGTGTAGGTGAGGGGTGAGTGGGGGTGCCTGTGTGTAGGTGAGGGGTGAGTGGGGGTGCCTGTTTGTAGGTGAGGGGTGAGTGGGGGTGCCTGTGTGTAGGTGAGGAGTGAGTGGGGGTGCCTGTGTGTAGGTGAGGGGTGAGTGGGGGTGCCTGTGTGTAGGTGAGGGGTGAGTGGGGGTGCCTGTGTGTAGGTGAGGGGTGAGTGAGGGTGCCTGTGTGTAGGTGAGGGGTGAGTGGGGGTGCCTGTGTGTAGGTGAGCGGTGAGTGGGGGTGCCTGTGTGTAGGTGAGGGGTGAGTGGGGGTGCCTGTGTGTAGGTGAGGAGTGAGTGGGGGTGCCTGTGTGTAGGTGAGGGGTGAGTGGGGGTGCCTGTGTGTAGGTGAGGGGTGAGTGGGGGTGCCTGTGTGTAGGTGAGGGGTGAGTGGGGGTGCCTGTGTGTAGGTGAGGGGTGAGTGGGGGGTTACCTGGATATAGGTGAGGAGGTCTCCCCCAAAGAGCTGCAGGCCGATGACCGAGGGTCGCCTCCGGCCGCGTTCACGATGCGGTTTTGGGGGGGCAAACGAAGTCCTGGACCCCCCACAACAACAACAACAACAGCACCAATAAACAGTAAACAACAGCACCAATAAACAAGAATACAACAACAAAGAATTACGGTGAGGACTGTTGAGGATCGTCTAGAAGAGAGACGGCAGCACGGGGGCAGCACGGGGGCAGCACGGGGGCAGCACGGGGGCAGCACGGGGGCAGCACAGACTCGGGGACGCCGTTTGAAGGTCGCCCCCTCCCCACGGCGCGCACAGAGCGCTCGCCGCACGTGAGCCACCGGCCATGAGCTCGGCTGCCCGCTGGTGCCGCGCGGCACCGCCACGCGGCCACGCGGCACCGCCACGCGACACCGTGGCCACGCGGCACCGTGGCCACGTGGCCACGCGGCACCGCCACGCGGCCACGCGGCACCGCCACGCGACACCGTGGCCACGCGGCACCGTGGCCACGTGGCCACGCGGCACCGCCACGCGTGTGCCCTGCGGTCGCCATCCTCACAGCGGCTGCTTCTCGCTCAGCCACCGGCACAGGCGGTGGTGGCCTCCGCCTCGTCGCGCGGCGCTTTCGGATGCGCCGCTTCTGGGGCCGTCTGGAACGCTCTTTTCCTTCCCGTCTTACGAAGCCACTGGGAGCACTTTTAAATCGTCATCATCATCATCATCGATATTGACAAACTCATTTCTTTAGAACTGCTGCTGTTGTTGTTGTGTTTAGTTTGTTGTCCTATCCCCCGCACCTCCGATTTGCGTGGTCGGCTACGTAGGGGGCCAAATATGTTCCACTCTGTGTGGGTAGCGGGACGTGCGCTGCATCACGGACCCGTCGAGTTCGTTTCCCGCTCACCGTCAATAACAGTGGCGAATATTTGAACCGGTCCTGAGCCACCCCTAGGTTGACTCAGCCTTAAATGAGTACCCGGTGCGATCTATAAAGATCGCCACTGGGGAGACAAAGGTGGCCAGGCGTGGTGCTGGCCACCCACCCCCTCGTGTGCCGTGCCGCTCTCCATAAGTGCTCGCTGACAGCACTTGCCCCAACAGTCTGTCAAGGCTACGTAGGGGGTCTTTGTCTTTGTGTGTGTGTGAGTCGAGCTCTGTGCTCTCAGTGTCTCGCGTGACGAGTCTCACCGAGCGCTGCTGGGATCTCCCACTGCACCTGTGAAGACAAGAACCCGGATCAGGACTCACGTGACTCGGATCAGGACTCACGAAAACCCGGATCAGGACTCACGAAAATCCGGATCAGGACTCACGAGGACCCGGATCAAGACTCACGAAAACCCGGAACAGGACTCACGTGACCCGGATCAGGACTCACGAGACTCGGACCAGGACTCATAGGTGCTGCTACTCGCTAACAACACTTGCTCCAACAGTGTGTTAAGGCTATAGGGGAGATATTTGTATTTGTTTATCGTGGTTGTGATGGTGGTGGTGATGGTAGTAACGCGAGTGATGGTGATGATGATGATGACGGTGGTGGTGGTGGTGGTAACAACGATGGCAACGCAAGTGGTGGTGACAATGGTGATGACGGTGATGGTGATGATGACGGTGGTCGTGACAGTAATGATGACGGTGGTGCTGGTGGTGATGATGACGGTGGTGATGATGACGGTGGTGCTGGTGGTTGTGGTGACGGTGGTGGTGATGGTGATGATGATGGTTATGATGACGGTGGTGCTGCTAGTGATGATGACGGTGGTGGTGACAGTGATGATGACGATGTTGGTGGTGGCGATGAGGACCCACCATCGTCCAGCGCCCGGTGGATCAGCTGCTGCTTGGCCTGCAGCCGGGACACGACGTGGCCTGAGGCCAGCAGCTCCTTCAGCTTCTGAGAAACGGAGCGCACCAGGTGAGGGTGGACCGCGAGCCGGATCCAGGGAGATCCGGCACTCCGCTCCGGGTTTTGTCAGCTGCCCCCAGCCACGGCGACTACTAAACTACGAACTTAATTCGTTTCATTTTCCAGGGAATGCGCCGCTGAGCTGCGTAGCTCTTCGTCAGGAGCGACGAGGCTGTCACAAATGACAGCTCCACAAAGTGGCTCGTGTGAAAATGTGAGATTCTAAATGTGGAAGGGAAAAACCGGAGGACCACGGGGAGAGAGATACACAAAAACTCCAAATATACAGCAGCAGGCGCCAGGGTTGGGATGGAACCCACGGCCTCCTGCAAACCAGGCGAGGGATTTTAACATCTCCTAGCCACAGAGACCCAAAGACTCGTCACACAGAGACCCATAGACTCGTCACACAGAGACCCATAGACTCGTCACACAGAGACCCAAAGACTCGTCACACAGAGACCCATAGACTCGTCACACAGAGACCCATAGACTCGTCACACAGAGACCCAAAGACTCATCACACAGAGACCCAAAGACTCGTCACACAGAGACCCATAGACTCATCACACAGAGACCCATAGACTCATCACACAGAGACCCACAGACTCATCACACAGAGACCCATAGACTCATCACACAGAGACCCATAGACTCGTCACACAGAGACCCAAAGACTCGTCACACAGAGACCCATAGACTCGTCAAACAGAGACCCATAGACTCATCACACAGAGACCCATAGACTCATCACACAGAGACCCAAAGACTCGTCACACAGAGACCCAAAGACTCGTCACACAGAGACCCAAAGACTCGTCACACAGAGACCCATAGACTCGTCACACAGAGACCCAAAGACTCGTCACACAGAGACCCAAAGACTCGTCACACAGAGACCCAAAGACTCGTCACACAGAGACCCATAGACTCGTCACACAGAGACCCATAGACTCGTCACACAGAGACCCATAGACTCATCACACAGAGACCCACAGACTCATCACACAGAGACCCATAGACTCGTCACACAGAGACCCATAGACTCATCACACAGAGACCCATAGACTCATCACACAGAGACCCACAGACTCATCACACAGAGACCCATAGACTCGTCACACAGAGACCCATAGGCTCATCACACAGAGACCCATAGACTCATCACACAGAGACCCATAGACTCGTCACACAGAGACCCATAGACTCATATAGAGAAAGTTGAGAATTTCGGAGGTGACGGCTTTGGATAGTAGGACCTCATCCAGCAGTTGATTGGCCATGGCCGACGATGATGACGATGATGATGACGACGATGACCAACTCACCATGAAGTAGAAGTTCTCGGCGTCGTGTCGACCGCCGTGGTGTCTCGTCGGGGGCGAGCTGTGGTGGTTGCCGTGGTGGTTGTGGTGGTTGTGGTGGTAGTTGTTGGCGGTGGCGACTGTGGTGACGGAGGGGGTCGAGTAGGGGGTGGAGTAGGGGGTCGATGTGGTGGAGGTGGAGGTGGTGGAGGTGGTGGAGGTGGAGGAGGTGGAGGTGGTGCCGCGTCCGTCCCAGGGTTGTGCCACTCGGCCCTCGCCGGGAGTCTCCTCCCGCAGGGCGCTCAGCGTCTCCTCCATGGACGCCCGCACCTCCGAGATCAAGAGGTCACCCAATCACTCACACACTCACCCAATCACTCACACACCCACACACCCAATCACTCACTCACTCACACACTCACACACTCACTCACTCACACAGTCACTCACTCACACACTGACTCACTCACACACCCAATCACTCACACACTGACTCACACACTCACACAGTCACTCACTCACACACTCACTCACACACCCAATCACTCACACACTCACTCAATCACTCATCCACTCAATCTCTCACACACTCACCCAATCACTCACACACTCACTCACACACTCAATCACTCACCCACTCAATCACTCACACACTCACCCAATCACTCACACACTGACACATTCACCCACTCACCCACTCACACACTCACCGACTCACACACTCATCCACTCACCCACTCACACATTGACCCACTTACCGACTTACCCACTAACACACTCACCGACTTCCACACTCATAAACTCACCCACTCAAACATTCTCCACTCACCCACTGATGGTGATGGTAGTGATGTTTATGGTGGTGATGAGGGTAGCGATGTTGGTGATGGTAGTGATGTTGATAGTGTTAGTGATATTGATGGTGATGTTGGTGATGGTAGTGATGTTGGTGATGTTAGTGGTGATGGTGGTGGTGATCATAGTGGTGGTGATCATAGTGGTGGTGCTGTTGATGTTGGCGATGGTAGTGATGTTGGTGATGTTGGTGGTGATGGTGGTGGTGGTGATGGTGGTGGTGATCATAGTGGTGTAGTGGTGGTGCTGTTGATGTTGGCGATGGTAGTGATGGACGTGATGGTGAGGAGTGTGTACCTGCTGGCTCTCCGCGTGCAGCGCTGCGACGCGCGCCCTCAGCTGCTGCAGCCTCGTCCGCAGCTCGGAGCGCACGCTGGCCTGGGAGACCAGCTCGCTCACCTGGACCGCTCGCACGTAACCAGGGCAACCGCGCGTTACCGGGGGAGACCAGCTCGCTCACCTGGACCGCTCGCACGAAACCGGGGGTAACCACGCATAACAAGGGGTGACTGCAACTACAAGTCACCTGGGGAAACCAGTCAGTGGGTCAAAGAGGGAGTGGGTCAGGCAGTACACCAATCGATGGGTCGGTGGGTCAATAAATGAGTCAGCGGGTCACTCAATGGATCGGTAGTTCAGTGGGTTAATTTGTGGGTTTGTCGATCAATCGATGGGTCAGAAAGTCAATCCAGAGCCCAGTGGCACAATCAGTGGGTCCGTTGGTTAATCAGGGGGTCAGAGGGTCAATCAGTGGGTCAGAGGGTCAACCAAAGTGTCAGTGGGTCAATCAGTTGGTCAATCAATGGGTCAGTTGGTTAACCAGTCGCTCAGTTGGTCAACCAATGGGTCAACCAATGGGTCAACCAGTGGGTCAATCAACGGGGCAGCGAGGTCGTCGAGCGAGTGAGCGGGCGACGACGAGGCGAGGGGTGGGGGCGAGGGCGGCGGCGGGGGGGAGGGCAGAGGAGGCGGCCGGCCCCTCTCACCTCGTCTCCCAGGTGGGGGCGGAAGGGGAACTCGGGGGGGCGGGCAAACAGGTCCCCGCTCGAGCGCAGGAAGCGGCGCTTGCAGGCGCGGGGGTCGAGCCCCCCGACGGCGCCGCGCAGCGCCCCCAGGGCCCCCCGCTGGGCCGCGTCGGCGGCACAGCCGGCGCCCACGAAGAGGGAGAGCGCCTCGGACAGCCGCGCGTGGAACGCCACGTCGCAGCACTGGCGGCGGCGGGAGGGCGGGGGGGGGGATCGGTGGGTGGGGGGAGGGTGCACGCCAAGATGTTAACTCCGTCGCCTGGTACGCAGGAGGGCGTGGGTTCGATCCCGACCCTGATGACGCCTGTGGCGTGTTTGGAGTTTGCGTGTCTCTCTCTCACTCTCTCCCCCCGTGGTGGTCGCGTAGATTTGTCTCCCCGTCCCTCCAGTATTTCTCCTCCAAATGTTTTAATCGACAACACGCACTTAGAGAGTACTTGGCTGCTGCTCTACATTCAGGGCCACGGGGTCAGGGCCAGGGGGTCAGGGTCAGGGGGTCGTGGAGCTCACGTCGATGATGCTGGGCAGGTCGTAGTCGTGGAAACGCTCCACGGAGGAGTTGGCGGCCGCCAGCGTGAGCAGCAGCTCGTTGCGTGCTCGAGCCTCGCGCAGGCACGCCTCGCCGGCCTTTGCCTGCCGCTGGGCGGGGGGGCATACAGGGGTCACGCCGGGGTCATGCTGGGGTCACACTGGGGGTCACACGGAGGTCGATCGGTCCCAGCACAGTCGAATAACTTTGTGTCAAATGTGTAAACCGGCCGTCGGTACGTGGAATGAATGGTTAAACGGTAACGAGGGATAAATGATCGAAGGATCGATAGGTCGAACGAGCAGTCGGTCATTTGGTCAATCGGTCAAAACAGTCTAATGGTCAAACAGCCAACCGGACAGGTGGTGAGGACGGTCATGGGATCAATTGGTCAAACTATTAACGGGTCATTGGTCAAACAATCAGGCGGTCGTTTGGTCAAACAATCAGGCGGTCGTTTTGTCAATCGCTCCAACGCAGCAGTCGGACATGTGGCCAAACAGTAAAAACATTCAAGAGGTCAAATTATGAACTGGGGCGCCACGGTGGCCTGGACGTGGTTACCTCCCACGCCTGGTGAGTTCAAGCCCGACCCTGACGCCTGCTGTTGCATATTCTGAGTTTGCGGTGTCCCTCTCCACCCGTGGTCGCGTGGACTCTTCTCCGGGTTCCTCCGGTTTTCTCTCCACATTTAGAATCAACGCCGCACGCTCGGAGAGCATCTGGCTGCCGCTATCAATTTTCCACGCGAAGATGATGATGATCAGCCACTTCGTTAAGCTGTCATCATGTGTGCTAGCCAGGTCGTTTGTCAAAAAGCGAGACTACGTAGCTCAGTGGAGGTCCTGACCTGGTAAAAATAACAAATAGTTTAAATTTGTGGTCAATTGGTCAAAAGGTCAAATGGACAAGTGGTCAAGTAGTCGAAGAACCAGGGGGTCAAATTATTAAATGCTCAAATGGTCAATCAGTCAAAAGGTCAAACTTTCAATGGTACACACAATCAATGTCAGGTTATAGAATGGTCAACACGGTCAATTGATCAAATAGTCGATCCGAGGATATTGGACAAGCAATCAAGCGATCAATAGGTGGAATTATGAAACGGTCAAAGGGTCAAACGGTACAAAGGTCAATCAGACAAGCGATCAATTGATCAATAGGTCGCATTATGAAACGGTCAAAAGGTCAAATGGTACAAAAGGTCAAATGTACAAACGATCAGTAGGTCAAATTATGAAAGGGTCAAATGGTCAACAGGTACAAAAGTTCAAATGAACAAGCAATCAATCGGTAGGTCGAATTATGAAAGGGTCAAACGGGACAGCAGGTCAAAGGGACGCCGATGGGCGTGCAGGCGCCACCTTCTCCAGGAGGCGAGCGAGCTTGCGCGAGGGGCTCCTGGCGGGGGTCCCCGCGGCCGAGGCGCCCCCCCCACCCAAGCGCCGCTCCGCGTCCCGCAGCTTCGTGTCGGCCGCGAGGGCCTGGGCCCTGTAGAGGCGGTAGGCCTTGGAGGCCTGCGGAGGGAAGATGGGCAGGGGACCATGGGGTGATGGTGAGGGTGGTGGGGGTGGTGGTGAGGGTAGTGGTGGTGGGGGTGGTAGTGGTGGTGGTGGGGGTGGTGGGGGTGGTGGGGGTGGTGGTGGTGGGGGTAGTGGTGGTGGGGGTAGTGATGGTAGTGGAGGTGGTAGTGGTGGGGGTGGTGGGGGTGGTGGTGCCGGTGGTGGTGGTTATAGTGGTGGGAGTGGTGGTGGTGGGGTCGGTGGTGGTGTTGGGGGTGGTGGTGGTGGTGGGGAGCAGCAGTGGTAGCGGTTAGCGCACTGAGCTTCGAAACCAGTGACGCGAGTTCGATTTCCGCTCACGGCCAACACCAGTGACGATTTTCTGAACCGGCACTGGGCCTCAGCAGCACCACGACCACCACGAGCACCACCACCACCAGCACCACCACGAGCACCACCATCAGTACCACCATCAGTACCACCAGCACACACCACCAGTACCACCACCAGTACCACCACCAGCAGCACCACCAGCAGCAGCACCGGCAGCGCACGGAGTGAGCCCGGCGGCTGCCGCGTGCTGCGACGGCCCCAACCTCGTTCACCCGAGCACCGCGGTGGTCTGCACGGTCCTCGATATGGCCACGCATTCAGCTCCCGCGAGCCGGTGGTTGTGGCAAGGCTGAGTGCAGTGCGGCGGCGTACACCCACTGGATGGACTCACCGCGCCGATCTCCGTCACGAACTTCAGCAGCTCCTCCTGCAGCTGCTGCCCCAGGTCCCTGCCCTGCACCGCCAGGTGGCCGGGTCACGCGGTTAATAGGTCACGAGGTCAATAGGTCGCCACACATCATCACCACATCCCTCTATGCATCTCTGTGCGGGTCTTTACGCTAGTCTATGGGTCTAAGTGTGAGTCTACTGGTCTCTATGTGGGACTATGGTTCTCTAAGCCAGTCTATGGGTCTCAGTGTGAGTCTATGGGTCTCAGTGTGAGTCTACTGGTCTCTTTGTGGGTCGATGGGTGTCTATGATCTCGATACATCCAGGGTGGTGGGGGGGGGGTTAAGCGAGTAGCCACGCGCAGCCCAAAACCTGCACCCCACAACCAAACCCCCGGGGTCTCCCGCACCACCCCCACTCCCCCCCCGCACCACCCCCACTCCCCCCCCGCACCACCCCCACTCCCCCCCCGCACCACCCCCACTCCCCCCCCCGCACCACCCCCACTCCCCCCCCCCCCCGCACCACCCCCACTCCCCCCCCCCCCCGCACCACCTCCACTCCCCCCTCCCCCCTCCCCCACACCTTCTTGGAGAGGCGCGCGGAGCTGTCGGCGATGCGCGCCAACCGCGGCGCCACCGCTCCTCCGCACGCCTCCGCGATGGCCGCGTGGCAGCGCGCCTCCCCGTGCGTGGCGGCGAGCAGCAGGGCCCAGCAGGAGCGTGGGCACGGGGCGGGCACGGCGCCCGCGGAGCGCCACGCGCGCCTGACGCACGCCACGCACACCGCACACACCACGCACATCATGAACCACACGCACACCACGCACACCGCACACACCACGCACACCGCACACACCGCACACACCACGCACACCGCACACACCACGCACACACCACGCACACCGCACACACCACGCACACACACACGCACACACCACGCACACCACGCACACCACGCAAACCACGCACACCACGCACACCGCACACCATGCACACCGCACACCATGAACCGCACGCATGCCACACACACCGCACACCATGCAAACCGCACACCACGCACACCACGCACACCATCCAGACCACACACCACACACACCACGCACACCACGCAGACCACACACCACGCACACCGCACACCACGCACACCGCTCACACCACGCAGACCACACACCACGCACACCGCACATCATGCACACCACGCAGACCACACACTACGCACACCGCACATCATGCACATTATGCACACCGCACACCGCACACCACGCACACCGCACATCATGCACATCATGCACACCGCACACCACGCACACCACGCACACCACGCACACCACACACACCACACACACCACGCACACCGCATACCATGCACACCGCACATCATGTACACCGCATACCATGAACCACACACACACCATGCACACCGCACACCATGAACCACACGCACACCATGCACACCGCATACCATGCACACCGCACACCATGAACCACAGGCACACCATGCACACCGCGCACACCGCACGCAGCTACCGGCCCGGCCCCGTGGGAGCCTGCGCACTCAGAGTGGCCCCGGTGGCAGAGGGCTCCTCGGCGGTAAGGGAGGGGTCGGGGCTTAATCCACCTGCTGTCGTTGGTTTTTGTTGTCGTTGCTGTGGTCACTCTGTGGGCCACAGCCAGATTTACTCGGTTGGTACGCACGCCACACACGGTCACCCGCTCGCTCACTGACATATCTACTCACCCACCCATCCACTCACACACTCACTGACCCACCCTCCCAACCACTGACTCACTCACCCACTCACCCACCCAACCACTAACTCACCCAACCACTCACTTACCCACCCATCCACTCACTCACTGACCCACTCACTCACTCACCCACACATACACCCACTCACTCATGCACCCATCCACTCACTCACTGACCCAACCAATCACTAACCTATCCAACCACTCACCCAACCACTCACTCACCCACCCTCCCAACCACTGACTCACTCACCCACTCACCCACCCAACCACTCACTCACCTACCCACCCTCTCACTGACCCACCCAAGCCCTCACCCATTCAACCACTCATTCACCCATCCAACTACCTAACCCCTCACAAACCCACCCAAGCAAGCCGCTTCGGTGAGCTATAATGAATTTGTGATAGCCAGGTCGTTTCTGAAAATGATCTATTTCGCTCAGTGGGTTTTAGCTGGTAAACTAAAAAAACTGTTGAAATAGTTTCATCATCCGTGTAACAAATTAAAAAATCATCTCAACACTCAAAAGGGACAGAAACACGAATGTCACACAGCAGCAGCAGCAGCAGCGTCATCGTCCGTGCAAGTTGCATCTCGCAATGGCTGGCTAGGGGCCACAGGCCGAGCTGGAAGGCTGCCGGGCGGCACCGAGAACCACTCCCGGCTGTCTCCGCTGGACTCTCTCGCAACGTCCACTGCCGCGCCGAGCTCATCGCAGGGGCGGGCGGGACGAGAGGACAACCAACTCGACATGGGGACCTTTTGCCACGATCACAGAATGACAAATACGAATGAGGTGTTTCCCCTTTCTGGCAATAAAACAGGAGTTGTGTTCAGATGTTCAAACGCCAAATAGAAACCCTTTTCAAGGAATCAAGGAGTGCATTAACCAGGCGTACTCGCGGTTAACATGCAAACGAACACGCTCTGAAGACATGATGCATCGTCTTTGAAACTGATTGGCCTTCACCAGAGACAGGAGCCTTCTTCATGGCCGCGTCTCACCGCCCGCGTCAGGCCAGAGAACGACGCCACAAGGCGAGCAGCACCAAGGCGATGCCGCACGTGGCAAGAGCATTCATAGCGCGAGGTGGGCAGCTGCATCATGGGATAGACCTTTTTGCCAGAATCAAAATATCAAAAATAATAAGAATAAGTTTTACCCTTTCGGGCAAAACTAAACTAAAGCCTCCACATATTGTGATGTTTTAGGTCAATTAGCGAGCGTTGCTTTTAGTCCGCGTGGGAGGAGGAAACCGGAAAACCCGGAGAAAACCCCCAAAGCGAGCGAGGGAGCAACGCTCGATCCCCTGTACGAGAACGGACACGTGGTGTTCGCTGCCCACTCGCTGCGCTGCGCTGGAGAGCCCCGGAGTGTGGCACCTCCGGGGCAACCCACGGGAGGGGGGGGGGAGGGGGAGGGGGGAGGGGGGGGGCGTCTGTGCGATGATCCACCAACCCCACCGCCCCTGTTCCCTGTCCTCTCTCTCTCCCACTCTCCCTCTCTCTCTCTCTCCCTCTCTCCCTCTCTCTCTCTCTCTCTCTCCCTTTTTTTTTTACGATCAGTGGAAACAAGAAGATGCTCGGTGTATTCGGCACTTTGTTTCGTTCATCATTTCGTATTTTTTTTTTCAACGGGGCTTTATGTAGCCCTCGCTCTCTCCCTCTCTCCCTCTCTCGCTCTCTCCCTCTCTCCCTCTCTCCCTCTCTCCCTCTCTCCCTCTCTCCCTCTCTCCCTCCCCGTGAATCTGCACGCGTTCACCGGCGGTGGCGGTGGAGGAGGAGGCACGGGTAGACAGCACCATGCAGATCCCTTAGCTCGGGAACTAATTAACGGCTTAATGAGGGCTCAGTGAGTTCACACGGGGATGGCGGGGTGAGAAATGCTTCTGATGATGATGATTGTTGTTGTTCCGTGTGAGCATTGCAACACCGCCTCTTCCCTTTCATCATCGCGCCACTAAACTTACCCACCCCACAGCGCCCCTCCAACTCCCCCCTCTCACCCCCCACGTTGAGCCTCCTGTCATCTTTGTGGGGTGGGAGGGATTGTACCACACACACACAGGGTGATTGTACCACACACACACACATAGAGATTGTACCACACACACACAGGGTGATTGTACCACACACACACAGGGTGATTGTACCACACACACACAGAGAGAGATTGTACCACACACACACAGGGTGATTGTACCACACACACACACATAGAGATTGTACCACACACACACAGGGTGATTGTACCACACACACACAGGGTGATTGTACCACACACACACACATAGAGATTGTACCACACACACACAGGGTGATTGTACCACACACACACAGGGTGATTGTACCACACACACACAGAGAGAGATTGTACCACACACACACACAGAGATTGTACCACACACACACAGAGGGAGTATACCACACACACACAGGGTGATTGTACCACACACACACAGAGAGAGATTGTACCACACACACACACACAGATTGTACCACACACACACAGAGGGAGTGTACCACACACACACAGGGTGATTGTACCACACACACACACATAGAGATTGTACCACACACACACAGGGTGATTGTACCACACACACACACACAGAGATTGTACCACACACACACACACAGAGATTGTACCACACACACACAGAGGGAGTGTACCACACACACAGAGGGAGTGTACCACACACACACAGAGGGATTGTACCACACATACACAAAGGGATTGTACCACACACACACAGATTGTACCATACACAAACAGGGTGATTGTACCACACACACACACACAGATTGTACCACACACAGAGGGATTGTACCACACACACACACACACAGAGGGATTGACGACACACACACACAGGGTGATTGTATCACACACACACATAGAGATTGTACCACACACAGAGAGATTGTACCACACACACACAGAGAGATTGTACCACACACAGAGAGATTGTACCACACACACACACACAGATTGTACCACACACACACACAGAGGGATTGTACCACACACACACACACACAGAGATTGTACCACACACACACACAGAGGGATTGTACCACACACACACACACACACAGATTGTACCACACACACACACAGAGGGATTGTACCACACACACACAGAGATTGTACCACACACACACACAGAGGGATTGTACCACACACACACACAGAGAGATTGTACCACACACAGAGAGATTGTACCACACACACAACACACACAGAGATTGTACCCACACACACACAGAGGGATTGTACCACACACACACACACACAGAGATTGTACCACACACACACACAGAGGGATTGTACCACACACACACACACAGAGATTGTACCACACACACACACACAGAGATTGTACACACACACACACAGAGGAATTGTACCACACACACACAGAGATTGTACCACACACACACACAGAGATTGTACCACACACACACACAGAGAGATTGTACCACACACACACAGAGATTGTACCACACACACACAGAGAGATTGTACCACACACACACACACAGAGATTGTACCACACACACACACAGAGAGAGATTGTACCACACACACACACACAGAGATTGTACCACACACACACACAGAGATGTACCACACACACACACAGAGAGATTGTACCACACACACACACACAGAGATTGTACCACACACACACAGAGATTGTACCACACACACACACAGAGATTGTACCACACACACACACAGAGAGATTGTACCACACACACACACAAGAGATTGTACCACACACACACACAGAGATTGTACCACACACACACACAGAGATTGTACCACACACACACACAGAGATTGTACCACACACACACACAGAGATTGTACCACACACACACACAGAGATTGTACCACACACACACACAGAGAGATTGTACCACACACACACACACAGAGGATTGTACCACACACACACACAGAGATTGTACCACACACACACACAGAGATTGTACCACACACACCCCAGAGAGGGGTTGTAACACACACACACACAGAGATTGTACCACACACACACACAGAGATTGTACCACACACACACACACAGATTGTACCACACACACACACAGAGAGGGGTTGTAACACACACACACAGAGGGATTGCTGATGACGACGTTGCTGATAATGCTGCTGCAAGTGACGATGATTCATGAGCAAATCTCTTCTCAACCCAGACGTCGACTGCTGCCACTGCTGCTGCTGCTGCTCCTGCTGCTACTGCCGCTGCCACTGCTGCTGCTGCTCCTGCTGCTGCTGCTGCCACTGCTGCTGCTGCCGCTCCTGCTGCTGCTGCCACTGCTGCTGCTGCTCCTGCTGCTGCTGCCACTGCTGCTGCCGCTGCTGCTGCTGCTACCGCTCATGCTGCTGTTGCTGCCGCTGCTGCTACTGCTGCTGCTACTGCCGCTGACCGTCACAATTGCTAACCAGCAATCCGCCACCCCAGTGGCCTCCGTTGCAAGGCCCCGCGGGACAAACTGGCAGCCCCCAGTGGCCCTTGAGTGCGGCCTCTAACGGGCGACAACCCCGGGGCAATACACAAGTCGCCCCATGAGCAGCACCACCACCACCATCACCACCACCACCATCACCACCACCACCATCACCACCACCACCATCACCACCACCACCATCACCACCACCACCATCACCACCACCACCATCACCACCACCACCATCACCACCACCATCACCACCACCACCATCACCACCCATCACCACCATCACCACCACCACCATCACCACCACCACCATCACCACCACCACACCACCCACCATCACCACCCACCACCACCATCACCACCACCATCACCATCCACCACCATCACCACCACCATCACCACCATCACCACCATCACCACCACCACCACCATCACCACCACCACCACCATCACCACCATCACCACCACCATCACCACCACCATCACCACCACCATCACCATCACCACCACCACCATCACCACCATCACCACCACCATCACCACCATCACCACCACCACCATCACCACCACCATCACCACCATCACCACCACCACCACCATCACCACCACCACCACTACCACCATCACCACCATCACCACCACCACCATCACCACCACCACCACCATCACCACCACCACCACCATCACCACCATCACCACCATCACCACCACCACCATCACCACCACCACCACCATCACCACCATCACCACCACCACCACCACCATCACCACCACCATCACCACCACCACCACCATCACCACCACCATCACCACCATCACCACCATCACCACCACCACCATCACCACCACCACCATCACCACCACCACCATCACCACCACCACACCACCACCACCACCACCACCATCACCACCACCATCATCACCACCACCATCACCACCACCACCATCACCACCACCACCATCACCACCACCACCATCACCACCACCACCATCACCACCACCACCACCACCACCATCACCACCACCATCACCACCACCACCATCACCACCACCATCACCACCACCATCACACCATCACCACCATCACCACCACCATCACCACCACCATCACCACCACCATCACCACCACCACCATCACCACCATCACCACCACCATCACCACCATCACCACCACCACCACCATCACCACCACCATCACCACCATCACCACCACCACCACCACCATCACCACCACCACCATCACCACCACCACCATCACACCATCACCACCACCACCATCACCACCACCACCACCACCACCACCACCACCATCACCACCACCACCACCACCACCATCACCACCATCACCACCACCACCATCACCACCACCACCAGCACCACCATCACCACCACCACCACCACCACCATCACCACCACCATCACCACCACCACCACCATCACCACCACCATCACCACCACCACCACCATCACCACCATCACCACCACCACCACCATCACCACCACCACCACCATCACCACCACCACCACCATCACCACCACCATCACCACCACCACCACCATCACCACCATCACCACCACCACCACCACCATCACCACCACCACCATCACCACCACCACCATCACCACCATCACCACCACCACCACCACATCACCACCACACCATCACCACCACCACCATCACCACCATCACCACCATCACCACCACCATCACCACCACCACCATCACCACCATCACCACCACCATCACCACCACACCACCACCATCACCACCACCATCACCACCACCACCACCATCACCACCACCATCACCACCACCACCACCATCACCACCATCACCACCACCACCACCATCACCACCACCACCACCATCACCACCATCACCACCACCACCACCACCATCACCACCACCATCGTGCTGCTGTCAGACCCCAATGGTTCCAAATGGTGTGGCGGCCCTCACACTGATGCTCCCTTATCGGCGAAAGTGCGACCCCCCTCTGAAAATAGTGAAGAACACTGCCCTGAGCCACTCACTCTAAACTATTAAAACTAAACAAAGATTTGTTTTGTATTTTACCAGGTAAGGCCCACTGAGCTATGTAGCTCCTTTACAGAAGCGACACTGGCTATCACCAATGATAGCTCAACGGAGTGGCTCACCGTCACGTGTAAATGTAAAGCGTGAGACAATCTAAACGCATGGTGACGTTGATTCCAAATGTGGAGGGAAAAGCGGAGGAGACGGAGAGCAATCCACTCGACCACGGGGAGGGAGAGACAGAAAGAGAGACACGCAAACTCCAAATATACAGCAGGCATCGTCGGAGTCGGTATCAAACCCACGACCTGTATACCAGGCGAGGTAGTTAACATCTGATAGCCCACGTGATGATGAGAGAAAGAGAAGCAAACTCCAAATACACGGCAGGCATCAGGGACGAGATCAATCCCACGACCTCCTGAGCACCAGGCGAGGTAGTGAACATCTCCTGACCACTGCGACGGCCACCCACTCACCCGGACGACGTCGTCGTCTCCCCGTCCTCCTCCTCCTCCTCCTGCTGCCGCCGCTGCCGCGTGGAGGGGGCCCTCTGGGAGGCCCGGTCGGCCAGGCGCTGCAGGCCCCGGGCGTACTCGGAGGCCAGCTCGCCGCGCCGCCGCATGAAGTCGTGCATCTGGGCCAGCAGGGCCGCACGGCCCTCCGCGCGGCCCTCCAGCGAGCGCAGCTGGCCCGAGAGACGGGCGCGAAGGTCTGGCGGACACGGGGGGGGGGGGTGGATCAAGTCAGGAGGTGATGGAGGAGGTTAGGGAGGTTCAATCTTGATTTGAAGCTTTCGTGACTCTTTGGCTCTTCCGGTAAAGTCTTTTTCTTTCTACCTACGTGACTTTACCGAAAGAACCAAAGAAGATGAGGTTAGGGAGGTTCAAGATTGGGCCTCTTTGAAGGTCTGAGGGTCATGGGGGTCAAGTCAGGAGGTGATGGAGGAATTCGCTAGGAGGTCAAGAGGATGGGTGATCACTCATCGCTGAATGTCAAACCAGGTTCAGAGTTATCCTTGGAATGGACCAGTGGCTCAAGCGACCCCCGCTGTGCTATTCCTCGTTGAGGTGATCATTTTAACGGCGTTATGTAAAAGCCCCAACGCTCACCCAACAATCTCACCCTGACTCCAACCCTAAACCCAACCCCAAGCTGAACTCAACCCGTGCCTCAACCCCGACCCTCACCGCAACCCCCGTGGGCAGGCCGGCTCGCCCGGCCCCTCCCTGCTCTCGTGAGCAGGGAGGGGAGAGGGGGGAGGGGGGCAGGAAGCAGACAGCGACAATCACAGCGGGGCGGTGGGGGGGGGGGGCTCCAGGGCGGGGCCGCTGTTTATTTGCGGTGGCCAAGCCCGAGAGCGATCTCGCCCGCCCACCCCCCTACCGCAGGGGTCACGGAGAGGAGAGGGGGTCACGGAGAGGAGAGGGGGTCCGAGAGAGAGGGGGTCCCAGAGATAGAGGGGGTCCCAGAGATAGAGGGGGTCCCAGAGATAGAGGGGGTTAGTGAGAGAGGGGGTCCGTGAGATCGCACCCATGGTACCCCCATTTCCCCCACCCCCACCCCGCCAAAGGTGCCCCACCACTACCCCAGCAGCCACTGGCAGCCCCCCCCCCACACCCTGGCAGGGCCCCCCCCCTGGCAGCCCCCTCCCCCCACCCTGGCAGCCCCCCCCCCCCCCTGGCAGCCCCCCCCCACCCTGGCAGCCCCCTCCCCCCACCCTGGCAGGGCCCCCACCCTGGCTACCGGTAGTGTTGTTTCCATTTCCATTTCCCACGAAATATAAACTGAATGTGTTCTTTACTCGTGTATATACAAAGCTCGACGTTTCGGGAACACCCCCTCCACACTGAACCATTCACCCATTCACCCACTCCCTCACTCACCTATCGCTCCTTCACCCACCCACTCATCCAATCTCTCACCCCTCACTCGCCCACTCACTTGATCCACTCACCCACTCCTTCATTCATTCACTCGCTCTCACTCATTCACTTACTCACCACCTTACTCACCACATCACCGTATCACTTCCTCGCACCCAATCACTCTCACCCACTCACTTGCTCACCCACCCACACTCACACATCCACACACTCACCCACTTACTCGCTCACCCACACTCACACATCCACACACTCACCCACTCACTCACCAACACTCACACATCCACACACTCACCCACTCACCCCTCACTCACCCAACCACTCACCCACTCACCCCTCACTCACCCAACCACTCACCCACTCACCCCTCACTCACCCAACCACTCACCCAACCACTCACCCCCTCACTCACCCAACCACTCACCCAACCACTCACCCCTCCACTCACCCACTCACCCCTCACTCACCCAACCACTCACCCCCTCACTCACCCAACCACTCACCCCTCACTCACCCACTCACCCCTCACTCACCCAACCACCCACTCACCCACTCACCCCTCACCAACTCACCCAGGGGGGAGGAAGTGATGGGGGAGGGGAGTAGTGGGGGGGGAGCTTTCGGCCGTGGTGTTTATTGAGTCTGGGCTTCTGGAGGGGGTGGGGGAGGGGGGAAGGAAGGGGGGATGATTTGAGAGGAGATGGAGCGGGAATCGCAGAATCTGGGAGCTTGGCGGAGGGGGGCGGGGCGGTGGGGGCCATGGGATTTGGGCTGCGAGAGGAAGCCGGCGGTTTCCTCTGCGATTCGATTCCTCCACCTCGATTCCGCGTCGCGATTACCGCTCAACGGTCGATTCCCCGTGCGAGTCTCCACTCGTGAGGATGAGAGAATCTCGCTTTAGAGTTTAGAGCGCAGCGAGGAGGAATAAGAAGAGCTGTGAAGCTCTTTCCTCTTCACTGCCTGCCCTGTATGAGCGGGGCCAGCGAGTTACAGCAGCAAACACGAAACGATCGGAGTGCAAAAGAGTTAAAACGGTTAGCAAGTCACCAAGCAATCAATTAATCGCGGTCCATTTTTGTTCTCGGATTAGTCAGCGAAATGTTACACCTCGCCTGACACCAACTCACAGGGCAGCGTGACGTGTGTGTGTGTCGCCTTGACAATAGGCGACGTTTCGGGCAACGGCCCTTCAAAGCACAGTAATGATGACCAGATACGCCGTTCCGTTTTGATAAGGAGACAAGTCAGAGATGTAGTGAACGGGGTCTCTGTGTGAGTCTATGGGTCTCTGTGTGAGTATATGAGTCTCTGTGTGAGTCTATGGGTCTCTGTTTGAGTCTATGGGTCTCTGTGTGAGTCCATGCGTCTGTGTGAGTCTATGGGTCTCTGTGTGAGTATATGGGTCTCGGTGCGAGTCTATGGGTCTCTGTGTGAGTCTATGCGTCTGTGTGAGTCTATGGATCTCTGTGTGTGTCTATGAGTCTCTGTGTGAGTCTATGGGTCTCTGGGTGAGTCTATGGGTCTCTGGGTGAGTCTATGGGTCTCTGTGTGAGTCTATGGGTCTCTGTGCGAGTATATGGGTCTCTGTGTGAGTCTATGGGTCTCTGTGTGAGTCTATGCGTCTGTGTGAGTCTATGGGTCTCTGTGTGAGTCTATGGGTATCCGTGTGAGCCTATGGGTATCCGTGTGAGTCTATGGTATCCGTGTGAGTCTATGGGTGTCTGTGTGAGTCTATGGGTCTCTGTGTGAGTCTATGGGTCTCTATGCGAGTGTATGGGTCTCTGTCAGACTGTAAGTTGCTACGTGATTCTATGGTCCCTATGTGAGTCTATGGGTCTCGATGCAAGCCTATGGGTCTCTATGTGAGTCTATGGGTCTCGATGCAAGCCTATGGGTCTCTATGTGAGTCTATGGGTCTCTATGTGAGTCTATGGGTCTCTATGTGAGTCTATGGGTCTCGATGCAAGTCTATGGGTCTCTATGTGAGTCTATGGGTCTCTGTGTGAGTCTATGAGTCTCTATTTAAGTCTATGAGTCTCTATGTGAGTCTATGAGTCTCTATGTGAGTCTATGAGTCTCTATGTAAGTCTATGGGTCTCTGTGTGAGTCTATGAGTCTCTATGTGAGTCTATGAGTCTCTGTGTGAGTCTATGGGTCTCTATGTGAGTCTATGGGTCTCTATGTGAGTCTATGGGTCTCTATGTGAGTCTATCAGTCTCTATGTAAGTCTATGGGTCTCTGTGTGAGTCTATGCGTCTCTATGTGAGTCTATGAGTCTCTGTGTGAGTCTATGGGTCTCTATTTGAGTCTATGAGTCTCTATGTGAGTCTATGAGTCTCTATGTGAGTCTATGAGTCTCTATGTAACTCTACGACTCGATGTGTAGCCTTAACAGACTGTTGGGGCAAGGGCCGTTCGCGAGCTCCTGTGAAGGCCGGCACGGCAAACGAGGGGGTGGGTGGCCAGCACCACGGCCGGCCGCCTTTGTCTCCCCAGTGGCGATGTTTACACACCGCACCAGTCACTCATTTAAAAATGCAGTATTTATTAATTCTGAAAGAATTCCGATAAGCTATGAAGCTCGTTCTTTCACAGATGTCCAGGAAGGGCTGAGTCGGCCTCGGGGAGGCCCAGGACTGGTTCAGGTAACCATCACTGGTGTTGGTGATGGCCGCGAGTGGAAGTCGAACTCGGGTGGCCGGGTTCGTAGCGTAGCGCTAACAACTGCGCCATCTGCCCCCCACCCCATCGCTGTCCACACGTGACCCGTGGCACGGGGAGGATGAGGCTCGAGGCAAGTCGGGGTCAAGTCGGGGTCAAGTCGGGGTCAAGTCAGGGTCAAGTCGGGGTCAAGTCAGGGTCAAGTCGGGATCGAGTCGGGATCAAGCCGAGATCAAGTCGGGGTCAAGTCAGGGCCAAGTCGGGATCGAGTCGGGATCAAGTCGGGGTCAAGTCGGGGTCAAGTCAGGGTCAAGTCGGGATCGAGTCGGGATCAAGTCGAGGCACCCCTCGGGTTATCACGGCCCTGCCTGGAACACGGGGGCCCGATGGCCCACACCAAACGGAAGTGTTAGCGCAGACTACCCCTATCACTACCCCTATCACTATCACTACCCCTATCACTATCACTACCCCTATCACTACCCCTATCACTACCACTATCACTACCCCTATCACTATCACTACCCCTATCACTACCCCTATCACTACCTCTACCCCTATCACTATCACTACCCCTATCACCACCCCTATCACCACCCCTACCACTACCCCTATCACTACCCCAATCACTACCCCTATCACTACCCCTAGCACTACCCCTATCACTACCCCTATCTCAACCCCTACCACTACCCCTATCACTACCCCAATCACTACCCCTATCACTACCCCTAGCACTACCCCTATCACTACCCCTATCTCAACCCCTACCACTACCCCTATCACTACCCCAATCACTACCCCTATCACTACCCCTACCACTACCCCTATCACCACCCCTATCACCACCCCTACCACCACCCCTAGCACTACCCCTAGCACTACCCCTATCACTACCCCTATCACTACCCCTATCACTACCCCTACCACTACCCCTATCACCACCCCTACCACTACCCCTATCACTACCCCAATCACTACCCCTATCACTACCCCTATCACTACCCCTATCAATACCCCTACCACTACCCCTAGCACTACCCCTATCACTACCCCCATCACTGCCCCTAACACTACCCCTATCTCAACCCCTACCACTACCCCTATCACTACCCCTATCACTACCACTACCCCTATCACTACCCCTATCACTACCCCTATCTCTACCCCTATCACTACCACTATCACTTTCCCAACCCCTCCTTAACTCCTCCCGCATGTTCTGCTGTCACCATAACTACACCACCACCACTTTTAATAACCACAGCCCCACTCGTTATCTCGACCACTGTCATCTCGTGTACAATTGTATTTTTCCTGTAAAGCACCTCGGAATGCGGCGCTATATATACGCGCTATGTGATGAGAGTTTGGCGAGGGGAATGTTGTTGTTCTCGGAGCTTCCGCGGAAAAGAGAGACGATCAGAGGAAATGACTCACAGAGAGACCCCGAGACTCACACAGACACCCATAGACCCACACAGAGACCCATAGACTCACACATAGCCCCATAGACTCACACAGAGCCTCATAGACTCACACAGATACCCATAGACTCACACATAGCCCCATAGACTCACACAGAGACCCATAGACTTACACAGAGACCCATAGACTCACACAGAGCCTCATAGACTCACACAGATACCCATAGACTCACACATAGCCCCATAGACTCACACAGAGACCCATAGACTTACACAGAGACCCAGAGTCACACAGACACCCATAGACTCACACAGAGACCCATAGACTTACACAGAGACTCATAGACTCACACAGGGACCCATAGACTCACACACATAGACTCACACATAGCCCCATAGACTCACACAGACACCCATAGACTCACACAGACACCCATAGACTCACACATAGCCCCGAGACTCACACAGATACCCATAGACTCACACATAGCCCCGAGACTCACACAGACACCCATAGACTCACACAGACACCCATAGACTCACACAGATACCCATAGACTCACACAGATACCCATAGACTCACACTGGGACCCATGGACTCACAGATACCCATAGACTCACACAGATACCCATAGACTCACACAGACACCCATAGACTCAGACAGATACCCATAGACTCACACAGATACCCATAGACTCAGACAGACACCCATAGACTCACACAGATACCCATAGACTCACACAGACACCGTTAGACTCACACAGGGACCCATAGACTCACACAGACACCCATAGACCCACACAGATACCCATAGACTCACACAGACACCCATAGACTCACACAGATACCCCGAGACTCACACAGACACCGGTAGACTCACACAGGGACCCATAGACTCACAAAGGGACCCATAGTCTCACACAGATACCATAGACCCACACAGATACCCATAGACTCACACAGATACCCATAGACTCACACAGAGACCCATAGACTCACACAGACACCCATAGACTCACACAGAGACCCATAGACTCAGACAGACACCCATAGACTCACACAAAGAACCATAGACTCACACAGAGACCCATAGACTCACACAGAGACCCATAGACTCAGATAGACACCCATAGACTCACACATATACCCATAGACTCACACAGGGACCCATAGACTCACACAGATACCCATAGACTCACACAGACACCTATAGACTCACACAGATACCCATAGGCTCACACAGATACCCATAGACTCACACAGAGACCCATAGACTCACACAGACACCCATAGACTCACACAGAGACCCATAGACTCACAGATACCCATAAACTCACACATAGCCCCATAGACTCACACAGAGCCCCATAGACTCACACAGATACCCATAGACTCACACATAGCCCCATAGACTCACACCGGAACCCAGACTCACACAGAAATCCATAGACTCATACAGAGACCCATAGACACACACACAGAGTTCCATAGACACACATACACACAGACCCACAGCCAATAACGGAATGTTTGACCAGACATCGCAATGTGCAGTCCTGGGACTCATTGGGTCTTTCCTGGTTACACAATGGCCATTGTTACTCACGTCTAATTCCTATCGCTCGCTCAGAGCTTCTCTCCACACTATTGTTCGTTTACCAGGTAAGGCCTCACTGAGCTGTGCAGCTCTGTTTCCGAAGCGACCTGAACATCACAAATGATATCTCGACGAAGTGGCTCATCATCATCAACACGAAGATATGAATAGCAGCAGCCACATACTCTAAACGCATGACGATGATTCAAAATGTTGTAGAGGAATACATCCAAGCGACCAAAGGGAGAGAGAGAGACACGCAAACTCCAAATGCACAGCAGGCGTCAGGGTCGGGATCGAACCCACGACCTCCTGTATACCAGGCGAGGTAGTGAACATCTCCTCGCCACCGTGATGATGATGAGAGAGAGAGTCACGCAAACTCCAAATATACAGCAGGCGTCAGGGTCGGGATCGAACCCACGACCTCCTGTATACCAGGCGAGGTAGTGAACATCTCCTCGCCACCGTGATGATGATGAGATAGAGAGACACGCAAACTCCAAATACACAGCAGCAGGCGTCAGGGTCGGGATCAAACCCACGACCTCCTGTACACCAGGCGAGGGAGTGAACATCTCCTCGCCACCATGATGATGATGAGATAGAGAGACACGCAAACTCCAAATATACAGCAGCAGGCGTCAGGGTTGGGATCAAACCCACGACCTCCTGTAGACCAGGCGAGGTAGTGAACATCTCCTCGCCACCGTGATGATGATGAGATAGAGAGTCACGCAAACTCCAAATATACAGCAGCAGACGTCAGGGTCGGGATCGAACCCACGACCTCCTGTAGACCAGGCGAGGTAGTGAACATCTCCTAGCCACCGCGGTGCCCCACCTCAAAGACATCAGCGCCGGTTCAAGTCCAAAGATGTTCCCGTCTACCCCCAGAACCCATCATCGCTCCCTCCCTTGTTGGGTGGATAAAGCGAGTAACACTTTGTTGGATGAGACAACAAGGATGACAACACCGGTTGTGTCGGTGGAGAGACTGGGCCCCGCCATAGGAACGTCACGAGAACGCAACACGTGCCACGGACTGCGGCTCGCGGGGCTGTGAGTGGCTCGTGGGGCTCGACTCGGGCGGGCTGAGCCGGGGGAACGAACTCGGGGCGAGTGAGTGAGTGTGGGGGAGTCAGTTTGGGTGAGTGTGTGTGGGTGAGTCAGCATGAGTGAGTGTGGGTGAGTGAGTGAGTGAGTGTGGGTGAGTCAGCATGAGTGAGTCAGGGTGAGTGAGTGAGTGTGGGTGAGTTTGGGTGAGTCAGCATGAGTGAGTGAGTGTGGGTGAGTCAGCATGAGCGAGTCAGGGTGAGTGAGTGAGTGAGTGTGGGTGAGTTTGGGTGAGTCAGCATGAGTGGGTGTGGGTGAGTGAGTGTGGGTGAGTCAGCATGCGTGAGTGTGGGTGAGTGAGTGAATGAGTGTGGGTGAGTGTGGGTGAGTCAGCATGAGTGAGTGAGTGTGTGTGAGTGAGTGTGGGTGAGTCAGCATGAGTGAGTGTGGGTGAGTGTGGGTGAGTGAGTGTGGGTGAGTGTGGGTGAGTCAGCATGAGTGGGTGTGGGTGAGTGAGTGTGGGTGAGTCAGCATGAGTGAGTGTGGGTGAGTGAGTGAGTGTGGGTGAGTCAGCATGAGTGAGTGTGGGTGAGTGAGTGAGTGAGTGTGGGTGAGTCAGCATGAGTGAGTCAGGGTGGGTGAGTGTGGGTGAGTGTGGGTGAGTCAGCATGAGTGGGTCTGGGTGAGTGAGTAAGTGTTGGTGAGTCAGCATGAGTGAATGAGTGTGGGTGAGTCAGTTTGGGTGAGTGTGGGTGAGTCAGCATGAGTGAGTGAGTGAGTGTGGGTGAGTCAGCATGAGTTACTGTGGGTGAGTGTGGGTGAGTCAGCATGAGTGAGTCAGGGTGAGTGTGGGTGAGTGAGTCAGGGTGAGTGGGTCAGGGTGAGTGAGTCCGGGTGAGTGACTCAGGGTGAGTGACTCAGGGTGAGTCAGGGTGAGTGAGTGACTCACCTTTCACCTGCGCTGCATACTCAGCGAGGGCAGCTTTGTCCTTCTTGGGCAGATGACCGCCAGAGCTCATGGCTGCTGAGGTCGGGGTCAGGGTGAGAGTCCGGGTTAGGGGCACGCAGGCAGACAGACAGGCAACCAGACAGGCAGACAGGCAGGTCAATGAACAGGCAGACAGACAGGTAACTGGATAGACAGGCAGACAGACAGGTGAGTGGATAGACAGGCAGACAGACAGGTGAGTGGATAGACAGGCAGACAGGTGAGTGGATAGACAGTCAGACAGACAGGCAGGTCAATAGACAGGCAGACAGACAGGTAACTGGATAGACAGGCAGACAGACAGGTGAGTGGATAGACAGGCAGACAGACAGGTGAGTGGATAGACAGGCAGACAGGTGAGTGGATAGACAGGCAGACAGACAGGCAGGTCAATAGACAGGCAGACAGACAGGTAACTGGATAGACAGACAGACAGACAGGTGAGTGGATGGACAGGCAGACAGACAGACAGGTCAATGGACAGGCAGACAGGCAGGTACATAGACAAGGCGTCAGGTAAGCGACGAGGCAGACACGCCGGCAGGCCGGCAGGCTGTAGTCATACCAGGCGGCACAACCTGAAGCGTCATCACACACAGAGAGAGGAGAGTCAGACGGGCGGGCGGACAGGTAAGCGCACAAACACCGAGACGGGCACAGCAGTTGGCACGTAGCGACACACCCCCAGCATGTGGGCGAACAGACAAGTAGAGACACACGGAGAGAGAGACACACGGAGAGAGAGACACACACAGACTGTCTGGCTGGCAGGCGGGTGTGTACCGTTAGTACAAAGACAGTCAGACAGACACCGGAGTGAGACGCGGGTCCTGCCCGGTTAGGAAGAGGAGGAGGAGGAAGGAGGAGGGGGAGGCTCGCTCCGTCTCCGCGCGGGACGTGACGCTGAGTCGCACGCAGAGTGCGCGACACAGAGCGGGGGAGAGGGCACAGAGAGGCGGGGGGTGGGAGGGGTGAGTGTGGGGGGGTGGGGTGAGTGTGGGGGGGGTGAGTGTGGGTGGGAGGGGTGAGTGTGGGGGGGGGTGAGTGTGGGGGGGGTGAGTGTGGGGGGGGGGGTTGAGTGTGCCCTCCCTGCCTCTCTCCCACTCTCGACTCTCACGCCTCTTCCCTCTCCCCCCATCCTCGTTGTATCTCTTACTCTCGATCAACAACCCCCACGCTCATCCCTCTCTGTTCCATCTCCCTCCCTCTCGGTGTGGCGGTGACATCATCACGGCGCCTGTGCCAGGCTGTGTGCACTGTGAGGCCACGTGAAGTGTCGAGGTCACGGGACAGACCCAGCAGGTGCCACGGGTCGACTGACTGAGATGCGTGGCAGATGCGCCACCTGTGCCCCCTACTGTGCCAACTCGCTGGATTTTAGCCGCCCGGCGCTCCGCTCGTTGTTGTGAGGGTCGCTCTTCCACCCACCGTTGTTGTTGGAGGGCGACTGCCTCCCTACTGCTCAGTAGCAGCGTCCTTCACGAGCTTCCTCCACGAACACACAGACACACACAGACAGACACACACAGACAGACACACAGACACACACACAGACAGACAGACACATACACAGACACACACAGACAGACACACCTACACACAGACACACAGATACACACAGACAGATACAAACAGAGAGACAGACACACACAGATACACCACAGATACACAGACAGAGAGACAGACACACACAGACACACACAGACACACAAAGACACACAGACAGACACACACACACACAGACACACACACAGACAGACACAGAGAGACAGACACACACACAGAGACACACACACAAACAGACACAGACACAGAGACAGACACACACACACAGACACACACACACAGACACACACAGACACACACACACACAGACACACACAGACACACAAAGACACACAGACAGACACACACACAGACACACACACACAGACAAACAGACACACACACAGACACACACACACACACAGACACACACACACACACAGACACACACACAGACACACACACACACAGACACACACACACAGACACACACACAGACATACACACACAGACACACACACACAGACACACACACGCACACACAAAGACAGACACACAGACACACACACACACACAGACACACACAGACACACACACAGACACACACACACAGACACACACACAGACACACACACACAGACACACACAGACACACAGACACACACAGACACACACACAGACACAGACACACACAGACACACACAGACACACACACAGACACACACACACACAGACACACACACAGACACACACAACACACACAGACACACACACAGAACACACACACACAGACACACACACACACACACACAGACACACACCACAGACACACACACACAGACACACACACAGACACACAGACAGACACACACACACACAGACACACACACACACAGACACACACAACAGACACACACACACAGACACACACACACAGACACACACACACACACAGACACACACACAGACACACACACACACAGACACACACACACACAGACACACACACACAGACACACACACACAGACACACACACACACACAGACACACACACACAGACACACACAGACACACACACACACACACACACAGACACACACACACACACAGACCACACACACACAGACACACACACAGACCACACACAGACACACACACAGACACACACACACACAGACACACACACAACACACACAGACACACACACACAGACACACACACACAGACACACACACACAGAGACGTGTACCGCGTCCTACAAACACCCCTCCCGAGCACCCCGTCGTAGAGCTGGGCTCACTCATCCCATCACCACCACCATCATCCCTCCCTCTCTCTCCGGTGGGGGTCGATAAATTGAGCACCACTTTGTGTGTGAGAATCAACAGCGGGGGTCGCCCTCTTCAGAGAGACTCTGAATGTGGAATCCATTTAATTGAAGGCTCTCACCCCCCCCCCCTCGCCATAGGAATGTGGAATCTCCACCATTGGCTATGCCACGGTGGCTATGAGATGTTAACTACCTCGCCTGGTGTGCGGGAGCTCGTGGGGTTGATCCCCACCCTGACGCGTGGACTTTTCTCTGGGTCGTCCGGTTTCCCCCTCCACGTGAAGAATCAAGGCCACGTGATTAGAGTATTCGGCTCCTGCTGCTGCTGTTCACTTCCACGTGGTGGTGGTGATGGTGATGAGGCCACGTGTTTAGAGTACAGTATTCGGCTGCTGCTGTTCACTTCCACGTGGTGGTGGTGATGGTGATGAGGCCACGTGTTTAGAGTACAGTATTCGGCTGCTGCTGTTCACTTTCCACGTGGTGGTGGTGGTGATGAGGCCACGTGATTAGAGTATTCGGCTCCTGCTGCTGCTGCTGTTCACTTCCACGTGGTGGTGGTGGTGGTAGCGACCGCGTTGAGCCGTCATTTGTGGTGGGCCAGGCCACTTCTGCCAAGAGAGCTACATAGCTCAGTGGGGCCTTGCCTGGCAAAATAAAAAAATAGTTCCATAGTTTCATGTAACGGAAGTATTTGGCTGCTATACATGTACTCATCCCATCAGCCGCACGGCTTTCCTTCTGGGAGTGCGTAATGTCGGCAGCACTGATTTAGAGCAGCAAACAACTCTCTCGTGGTCTCGACATCCCGTGTCTCATCAGCAGAGCCAGGCTTGGCTGAAGCAATGTCGGTGAAAGGGTGCAGCGACGCACAACTTAAGAATGATCATCTCGCGTCGTTGTACAGAATAACTGCAGCAGCATGCTGCCCTGGTTCACGTTGATCGGGGGCAGGGGGCGGCGAGATGCAGCTCCTGAACGGTGTGGCGACGGATATCGAAACGACGCAAAATGGAAGCGGTTCGCAGGGCAGTGGTAGTTAGTGGGTGGTGCTAGTGGTGCAGGTGGTGCTGGTGGTGGTGCTGGTGGTGGTGGTGCTGGTGCCGGTGCTGGTGGTGCCGGTGGTGGTGGTCGTGGTGCTGGTGGTGATGGTGCTGGTGGTGGTGATGCTGATGCTGGTGGTACTGGTGGTCGTGGTGCTGGTGGTCGTGGTGCTGGTGGTGGTGCCGGTGGTGGTGGTCGTGGTGCTGGTGGTGATGGTGGTGGTGGTACTGGTGGTGGTCGTGGTGCTGATGGTGCTGGTGGTGATGGTGCTGGTGGTGGTACTGGTGCTGGTGGTCGTGGTGCTGGTGGTGGTGGTGGTACTGGTGGTGGTGGTCGTGGTGCTGGTGGTGATGGTGCTGGTGGTGCCGGTGGTGGTGGTCGTGGTGCTGGTGGTGGTGGTGCCGGTGGTGCTGGTGCTGGTGGTAGTGGTAGTGGTCGTGGTGCTGGTGGTGGTGGTCATGGGGGTGGTGGTGGTGCTGGTGGAGGTAGAGGCGACGTATAACGAGACAGGAGGGGACGTGAGTGTGGGGTTGAGGCGATGTGCATCGTCAAGTGGCGGCCCTGTGCGTGACACGACGTCACGGGGGGGGAGGCGATTCGGGGTATGTCTGTAACAGAATACACAACATGCATGTACAATGGTGTCCCCTGCCTACAACATGATCTCTCTCCCCTATCCTGTGGCTCTCTCTCTATCCCATTGTCACTCTCTTCTCCAGCCCTGCGTCTCTCTCCCCTCTCTCTCTCTGTTTCCTTTCCTCTCACTGTCTCTCCTCCTCCTCCTCACTGCGCGTGGCTACGGGCGAGTTGGTGGGGGCCATCAGCCGCCTGCTTGCCAAGCCCAGCGCGCAGTGGCGACTCGTGACTCCGTGTGCGTCCGAGACAGACCGAGACCCCAAACTCTCTCTCTCTCTCTGCCTCTCTCTGTCTCTCTCTCTGTGTCTCTCTCTCTGCCTCTCTCTCTCTCTGCCTCTCTCTGTTTCATTTCTCTCCCCTCATTGCGGCCGCTCCTCAGTGGAAACAAATGTACAAGTCTCCCGTAGCCAAACGCTGCGGTGACCTCCAGTGGAGGTTGGCACACTGCACGTTGCCATCGGCCGTGTGGACTCAGCCGAATCTCGCCAGGGGTAACAGACTTGTGCATTTCCTGCGGTGCCAGGGAGGATCTGCCCCACCAGTACTTACACTGCCAGCGGCTCAAACCAATGTTCCGCCTTTTGGGGGACATCTTCAGGAAACTGGGGGTGCCCTTCTACAACAGCAGCTTCGTATATGGGGTGGTGCCTTACCTGGCTAACAAGCGCCATGACCTCGCCAACTTCGCCTGCGCGCAGGCGAAGATGGCGGTGGACAGAACGAGAAAAAAGATGCTGGAAGGTGACACCGACGGCTGCTCTGTGGTGCTTCCAGTGTTCAGGGGCCTGCTCAAGGTGCGGCTCCGGCTGGAGCATGGTGATGTGCAGCGCGTCTTCTTAGAACGCTGGGGAGCCGGAAAAGCCCCTCTCTGTACCAGGGTGGACGGCACCCTCGTGTTCACCTTCTGAAGCGCTCGCTCGTCACCGTGGCGTGCGCGATGACACCACAACCACCACGTGTATTGTGCGCGGTGCTTTTAGCTCCACAGCGCGTGGATTTATAGCGTTCGTTTCATTTGTGTTGCTGGTGACTTTGTGTGTGTTTCATATCGAAATCGCCTCCAGTGCTGTTGCTGCTGGCGACAATAGAAGTTGTTTAAAAGTCAAAGTCTCTCCCCATGTCTCCCCCCTCTCTCTTCTCTCTCGCTGTGTTCAAGTGGAGCCTCTCTCTGTCTCTGAGTGGAGGCCAGAGAGTTGAGGACACTCGTGGAGAGAGAGTGGAGTGGTGGGTGAGGGGTGAGGTGGTGGTAGTGGTGGGGTGTTCGGTGTGGTGAGTGTGTGCTGTGTTCCCATGTGCGCATGCATTTAAGTGTGTGAGTGTGTGTGTAGTTTGGTTAGTGAGTGTGTGAGTGTG